TTATATGCTCCTCTAACTGTATTATATTTATTTAAAAGGCTTTTGTAAAGCGATTTTTTTTAGGTATATAGCTAGGTTATAATATAAATTAAGGAAATAAAGGCGCCGAATTAAAGCAATTCGTATTAACGGAATTAGTAATTTTAGCGGCGGCTTTTTTAATAATTACGTAAAATAAAAGGGTATCGAATTAATTATATTAATACTAAATAATTAATATTAAAACGGCTTTATTAAGCGCGCGATTAGTATGCTATAAAATAGCGTATGCGCTATTTATATTTAAATAAATATTTTTATAGTATTTTAAAATAAAATTTACAGGGTATAAGTTATTATTTTAAACCGAATAATACCTACTAAAAGGGAATTAGTTATTTTTTAATAACGCTAAAAAAATAACTTTTAGCTATAAAATGCATTTAATCGCTTATTAGTTAGGCATTTTAAGATCTTTGGATCGCGTGTTTTTGTGTATATTTTAAAGGAAAATAGGGTATAAGCTAAGAAACTGCAGGTAAAAGCGCTGGAGGGCATATTTATAGGTTATTTTGGGGAACACCTATATAAGGTGTATATACTGGATATAGCACGCTTTATTATAACTCTTTACGTTATATTTTATAAGGATTTTAATAAGGGCGCCGATTAGCCCGATCCGTTAAAAGTAATTAGATTACTCCCGTAATACGTTTAAAATAGGCTGCGATATAGGATTTTAAAGCTAATTTATTATATAAAGCCTTGTAATCCGAATATAGCTAAAAAATAGGGATAAAAAGCGCGGCGATTTAAAGCCGGCTTTTTTTAAATATATATAGCTATACGGCAAAGCATAATTAAATATGCTATAATATATATAAATAGTAATTATAATTATATTATAGCATATTAAGGCTTAAATAGGTATGCCTACGCATATATAAATATAATTATAAAAAATAATTACCACGCTTTAATCAATTTACGGGATTATAATTAGGACGATAAAAAAGATTTAAGCTTTAAAGGCGCGCTATTAATTGCGCTAAATAAGGGCTTGTATAATTATTTATTATTAGTTAATAGTAATTTATTCGAATAAATATAAAACGAATACCTAATATTGGTTATTAAATATAACCTTAATTTATTATTAATTAATTAGGTAAGGAATATATAAAAATGGCCTAATTAGCAATAAGCTATAGTAAAAAAAATTATTAAGCTATTTAAGAAAGGAATATTCGAATTTTTCGATTATAATAAATTTAAATTAAAATAAAAGCCATTAGTTGGATTTAAATGGGTATATAAGACTAAATATAGCTTTACCGGTAATATAAATAAATGGAAGGCACGCCTTATAATTTAGGGTTTTATTTAAATTTTTGGAATTAATTATAAAAAAACCTTCGCTAATATAGCTAAATAAATAAGCATCCGCGTTTTAATCGCGATAATTATAATTAAAGGTTAAAAAATCTTTTAAATCGACTTTATTATAGCTTATTTATTAGGCCGGCTTAATAAAAAGATTTATATGCGCTAATTCTTATACTTAAATAAATTTATATTTTAATACCCTAATATTATATAATAATATAATTATACTTTTAATAATATAATTAGGCTATTACGCCCTTTATATGGCTTAAAGTAAAGCGGCTTCGAATGGCAATAAAAAATTAAAAAGAAATTAAAAAAACTAGGCTTTATAAGACTAAAGACCGATAATGCTATTTACTAAAATAAGGCTAATAAAACGGTACTAACCTTTTATATGGACGATTTTATGATTATATATGCGAATATTAAAGCTATCGAGAAATTGGTTTAATAGCTAAATAAATAGCTGGAATTATAATATTTGGGTACCGCTAAGTGGTATTTAGGAATACGTATTATTTAGGAGGAAGATAATAATATTATATTATTATAAAATAGGTATTTAAATTAAATATTTAAAAAACTCGGATATTAAAATATTAAGAGTGCTATTATTTTTATTAATCCGGGATTAATAGCAGTAATTTATAAATTTAAAGGCTACGTTAATTAGGAATTTAAAAATTAGTATTTTAAAAAGCTCGGGAAAACGAATTATGTTATAGTTAAGCTGCGCGTAAATATAATATACGCTAATAAGGTATAAACGCGTTTTATAAATAACCCGTCCTTTAATTATATTAAGCACTTAAATAAGGTGCTATAATACCTTTAAGGCACCCGTATAAAGGGGATAAGATATACCCGATTTTATCGTTATATTAAATATAGGGAATTAGGATTATATATTTACGTTAACGCTGATTTTGCAGGCGATAAATTAATTTTTAAATTTACGTTTAAATAAATAACGTTTATAGCGGGCTTTTTAATAAATTAAAGTTTAAAGCTATAAAGCGTAATTGCTTAGTTTATTATAAAAGCTAAATATTACGCTATTAATAAAGGCGTTCGTAAAGCCGCATTTATTAGGAATTTATTAAAGGAACTAAAAATAATGCCTTAAAAGGCAATTCTTTTATTAATTAATAATATAAGCGTAAAAGCGTAGGCAAAAGCCTAAATTAGTATACTTACGAAAAAGCATATTAGGAGGTATTTTTATTATATTTAATAAAAAGTCTTTGCTAGGAATATTTTAATTAAAAAAGTTATATCCACGGAAAACGCCGCTAATAGGCTTATAAAAGCGATGCGACTTAAGGATTTTAAGCATTTCGTATATTTGCTAAATATAGTGGATTATAATCTAATTATAGGTATAGTCACTATTATTTAATTGCAAATTATATTATAAATTATCGTAATAGGGCTTATCCTTTTATTTCGATTAAATCGCTCGTTATAAAGGGCGTGTGGAAAGTTGACTTTAACTAAAGTAATGGGTATAACTCTCGTTTTGACGGATAAAAGCATTAGACCCCGGGACCTCCGGCTTAACGGCTATTTCCGGTGGGCTGTGGGAGGCAATTAGGTCTTGTGCATTTTATTTAACTAAACCCATGTAGCCAGATCCGTTCATTTGTACTGAATACACTAAGTCCCCATCAATTTCCCATACAAGCCACTTACAGAGTAGTTCTTGACTCACACCCAAACGGCCCTGCATTAAACCAGATTGCCTCGGCTGTGAGCGAGATCCGCTATCATGGCGTATATTTCCAAACCAACCTTGGCGTTTTGCTTGGCCTAGTCACTAAAGGCAGCATATTATTTCAATAACAATGAGCGTGGCGCCGTGTCGGTATCCTCTTGATATATTCAAATAATAGCACAAGAGCCTGGCATTGTCGATATTGAGCGTAATTTCTTGGCGCGTTCGTCTATGGCCATTGGCGGCCAAACACCTTTGTTACCTACCTATTGACCAAGAACAGCTGTCAACCAAGCTCGCCAGAAGAACAAATTGGACCATCAGAATGGAGTTGCCGATACCCCGTCCGACAAACTCTCGCATGTCGGGGATGGCCGAGACAAATTGAGTCGAGAGACACAGTATTGTGTTATTCTACTTTATTTGCCTGTAGTGACAATTACATGAATCCCGCCGATACTGCTATGTTATGGAGTTGAAGTACTTAGTAGGACACAAAGAGGGACAACATGAGGAAGCTGGAAAATGTATGACCTAGATTGGCAGCGTAGAGAACTTGATGCAAGTTCAAGCAACTGCTGTCACAGTTTCCTTGGATGGTAAGGTCGCTATGCGGCCACCATGATCAACGAACAGGCTACTCACTCAGCCATAACAAACTACAATATAACCCAGTGTTTTTCTTCTTCTTTATTATTGGCACCAAATGAAGATTTATATGTCTATTATAGTTTATGTGTTGTAAGTGAATTGTTGTTTCGCTCCTACGTATTGTAAAAGCAGTAATCCCTCCAAAATAAGACAGCAGACCATTGCCCTCGACTGGTACCTCTGTGATATATACAGAGCTTTCTCAGCAGAGTCTTATTTGGTGACCTCATTCCAGTCCTTCTTGACTTGACCACGTCATTGATGAGCTGGACCATCACCAGGGAATGAGTCAAAAGTTGAGACAATACATGGAGGTATTGTCTGGAGGATGAGTGCCAAATTCCCACGTTGATCATGGCATTCTTGCTTACCTATGGGACAAAGTCTCAGAAACCAGTATCAATGCGTATACATATGATTTCTTAGAACTTGGCCATTTTGAATACATAAGGGTCCACAAGAAACGAGCAAGTCTCTCGAGACTTCAGAGGCGCACACGTATATGTTACTGTCATTTCCTACCCAACATTGAGCGGTTGCCATAAATCTAGACATTTCAGCACTGCGCTGCCAAAAGTCTACGTGCATGTTTGACATGTTGGCTAATCAGCATTATTCCGCAAGATAGATCTTCGAGAGTCAAGACGGTGACTCTCAAAGATGATGGGATGCTGGTTTTTTCTTGAGCTGTCTGTATGTAAGGAAACAGGCCGGCTTTAAGAGCTCGAGTTTTGCGCATGATTGACGTTGTATAAGCCCGCAGGAATCAGAAGACATGCACTACTAACATTGGAGAACCAACCAGCTGCAGCCTGGGGCCTAAAGTATGGCAATCACCCTCGACTTGTGCTTTTACTGGTCTTTCAAGGTAGAGAGAGAAAGAGCACTTTTCAACTTTGCCTACAACTTAGACTTGCAGAACTGTCATTCCGTCCATGGTGAAAATTATTCCCAGAGGTTTGGTATACTCATCATCAACAGAAAAAGAGTGAGAGCAGTGATTCTGCACATACCTATTACCTGTCAGTGACACGCGCGTAAGTTGAATCCCGCCCATTAAACTTGACGCGCCAAGACCTGCGCTACACCATCCCTTTCCCCACTTTTTTCGCGTCACTGCCTCGACCAGAACCGCAAGCTCAAGCACTTTTCTCAGATCTCGCAACCCGCACAAGCTTGAAAGAGGGCCACCTACTTCCCAACATCAACCGCCGTCGCTATCGAGCGTCTTCCATCATCGCGATCGCAACTCGCGTCGTTTATCAAGATGGCAGATATCAAGATCGACGGAAAGCTCTTCCAGGAGCGCGTCAATCATTTCATCACCTCCTGGAAAACCGACAAACGCGCCGGCGATCAGGTCTTCAATGGCGTTGCCTCCATCGTCATCATGATGGGCAAGGTTGAGGAGAACCCCGAATTTCACAAGAACAATGCCATGCACGTGAGTAGTCCACCATTCCGCCCTACCGACTTGCCTCTTGGCCTCGAGGTCCCATGTTGCTAATCATCATCCAGTTCTGGTTACTTGGCTACGAATTTCCGACTACACTCATGCTTTTCACTATCGATTGCCTCTACATTGTAACGACTGCAAAGAAGGGTAGGACTCATAAGCGCTCACAATATCTTGTCCAAAGACATTGGCTGACTTTATTGTAGCTAAACACTTGGAGCAACTCAAGGGCGGCAGATTCCCTATCGAAGTCTTAGTGCGTGGCAAAGATGCAGCCGAGAACGAGAAGCTTTTCGTCAAGCTTGCCGATACCATCAACTCAGCTGGCGTGAGTGGCTCCCTGGAGAGTTGTGTGCACGGACTCGAATATGTACTGACTCGAAACCTCATAACAGAAGAAGGTTGGAGTCCTTCCCAAAGACACATCGAAGGGCCCTTTCGTCGACGAGTGGAAGAAAGTATTTGGCGACAAATGCAAGGATGCTGAAGAGGTTGACATTGCCCCCGCGCTCTCTAGTGCCGCCTTCTCTGTCAAGGACGAAACCGAACTGCGTGCGATGCGAACCGCCTCCAAGGCCTGCGTGGCCCTGATGAACCCATACTTCCTCGATCAAATGTCGGATGTCCTCGATCAGGAGAAGAAGGTCAAGCACAGTGCCCTCGCCAACAAGGTCGACCAGAAGCTCGATGACACCAAATGGTGGAAGACAGTAGAACTACCTAATAAGCAAAAGCTGCCTTCTGACTTCGATCCCAGCCACCTTGATTGGTACCTTGGTCCGTCGATTCAGAGCGGTGGCAAGTACGATTTGAAGTTCCAGCAAGAGTCGACCAACGATAACTTGCACGCCGGTATCATCATTGCGGGCATGGGGATGCGCTACAAGTCTTATGGGTCTGCGATCGCCCGAACTTTCCTGGTCGATCCGAACAAGACCCAGGAGAGCAACTACAAACTCCTCTTCGCTGTCCACAACCTTGTTCTGAAGGAGATTAGAGACGGCGTGACTGTCAGTGACGTCTACAAGAAGGCCCTTGGTCTGATCAAATCCAAGAAGCCCGAGCTCGAAAAGCATTTCCTCAAGAACGTGGGTGCTGGTATTGGTATTGAGAGCAAGGATCCTACTTTACTACTCAACGCCAAGAACAGCAGAACTCTGAAGGACGGCATGACACTCTGTATTACTACTGGATTCCAGGACATCGAGAATCCTCAGCCTCAGGACAAGCTTAGCAAGACTTATTCTTTAGTCATTACCGATACTGTTCGTGTCACTTCCAGCGACCCGGTTGTCTTCACTGGCGATGCTCCCACCGAGCTTGACGCCACTTCCTTCTTCTTCAAGGACGAGGAGGAGGAGAAGCCTACCCCCAAGAAGGAGAAAAAAGACCCTCGAGTTGGTGCAGTTGCCACTAAAAACATCACCAATACCAGGCTCAGATCCGAGCGCACGACTCAGGTCAACGAAGAAAGTGATAAGAAGCGTCGCGAGCACCAAAAGCAACTGGCTTTGAAGAAGCAGAAAGAAGGGTTGGCGAGATTTGCCGAGTCCACCAGCGGCCAGAATGGTGCCGAGGTGAAGAAGTTCAAGAAGTTTGAATCGTACAAGCGAGAGAACCAGCTACCATCCAAAGTGAAGAACTTGGAAATCTTCATTGATGAGAAGAATGGAACAGTGATCCTTCCTGTTATGGGCCGTCCCGTTCCTTTCCATATCCATACCATCAAGAACGCCAGCAAGAACGACGAAGGCGAATGGTCATTCCTTAGAATCAACTTCCTGTCCCCAGGCCAAGGTGTTGGTAGGAAGGATGATCAGCCTTTTGAAGATCCTGGCGCTCAGTTCGTCCGTAGCTTGACCTTCCGATCATTGGACGGTGATCGATATGAGGAGATAGCAACTCGTATCTCAAACATGAAGAAAGAGGCTACCAAGAAGGAGCAAGCCAAGAAGGAGATGGAGGATGTCGTCGAGCAAGATAAGCTGGTTGAGATCAGAAGTAAGTGTGGTACATTCATTCTTTACGACATATCATGTTACTAATTTGACTTTAGACCGCCGCCCACAGGTGCTGGACAATGTCTTTATCCGTCCTGCCATGGAAGGCAAGCGGGTTCCTGGAAAGGTCGAGATACACCAGAACGGTATCCGGTACCAGTCACCATTGAGCAGCCAACAGAGGGTGGATGTGCTTTTCTCCAACATTCGACATCTATTCTTCCAGCCTTGTGCTCACGAGTTGATTGTCATCATCCACATACACCTCAAGGACCCCATCATCTTGGGCGGCAAGAACAAGAAGACAAAGGACGTGCAGTTTTACCGAGAAGCAACGGACATTCAGTTTGATGAAACTGGTAATCGCAAGCGCAAGTACCGATATGGTGATGAGGACGAGTTCGAGGCCGAACAAGAAGAGCGCCGCCGCCGTGCCGAACTCGACCGTCTTTTCCAGAACTTTGCGCAGAAGATTGCCGAGGCCGGCAAGAGCGAGTCTATTGAAGTAGACATGCCGATCAGAGAACTTGGCTTTAATGGTGTTCCGTTCCGCAGCAATGTCTATGTTCAGCCCACAACCGACTGTCTGATCCAGGTGACAGAACCCCCATTCCTTGTCGTCACCTTGGAAGACGTAGAAGTTGCTCACTTGGAACGTGTGCAATTCGGATTGAAGAACTTTGATCTCGTTTTTGTGTTCAAAGACTTTACTCGAGCACCAGCACATATCAATACCATTCCAGTCGAGTCTCTGGACGATGTGAAGGAATGGCTCGACAGCTCCGAGATCGCCTATACCGAAGGACCTCTCAACCTCAACTGGCCCACGATCATGAAGACCGTGACAGCAGACACCCACCAGTTCTTTGCAGATGGCGGTTGGTCATTCTTGGCCGCCGAGAGCGACGACGAGGGTGAAGAGGAGGAAGAGGAGGAGTCTGCGTTTGAGATTTCCGAAGAGGAACTCGACGATGCTAGTGAGTCGTCAGAGGAAGATTCGGACTTTGACGACGATGCCTCCGCCGATGCTTCGGAAGAGGAGGCTTCCGACGACGAAGAAGGCGAAGATTGGGACGAGCTGGAGAAGAAGGCCAAACGTAAGGATCGGGAGAGCGGCCTCGAGGACGAAGACCGCAAGCAGAAGAAGAGAAGAAAGTAGGCGATACGCCGGGAATTACAGTGCATCGGTAATGGTCTTGAGCGTTGGCTCAAGCCTGGCCTCTGTGGAGCAAACTGGCTCGCACTGGGTCTGGACTCGTGGGATGTGTTTCATGGCGACGCGGATGTCTTGCAGACGAGCGTGCGTTCTTTCGGATCTGACATTTTCTTCGGCCTGTAGATTATATTCGCTTTGAGGGGGAAATGAATGGGCTCGCTCTAGGAGGTACGGCATGTGCTAGGGGCAGGAGCAGCTCAATGATGTGGTGCCCGGGCGGGAATCCAGTTTGTTATAGGGTAAAGAGTACTTTATGAAAAGACGTAAGGCGTTTATGGTTCATATTCAAGACAACTGGCTGCATATACTTAAGTGATCGCAGTAACCTATGACACTAGAGCAATCTCGAGATCAAATGTCTTATGAGTGCCATCAAGAGATTCTCACATGCCGGTAAACCGACAGAGACCATCCTACAAGACCCCCTTTGCCGTTTCCTCTGACATGCGCGCGCATACAACAAACTAATCTTTATAAACCATGCCGAGGAAGAAAATTATTGCGGCGATAAGTTTTTGTCTTTGGTTTTGACTTTTGATCTTTTCACTTTTCAAAAGTGGAGTGGAATAATCCGCAGCCTTGATTATCACCCTAGCCTCCAACGCGCCTTCCTTTTTACAAACGCCGGTACAACTGCAGCGAGAATTACTTTTTCTTTTCTTTTTTTCGGGCCTCCTCCTCCTGCCGTTTGTCACTGTGTGCGAGTCTTCAAATCCTAGGTCCAAGCATTTCTTTCCTTTTCTCGGACAATAACTCAACATTTTCCAATTGCGATCACCAACTCAACAACAGCACTGACTTTGCTTCAGCAGCGGTCATCCGATATGCCTTCTCCCGTTTCCAAGGATGATCACGCCCGCGAAGATGAAGAGATTCCTCAAGTCGCATCCGAGTCAGTCACATCTTTCAACTCCTCAGCACTCGTGCGTGTTATTTGCTGACTGCAATCTAGCCTTATCGAGGTCAACGTAGACAATCAAGAATCTGGCAAGCACGCTGACAATGGCCTGTCTCTGGAATTGAACACCAACCCCAAGCCTAGCGATGAGGCCCCCAAGAAGCGAGGCCGTCCGTCGAAAAAGGGCAAGAAGCTCCCATCCACCCGTGAGTTTACCCCATGTGTTGCCAAAATCAGTGCCAGAGTAATGATCATTTATTGACAATCTGTAGCCATCAAGACATCTTCCCCAGTCCTCGAGAAGATGTCATCCAAGAAGGCAACACCCACGGTTGTTCGTCTCAGCGAAGGCGATAATGATGAAGATGACAGTGGCAATGATAGCGGCGAAGTCAACGTTGAGTTCGATCTTCCGGCCATCTCTGAATTATTTTCCAAGGAAAAGCGTGCCCGCGAGCTCTCGGAAGATGATAACGCTGGCGAGCTCGAAGTTCGCCCCAAGAAGCGAGGCCGCACCTCCAAGAACGTTAAGACTGCCATTGTAGAGCAAGAAAACGAAGGCTCACAACCCGCCCGCAAGCCGCGTGGCAGACCCAGAAAGTCAGCATCTGCTGCACAGGCTAGTGATGGAGCCAAGAAGTCTGCCGAGTCCATTTCACTTTCGAAAAAGAGTGACAAGAGCGCTTCACCAGCCAAAGTTGGTGACCACGCACCACGACGCTCAAGTCGAGCTGCTTCAGAGTCTGCCAAGGTCAACATGTCTGAACAAGTGAGTTTTCCGTCAAGCTCAACCAAAACCGTGCTGCTGACAGATAAAAGACCAAGAAACAGAAGCAGCCTGCCATCAAGACAGACTTCCTTTCTTCCAAAGGCAAGAATATCACCCAGCAACCTGCTCGTCGCGGCAGAGGTCGTCCCAAGAAGGAGACATTCTTTGCGGTTGAGAAGCTAGTCAACAAGAAAGTGGACAAGGGCGGAGTGACCAAGTATCACGTCAAGTGGGAGAATTATGCCGATACAGAGAATACTTGGGAACCCGTTGAAAACCTCAAGGGCTGCATGCATCTCGTCGAGGCATACGACAAGAAGGAGGCTCGCAATGCCAAACGACCCAAGAAGACGAAGAAAGCCTAAGTCTGAAGGCATTGTGATGACACTTCTGAATAGCTGTATACTATACTTTTCGGCACTGGCCTGGGACCATCATCCGCACATCATTTTCAGTGAGTCTACCAACAGATACTGCGAATCATATGACTAACGGATACTTCAAGAAGGACCATTTGCGACAATTGAGTTGTCGGGAGACTGCTATGGTGGTCAAAGTCTAGAGATTTGACTGTCGCACCGGAAAGTTTCCCATGACCTGAGAGCGAAACTGGAGAATTCATAGCATATGAAAAAGTCAGTCTCCAAGTAGTTTAATGAATTATGATTTCATGATGAGCACCATTATCTGTTACCACACGCGATTAATAATGATAATTGAAGTGCAAATGGTGGCATTTTCTCATCTTCCATTTGCACAAATATAGCTTCAATAAATAAGCAATTATAAAAATATTCATTGTGTTAAAGTTGGAACTCTTTCCTACCTTACACGTGAAGTCTAACAGAAGTGTATGTAAGCCGTCTTGATATGATGCGATGCTGATTGGCTGAATCCACCGGGGCATTCCGCAGCCACCTAAACGCGGGATGATTCCGGCGCAGACAATTGATTTTTGGTTGAGCTTCAGGATGGAGCTGGCATATGTCTAGCCAACTCTCTCTCCCTTTCCGAGCCAAGCACGGCGCAATTCGTTTATTGCTTGCAATTGGCGAGGATTTATTTCCCCGACCGACCAGGAATGGCTTCGGTATTTGCAAAGACGCTCCCGTCGTCACTCAGCGCCCGGACGCTATTTGTCAAATGCTCGCCTGCGCCATCGAGCTTTACTGAGCGCCGGGCCGTTCTCAAGACCCTGGCCGCGGCTGGCACCGACACGAACATTGAGGTCTTCAAGAGGCTCGAGGTAAAATCGCATTGTCTCGATCTAGCCACAATCGTGTGTTGGCTGACTCAATCTGTTGTATAGGACAGCTCCTCGTTCATTGCAGTCACGACCACGCCCGAGAGTGCCCGGTCACTCCTTAGCGATTCACCCTACGAGCGCATCGTCCACCTGCAGGATGCGGCCAAGGCCTCGCTCTTCTCGACCGCTGCCTGGGGCGCTTCTTTCCGAACAACAATCACGGACCCCGTCAATGTTCAACCAGTAGAACAATGGAGGCGCCGGGGAAGTAAGTCGACGGGGACGGGTGACACGACCGCCGAGATCAGCATGGGGCTCATCAGCAAGACCTTTACAATACATGTGTTTCCGGCCAATGCCTCGTTCAATCACAAACGCGCCGTCGAGCTGAGCCCGCTCCACGGGCCATGGCCGCGCAATGATGGCTACGACACGTTTGTGTCTTTGGCCTTGAAGAAATCGATCCCCGGCAGTCGCATGTCGCCCGGTCTGCGCGACTGGCACACGGGCAGACAATTATCTCAAGATCCTATGGGGCATGAGGATGAGGGAGCAGAGAGCCTCCTTGGAAGCAAATCGCGCCGATCCTATTTTATTGAAAGGCGTATACGGAAAGCCGAGAATGAAATACCCGACGTGATGCGAAGTCTAGCCGCCGTCGCAAAATCTTCAAAGACACCATCATCATCATCAAGTCAGGAATCAATAGCAGAACAGAAGGGCAAGCTGTCGCATGAGCCTACGCTACCTAACAAGTCCAATTGGAACGACGCACAATCGGTAGCGGATGACACCAACAAGAGGGAAAACAGTCATAAGGACATGATCAAGGACAAGCCCATTTCACCGTCTGATTTCCACGACTTATTTCACGGGTCTTGAAAGACATTATAATGGCAGCAAAGACTGTACACTCCGCAGAAACATCACGCGATGATTCGGTCTTCTGGAAGCGCCTACCAATAACCGAAGGATGCGCGTCAAATCAATATGCAGGATGAAATGATAAGGTAATATGGCTCGCCGCAAGCTAACTCCGAGGTATGGGATTCCTCCTTAGCATGGCAGGAGAGTGAGGCCAATCAAGCATCATCAACCCCCCAGCATCTCCAATACACAGTACCGGCATTTAGCATGTGAGCTTTTTGCCAAAAGAAGACCTTGTTCCGGGGGGTGGGAGATGGGACATTGTTTGTTTCGTATCATGTCAGCCAATCCTGCACGAAACAAGACGAGATGGGAATGAATTGGCAATCTGTCTGTGGCTTGACCCATGCAGAAGTGCAATTTGAGGGAAAGGAGAAAGTAGCAGGCACATGTACCGTGGCACGCACTACCAGTGACCACTGTTGCGAACCTCGAAGCAGGGACAGAGGAAGCAAGACACCAGATTTCTGTCCGCGCAGAAACCCAGATACGCAAACATTGATGAAAATGAAAGAATCATTATGTAACTCCCCCATCATACGCCTACATGGACCATGCCGACAAAATAAGTTGAGCGCCTCGGCAGTCGGCAGCGCAATTGCACGAAAATTGACGAGGGTCAAGAGACTTGAAGTCGGCTTTGGCTCGCCAAGCTCGAAGGGTTTAGCACGTCACTTTTTGGCTCCAAAATCAAGGAACGGCCAGATCCTGGCGCTGTGATTTAGTGCGGGTGGACATGTGGTTCCAATCCCACGCCTTGGTTTTAGTGAGAGTCCAGCCAATGCAGGGGCCGATTTGGGCCTGGGGACTCACCTCCATAGGCCCTTTCTAGCTGCGCCCATACGTCATTTCATCACCAACAGCCGGTGCAGCCAGTCTCTGCCAGTTTACCTACCGGCTCGAACTGGGCGCCGGCGTATTGAATTTCACCTAGGTTATGCCTGAAGCAGGTATAGTCTTACTGGCGCAGCAGGCGACGACTACGACGACGATGATAGAGCGACAAAGACCAATTCCGGTGGATGGTAGCTGAGCCAACTGTGCTGGTTGTGTGCAATAGCTGTAGTCTGGTCCAAATTGCCTCGACTGGACGTGCCGATTTACCCTTGGTGTTATCCCCAATCGAGGATATGGCAGCCGACAGTGAACGGAATGACGTCGTATGATCACTTCTAGATTGCGTGTTCAGGGGCCTAGCCACAGCCTGTACGTAGTATGGCAATGTGACGAACAGTCCCTTTTTCTTTTTTCTTCTTCAGTCCCAATTCCTGTTTGTTGTGCCAGCCCTGCCAGTATACTACCCGAGCCGAGTGACAGGGTCCTAGCCAAGAACTGGAAGCGTGAGCGCGTGTATCACATCACTGTTCTATGATCGTCTGTCTGAGACCGTGGTTTCTTGATATATGTTGCTGTCGCTCCCGCCCCAACCTTGATTGTTGATCCCTCTCATCCTGTGACCACTTGTAATCTGTACGGCTTCGTTTTGCGCTCGCTGCTTGACATTTCAACCAGCCCTCTCTCTCCCCCCCTCGAGGAATCATTCTTGACCTACTTTTTTTCAACTTGACAATAACAAGGAACAGCCAAATCGTAGCCGGCATACCATAATATCTCCCAACATGCGTCAAACAGGCTTCTTCCACCACATTGGCTCCTTTCTGCTCTTCTCAGCCACCATTCTCCTCATCATCACCTGCATCAGCGCCCCCGTGGTACACAACCTGTCGGTGCTCAAGGTGAACCTCGCCAACAACGACAATGACTTTAGCCCCGACATCACCTTTGGCACCTTTGGCTGGTGCGTCCAGCAGTCTGGCAGCGACGACGACTGCTCGTCCACCCACGTGGGCTACGACGCGGCCGGCGTGCTCAAGAACAGATCCAGCGGCGCCTTTGACACGTCTGACTTTGCTGGCGACACGGCCAATGGACTGACCCGCGTCATGGTCCTCCACCCCGTCGCCGCCGGTCTGTCCTTTATCTCGTTCCTGCTCGCCCTTGGCGCCGGCGTCGTCGGCAGCTTCTTGGCCGCCATCGTCTCCCTGTTGACGTTTATCGTCACTCTCGTCGTCCTCATTACCGATTTCGTCGGCTTTGCTATTCTCAAGAACGCCGTCAACCGCTCGGACACGGGTGCCACCTCCGAGTTTGGTGCTTGCAGTACGTTCGCCTTTTCATTCCTTCAATCAATATGAAATTGAGACAATCTTGCTAACTTTCTTCCTCTTCTTATAGTGTGGACTCTACTTGTTGCCGCCATTTGCAACCTGCTCGCCACCATTGTCGTCTTCTTCACCTGCTGTAGCGCACGTCTGCACAAGAAAAGACACAGCAGCGCCAAGGTTGAGCGCTACGACAGCCCGCCTACTCGTCCCGCCCGCAGACGGTGGTTCTAAATATCCAGAACGTGCCCAACAAAGGACCTCCCAAGTCGGGTTCCTTGAAGTTCTAAATCTAGGATCTATCTTCACACGAGGATCACCACTATGCAAGAAAACAAATCCCGGGGAAAAACTGGGTCAGACTTGATGACCTTAAAACCTTGGCATCTTATACATATACCCCCACACAACGCACATGAGAAACGATAAGCGCATGATTTGAAGAGGCAAGAGACAAAATGTCGCGGCGAAGTCCGGTGTTATGACACCACGATATTGCAGAGATGATAATTTTTCATACTGTTTTTGTTTGTAACTCATATACCTCTTGATACCACCAGTATACCAAATTCAATTCCAATAATTCAAAATATAACATCTCACACCATAAAGTTTAGTGACCATTTGTGTGCCTACCATAACTTGTAAATTGGAATGACCATGTCGAACGCCAGAGTCGCACACATTACTTTCAGATTTGCCGCTCTAATGATTGTGTGACGAATACATTTCATTGTTGTCTGGATTATTTTCATTCATATGTAGGGACTTTGTATAGCGTGTAAACTACCTCTTGACTAAACTAATATAAAAAGTATCACTCATGCGAGACCGATCTGTCAGCCTGAAGTCAGCAGCTAGTCGAGCTCATCGTCGTCTGACAATTCCTCGAAGCGTCCTGACTGCTGGGCGACCCGGACTGGATTCTCTGCAGAAATAATGCCGTTTGCTCTCAATCTAAGAAATGTTATGTCAGTATGGGACTTGAACAGGGTTCGAATGTCCACGCTCACCTTTCGAACAGTACATATAGTCGTTCAGCTTCTCGCTCCTTCTCCGCATCAGTCATCTCTGGGACATTTGGGGCTTGTTCTGAGTTGAGGAACTGGCCCGTGACGGGGTTGACAGGTTGAGCCTCCCCTTCGGCGTCCGCAAAGGCCTCCTGTGCACTGTTGGGAACCGGAAGCCCTCTGTTGTATAAAAACCCAGAGGCGAATCCAAAGCCGACGTTGTCCACAAATGTTGTGGCGTCCTTGTCCGACATGTCAAACAGAAGCTCCGAAATTGCCTCTCGGAGCTGCGGCGTGAGCGGGTTGGTCGAGTTGCGTAATAGCCACGACGCAATCGTAGTACCGCGACCTAGGACTTCCTTGCGATCGTCTGCCGTGGGTAGCAATGCTACTCTGATTGCCGTCTTGACTTCGCCTGGAGCATATTCGTGAATACCTCGAATGACGCCAATCAAGGCAGTAACATTGTTCTCGAGCTCCTCATCATTGTAAGCCTTACTTGATGACTTGAGAAGGTCGATGAGACGATCCGAAAACTGTCTGGGCTCGGCAGCAGGGTACAGTGAACTGTGAATGTCTGGGGAACCGAGGTCGAGATTCAAGAGAGCATTGATCAGGTTCACCACGGGTGCATCGAGGGGCTTTGGTCGAGTGTTTGAGTATGTTCCGGTGCAGAGGAGAGTGACGATAGGGGGGATGGCCTGAGTAAATGAAGAAGTCTTGTCTCTGCAATAGTGTGTGATGTTGAAAAGAAGCTTCAAAGTTTCAATCAAAGCCATGGCTTCCATGGGATCAGTAGGCGCCGCTCCGCTTGCGGCATGTTTGGCGTGTCGTTCCAGATTCTTGATAATGCTTTCGGCAATGTGGTGTTGGTCGATCAGATCTTGTAGATTAGCCTTGGCATACGTGGTAAGAAAGAGAATCCTCGAAACGAGGAACTCATCGTCTCGATTGTCATTCTTCAACTTGAGGCAAGCCTTTGCCTCAAATTTCAGGTCAATGAAGATTTGCCGTGTTTCTGCCTTCAGTAACAAGGCATTACACAGACATCGGAGAGCGTTTCTCGATGTTGTGCTCGAGGGGCTGTTGAACGCATGTCTAGCTAAAGTTTCTATGCCCTGTGCCACGTCAGTATTTCTTGCTTTAGAGGGAATGTCGAGAGGTTTACAGTCTTGGTGAAAATGGGCTCGGCGTTCCTTGGATCTCTCCCATAGATTTTGAGCTCCTCCAAGGCCGCATCACGTTCTACAGAACCTGTTATGAACTTGTCCAAATTTCCAAAGCGTATGATGATGCTTACGATGTGGGAGAAGACTGACAGTCTCGAGATCCTTGTTCAGTTTGTCGATGAGCTCGGTTACTGCGGCCAGCTTGGCTAAATAGAGGGTCAACTGGAGGACAGGCTCCTAACTCCGGACATGGGTAAATACCTGGCCCAGTCAAGGTGCCCATACTTTGTGCCATTTCCTTCTGGTATTCACTGGGCCTATCAAAGAAGTGAATCGGGCTACTTGGAGAATTTGGACCTAAAGAACCCAAAGACGAAGATGTGAACAATCGCTTGAGACCATGTGGTCTTTGGCGACAAATCTGTGCAGGCATTGTAAGTTGATTTGGCAAAAGAGAACAGGAGATGATATGTTCGAAAGAGCCACGAGACGAATGCTTAGGCTGCTAGAGGAGTTTTGTACGGCGTGGTGACTTGGAGAGACGCAGATGCAATCCCGATACATATATAGATATATATATGGGTGCACAAGGTCGGCAAGTCTAGTATCAATCATATTGTGTTCAAGCCACACTGCCTTGTGGCCGGAGGATAGAAAAGGGCTAAATTGACACCCGGCGGCAAGGGACTTCCAGAGCCGCCATTCTATGCTGGCATGGGATGGGTAATGTGTGCTCTGACTGACTGTATGAGATCTGACTAGTGAGGTGCTGGACGTAATTTCAGTAAGAAGTCCGATGCCCTCCAAATATTTATCAAATGCGGCCGACAGATCTTGAAAAAGTATGCCGGAGTATACGAATGAGAGCAAGAAGCTTGTGAAGCACTTGCGGAAATATATGTACGATACACCAGAAACTTATAGGCTCTGTCTGCTCAGACTGGGGTGATGCTTGCAATACCCCAACTGTGCGTGAAGTTGGAAGATTGAACGAGGAAGAAGAGAAATATACCAACTTACCTGGAATTGTTGAAGCCTGAAAGTAAAAGCTGGGCGCAAGGTCAGCGTTGGTATGATACAGACGGGCGTGAGACCGCAGCAAAAAGCTTAGTTTTGATTATGAAGATTCAGGTCGGATGGACATGCATCGATTGTGCAATGTAGGTATGGGGGATGGATGTACGGCAGTCCTGGCTGGGGTGACATGCATACGTACAAATGCAATCCAGCTTGATCCGGAGCCAAAGGGGGTTCAAAGTGGACAACTTGGATGAGGACCCCTCGATTGTCGAGCTAGTACTACATCGAGAATGTACACAGTACATGCAGTCTGCGCCTAAATACCGTCTCCGCGGCGTGGCATTCTTTTGTTAGGGCTTCAGTGCAGCGTGTCATGGACGTAGTAGATGCAAGCACTAAAAATGCACTTCGTACTGTATGATTATCGATGTTTGGTGGATGGATGGACCATGGTGGTGCACAAGGGAAGCTTGAACACTTTCAAACGACTGCATTACCCATGTACTCCGTAACTACATAGCAGACGCACCCCCAGACTGACGAGAACCACCTTAAAAGTCAGCAAACGCGCCGCGCTCGCATGCATAGGACGTGTAGTATCTTTTAGCGTGCCTTAAAAGCACTGACCCCGCCGCCCATGGGCGGGTGGTTGGCGAGGAAAAATCAATTAAGCAGGGGTCTAGCTTTTAGAACGCGCCGCGTTCACAGGGTCCCGGACGCGTTTCCTACTACTACCAAATGGATGTGATTTGATCCCGGAGCGGGTGACCAATTTGTCGAGTGCTTTCCGCGAACAGCCACTCTACTCAACCTCCTCTCAACTTTTCGTAATTGATGGTCTATTGAATACTGGCCTCCTTTGCATCTTCTCAGCCATTTACTTTTGAAAAGGTATATTTCGAGCGCCGTTCATTCCTTACCGCGTCTCGGAAGCTAGACTTGCACGCACTTATACAACCGCTAGACACCACATGTTCACTGGTCTCTGAAGGAGACTCTTGAGCGGTGGGCCTGCAAGTCCTTGAGGTGTCCGACCTTCAGTCATGGTACCGGACGTAGTTGTCACCAGTACTAGTCTGGAGACAATCCCTCCTCGACCGCCAACGCCCCCGCGAGAGAAGCCAACCGATCCTCACAAGCAGAACGAGAAACAGCTGCTCGCCCGCCCTTCCCTCGACCCAAGGCGGAGTCTCCAGACTCCTCCGGATTACTCGCCATATTCCTCAGACTTGTCCAACCCGACCTCCCGGAGGACACGCAAAAAGGTTGGCTTTTCAAGCCAGGCAGACTATTCCGACGCTCCGTCTGGCCGGTGTATTGCAGGCACACCTGCTTCTACCGTCTCCACGGCCAGTCCAGCACAACCGCTCAAGTCCATCCTCAAACCCTCACCTCCAACCATCTCCAATCCTCTTGATCCCTCTGCCGGGACAGATGAAGCGACAAGAAATGCTACCATCACCACAATGCTCGAGTCCACTACAAAACAACTTGCGGGGGCTGACCGAGCCTCCAAGCTCGACGCATACTCGATGCTTGTACGGGCCCTCAAGACCTCGAATAACTTGCCGGATCGAATCGCCCTACAGGATAAGATGGGTCTCTTCACTCAATTCATCCAACGGGATTTGACCATGGTTCATGAAGAGAGTAAAGAGCTCGATTCATCGCTCTCCAATCATGCATCGACACTTCTCATCACCTTTCTCAACTTTCCCGCCATCGCTTCTTCGATATCCAACGATTTCAGAGTCTTCATCATCGATCATTGTATCCGCTCTTTTGATAATGCCACTGTGCCCAAGGATGTTGTAAGACATCTGATGCAGGTGGTTGCCTCGCAAGATTTTCCTCCAAAGGTCATGACATCTGACCGTGTCGGTCGATTGGTCTCATCTCTCCATCGCATTGAAGAGCACATGAAAGGAAAAAGCATAATCATGTCTCGTATTCTCATATACAGGAGATTGATTAAACAGTCCAAGCCGCACATGGTGGTACACTCGGATTGGCTGCTCGATCTTTTCACTGATCTGTTGAGCAGCATCAAAGAGATTCGGGCCTCAGCCATTGCTCTCGGATTGGAAGCTAGCTTCTCCATAGCCAAGGAGAAGCAACTATCGAGGCGTGTCATGGAGATCTTGGAGCTTGCAATCGACGAGACAAAGTACATCCAGTACTACGCTGGGCGGCTCAAGACCATGCTCAAGTCGAAAGATAAGAATGAATGCATGGTGGTGCCACAAATATGGAGCGTCATAATACTGCTCATGAGGTGTCCTGTCACCAAATGGGACTTCTTTGGCCCGTGGCTTGAGATCATGCAGCTGTGCTTCAATCATGCCGATCTCCAGACCAAACTCGAAGCAAATTATGCTTGGAACCGTCTGGTATACTGCATGCAGCTCAATGATCAGTCTTTTGCCAAAATCATTGCAACCATTCGCCAGCCCTATGAAAGTCAGTTGAGGCGAAAGAAGTTGAGTGATGAGCTGCGCAAGGTTGTCATTGGCAGTCTCTGTAATTTATATTACTACTCCTTCAAACCCAACACCAGCTCGGATCATATCAGCAACTTTTGGGACTCTTGTGTTCCTCAGTTGATGGCTGCCATGGTGAGCCCGGCTACAAACTCAAAGAAAACAACGCAAACGCAGTCTGCTTGGCCAGACCAGTTGCCTCAAGCTATTCAGATTATGGCAGCATTGTTAAATTCGACAACGCCGAGGATTTGGAAGGAAGATCGTATCGCAGATTCACCTCTGGTCAAATTCGCTGAGCTACCTGCTCTGGATCCGAAATGGGTCCGACGGAACGCTTCCAAGGTCTTTTCTGTCCTCGAACCCATGTTGACCAAGACGTTCTTGGACCTCGCAGACCCGACGTCGGCTACAGCTAGGCTCTGGCGGTCCCTAGTCAATTCTGTGGCATTAGCTGCAAGCAAGGAAATCAAAGTCTCGTCGGACACAGCTGTATTCATGGCGCATGCTTTCACCTTTCTTCTGCGAATCTGGTCCCACGGACTCTCGGGCCTCACCACTGAAGACCAAAGCTGGAGTCGCTTCTATGACGCGGTTGCTACGTTGGTCAATGAGCTCATTGGTTCTCTAGGTATTCTACCTTTCACGGAAAGGCAGCTCTCCATTGGAAACCAGAATACTTTCCTCCCGGTGGCCACCCCGTCACATCGTGCCGGAAAATCTCAAGGAATGACTCGAACGCCACTGCTCCATCTTTTCTCTATTCTGTCGTCGCTCCCGGGTGGTGCCCCTGACGACGAAAGTCTCCTAGACCTCCTCCGAACAATCTTCACTCCCCTCATATCGACGAAACCACCAAAGGCTCGAGTCGAACTTGGCCGTGAGCTCATGGACTGCATGCCCATGGGTACCCTATCACCTTTTGGGCCTTGGATCTTCGTTTCTGAGATCTTCGAGTCATCGGTCGAAGTGTGCCAAACGAGTGAGTCAACACTCAGCGCCGGCAGCCAGCCTCCTGTCGGACCAGAGTATCGGGAATTCGTCAAACACCTCGAAAGAGGCCTACGCTCGACACCAAAGCTTCCACGGGAAAACTGGCTATCACTGTACAACTTCATTGCGAGCCAGACTATCGAGGAAACGGGAGAGGCCGGCTGCGCAATTGCTCTCATTGAACCCATGGCCAAGTGTGTGTTGGATCTCTTGGGAAACAAACCGAGTTCTGGACACACGATTTACCTCTTTCTATCTGGGATCGGCCTGATATCGGATGCGCGATATCCAAGAGACAAGGCCGCCATTGATGCCGCTCGGCGTAGGCTTTGGGGAACATCCATATCTGGATCGCGATCAGCTACCTTTGATCCTTTCGATCATTTGTACAAGCTCATCAATCACCTTCTTGTTGATTCCTACCAACACTATCAAGAACGAAACAGTAGTGGAGTTGTGGCACCATTACTGAACGAAGTCGCCACTTTCCTCGCAAAGTGCAACAAGCTCTTGGTGTTCAAGTCTTTGGTGCACCTGCAAACCGGCATTGGACTTTGGATCCAGGACAAAGAAGTGCGATATAGCAGCCGACAATCCCCTCACGTATCTGATGCTGTATGTCATTTCACAAAATTTGTTGTAGCTGTTGCTAATTGAGAACTTAGGTCAAATCCCTCTGGAACTGTATTCGCAACATTTTCATCCTGGCTGATAATCTGGACCAAGTACAACTTGACACCATCGAACCCCTCCTATGTTCGGCCTTTGAGAGCAGGCACAAGCATATCGTCAACGGTGTCGCTGTCATGTGGAACCAGGCATTCTGCGAAGCCGAGGAGGTCATCTATCCAGAAAAACTGAAGGCAACCCTGTTGTCACTTCGCCCTCATGTCGACATTGTACTTCCTGGGATTGATGTTTCTAGTCTCGAGTCCAGCGGCCTGCAGCCCCAGTTCATTGACTCCCAAGATGAGACTGACGCTGCTGTCTCGTCAATCACGCCAGCCCATAAAGCTACACCACCAATTGATCGCCGTTTGTCATCGAGACGTTCAAAGTCCAATACTCCAACGCCAATCCAACTTTCCGTAGCGAACCACCGATCGGTACAGAGTACACCCACCAGTGCTCTTACCAAGACCAGGCGTGGTGCAGCGGCAAGACTGCGGCACGATGATTCTCAGATTCAATTTGCTGCCATTGAATCTTCATCTCCTATCCGAATTAATGATGAGTCCCAAGTATTGACCGAACGGCAGAAGGAGATCAAAGAGCGACAACGGAACACTGCTGCCCTCTTCCCAGAGATGCGGTCAAGTGGTGAAGTACCAAGTAAAAAGCAGCAAGAAATTGATCAGGATGACGGTCCAGACGAGTCACAGAATGAGAAGATTGTCACTCCCAAGTCACATCGCAGTTTTGAAGACTATGTCTCATCAACTCCGACCCCGCGACGCGGACAGGCTTCTCTCATTGATGAAAATGATCAGGAAATGACGGATGATATCCCCTCTTCGCCCCCCGATCCTCGACGCTATCCGCTTGTCCCGGAAATTATCCAAGCACAGTCTAGCAGCAGCAGTGTTTTGGATGAATGGCAGTTCACGTCGTCCCCGATTTCTGGCTCACCTCGGATTGATCAGACAATCGCCTCAGTTCGACAGGTGAAGAATAATCATGCGAATCAGCAGTCTTTGGTGGATAACTCGCGCATGTTGGGCATTGAGAAAGCTGCGCCAATTGTATCTGATGATGACTGCGACCATGCCGACATTGAAGATGAGGGCTCTGATGCTCCAATGATTGATAACGACCCCGTGGGGCCCGTGTTGTCGGACAATCATCAAAAGGCCTCAACGCCGCCTAACGCACGCAGCATCAAGGTTCAAGAGACACCAAAATCGGACCATGAAGTTTTCGTCGATGCACTGACGAGCCCTGAACCACAAACACCTCGAGCTCAGCGAGCGTTGGCCAGGGCTGCACAAGCCGCAGCTGTGCAGACGGAAAAGGCAGTCTCATATCAAAACCCATCTTTCGACGCCAGCGATGTTGATGAACGCAGTCTTCTGCGACTTGTTGTCGAGCTCGACTCGCGCAAGTGTTCACCACTCCCTGATGGTCCTGAGAGAAGACTGCTGAAAGCTTCTCATGCAGGGCTCTCTGACGAACGAGGTGGCTCTCCAGTGCTGGATTGCATAACAGTCAGCGCTGATGCGGACGAATCGAGAAAATCAGATGACTCTAGACTCGAGGCGACCTCTTCAGTTATACCTTCAACGCCGTTTGAGGCTAGCTCGTCACGCGATGCTGGTCGCAAATTCAAGAGAAAGCGAAAGCGAACGAGCGACACATCTGAAGAGGCGAACAGTAGGAAACGCAGATCAAGCCAGGACAACAAGCGGGGCGCTGGAGCGGTGCCTAGCAGCCAACTTACGCAGGCCAATGATAGTAAGCCTTCAATGCCTTCTACCATGGCTGGAATAGTAGCTGACACCGAATCTAGGCGCTTCGTTGGAGTTATTCGAGACTTCTGGTGGAGAACGACAAACAAGCTCCTCGCAAGAATCTTTTGCAAATAGGGATGACGAAACGACAGAGGTACCGCTTGCGTATACGCATGGGGATGTCGATACGTCAATAGATGAACTTGAGGCTGTAAACCTGCAAATTGTGCAGGAAGCCTCGCAGAATACAGACCAGGGAGCTGCAGCAGAGCTGGAGACGATGGGGCCTGTACCTGCGGCCATGGAAATTGAGACTAGCACAGATGGGCAGAATGAGGGAGTGGTGGCAGAGAGAGATTTCGAAGATGCGGTTAAGGCCGTCTCGGTGGACCAAGTGGAAGTTCCCAAAGCAACATTTGAACTGTCACCCATGGAGAAAATTATGGAGGCCCTGAAAGCTGGTCTCACAGAACTACGAACAGCCACCCTGACCCGAGATGAGGTCAACAAGGTGGAGGATATGTTCATGGATATGAAAAGGGAGCTATACGGTGCTGAGCTTCGAGGACGCAAATGAAGAACAAGAGACGAGGAGGGAAGTATGCATTGTCACATGAATCAGCAAGAGAAGGGTATACTGTAAAAAGTCACGACCGGGGCATCATATTCTGTATATCAAGGACGGATACCACATTGGCAAGGAGTTATGGTTTTGCATGCTCAAGATGTCGTTTTTTCACTCATGGGTTTTCTTTATTTGTTGGAATGGAATGCATAGAAAGGGGTCATGATGAAACCCTACTGATATGACAATTGCTTCACGTACACTGCAGGCATTTGCCACGTCCAGGTCCGGATCACAATAATCAAGGCGACAGAAGGAATGAAGTGAGCTTTTACATGCAGGAGATTGAGAGTCAAGTATGGATCATTCAAGCAGCTATGCATGGGAAGAAGTCAGAGCACAGCATAACTATCATGCCATGGCCATCATGACTGATTACAGCTTGATACCACTGATTCATTCGCCATAAATTCTCAGTAAAATTTATGCCTCTGTTTGAAATGGCCCTGCGCCCTGCCAACAGGAACACTGACATAGTCGTCATCTTGAAAATCATGTGCATACTGCTCGCAAACCACTCAGTTCCAGCATCTCGCATATAATGGGTGTTGAAGAAGGGAATCAATGCGCATAGGTATACCTCAAGGCGCCAAAAGAGTATTAAATTTACCAGGTACCTGCCTACTACCTTGTATGGTATATTCACGGACGCGCTAGCATTGGGTTAGGAAATGCTTATTTGCTAGTACGTAAATTGATCAATAGCATGAACTTTGAACTGTCCAAGCGCAAGCTATCTCCGTGACGCAGTGAGAAGGCCCAACCAACTGTTCTTGTGTGTGGCAGTAGAGTCGCACTTCAACGTCTTGTCTTTGTGGTTCGGAAGTTATGATTAGTCAAGTACAGAAATCTATAGATGATGATGATTTATTCATTTCTCGAGGAACGAGTCATCGAGTGTTGCTTTTCCAATTGTCCAAGACGTTCTCAACTGCATTGCATACATGCACAGTATCTACCTATGCTTTCTAGCGTACCCCGCTACTGCTCTTGTGGAATCCTCGAGCTGTTTGAGCAGATCAAACTCAACCATACATACGCTCGGTTGCGCAAGGGGGTTATTTATTTGCATAATCCATTGACCTCAATTGAGAGTTCGATTGTCTCGGAGATATTCCAGCTTTTATAATGTTCCGAGACTTGAGTAGAGACCTGCATTACTAAACATCCGGTCCCGTTTGATCAGCTCATCTGAACTCGATTCAAAGAGAAAAAAAAAGGCATTCCCTTGCCAACCACACATCATATCGTCTACTAAAAGAGAACTAACTAACTACCGGACAAGCAACAACGGGGCCCCTCCCGCCACACACCTCACCCCGCCGAACCTCAAACAACACCAAAACCCCACCATCGTCACAGCTGCGCCAGAGAGCTCAAGTTTGGCGAACAAAAGCACCTACCTAGTGCCAAAACCCAGATAACTTTGCCCGCCAAACAACAAAAAAAGCCACATACTTACTTCATACTTTCCGTCTATTGCAACTCTGTTCCTTGGAGCTTGCTTGTGCCGCCGATCCAACCACTTCCGCACGCCCGAACTCACCGAGCCACAAAGTCGACGTCAAGTTTTAGTAATAACAAGACAATTATCTACTTGCCCAACATGGTCGACCGTCCTAACAAGCCCGCCGCTCTAGCGACCACGCCTGGTCTGCCTCCTTCCGCCCAGGTCAACATTACTCACGACAACAGCCGTGTCAACGCCGTGCTTCCCTCTGGAGAGAGTATCGAGGTTCTATTGTACGGTGCCACAGTCCTGAGCTGGAAGGATCGCGCCGGCAACGAGCGACTCTGGCTGTCCGAGGGTGCCAAGCTTGACGGCAGCAAGGCCGTGAGGGGCGGTATTCCCTTGGTCTTCCCCGTAAGCTTGCAATTCCTCTCTACAATGACTCCGGATCGCCTTTGATTCTGTAGAAGTTACAAGAGAACAAATCTCTGCCAAAGTAAATGTACTGATCATTTGTTGTTTGCGCAACACAGGTCTTCGGCACAGCTCCCAACCACGCCGCCACCTCCAAGCTCCCGCAGCACGGTTTCGCCCGCAACTCGACCTGGGAATTCCTGGGCTCATCAACCTCTGAGTCGACCGGAAAGTCGGACAATTCTGTCAAGCTCGACTTTGGCCTGAGCCAGAACAACCTCAGCGAGGAGTCCAAGAAGCTGTGGCCATATGCCTTCTCCCTGCAGTACAGCGTTACCCTCACCAGTGACAATCTCGCGACCGGACTGGTCGTGACCAACCAAGGCGACCAGCCTTTCGAGGCCCAAGTTCTCCTCCACACCTACCTGCGCGTCAACGACATCTCCAAGGTCACTGTCACCGGCCTCGAGGATTCCGAGTACGTGGACAAGGTGGCCGGAACCCCCAACCCGGTGAAGCAGTCCGGCTCCATCACCATTTCCGGCGAGGTCGACCGCGTCTACACCCCGAGCAAGGGTCCCTCTGAGCCCGTCGTCGTCAGCGAGGGCGGCGAGGCCAAGTACAGCGTCGTCCGCGACAACCTTGAGGACGTTGTCGTCTGGAACCCCTGGATCGACAAGGCCAACAGCATCGGCGACTTTGAGCCCAAGGACGGCTACAAGAACATGATTTGCGTCGAGGCTGGCGCCGTCAAGGGCTGGCAGAAGCTCGAGGCTGGCGATGCCTTTGAGGGTGCTCAGGTTATTTCTGTTTGACTTGAAAAGTCGCCTGGCAGAAGTCTCAGACTTTGAGTGCACATGGTGATGGTCTCGGTTGGCACAATTTGCATTTGAAGGTTGACGGATATGTTTGCTCCCTACACGGCCGTAGAAACCCTGATATTTGATGCGTTGATGCGTAGATAGAAGAAGAAGCATCAGTGGCAAGATATTGTTTCTCGGGCTAATGCTAAAAAGAGGATCCACATCGTAAACAACTTCTACATTGACTTTCGTTGCAATTCGACCTGCCAATGACAGCAGTGTGTCCTCCATAGTCCTAACTCATAGACCAAACCAAATTGATGCTCCAATGAACACTGATGCTTTTTACTTCATGCTGTATGCTATAAGTGTCATCACGTCATATTCATATATATATATATCCGCGTGAAAGAAAATCAATTACGTGGTGCCCCTAGGGAGCTCATAGTAGAATCCTGGCTAAGTGTATATCCGCAACTTTTTTTTTCTCGTCCTTTAAATGAAAACGCCCACGCCTTTTGCTTTTTTTCTTCGAAACCACTCACTTCAACTTCCCATAGAAGTAGCTTTTACTTTTTTTNTTTTTTTTTTTTTAACTATCCGAGAAATCATGCTTTATTGCTGGTCCTGGACCGTGCCGTCTACCTTTCTCTCCTCAAGGTAGTGGTCCGCAACGAGGAAGGCCATCTCGAGGGCCTGCTTCTCGTTTAGTCGCGGGTCACAGTGGCTGGTGTAGTTGGTCGACAGGTCGCCCTCGTCGAGGTTCTGGCTGCCGCCCATGCACTCGGTGACGGCGTCACCCGTGAGCTCGAGGTGCATGCCGCCTAGGTAGCTGCCCTCCTCCTTGTGGACGGCCAGCGTCTCCTGCAGCTCGCTAAAGATGTCGTCGAAGCGGCGCGTCTTGATACCCGAGCTGACGGAGCGCGTGTTGCCGTGCATGGGGTCGCACTGCCAGATGACGGTGCCGCGGTACTCGCTGCTCTCGACGGCGCGAATGTGCGCCGGCAGCAGCTCGCGCACCTTGGCGGCGCCGTAGCGCGTAATGAGCGTCACCTTGCCGACCTCGCGGGACGGGTTGATGGTGCGCAGGAGCTCCAGCAGGTCCGACGTGGGCGTCGTGGGGCCGACCTTGACGCCAATGGGGTTGGCGATGCCGCGGATGAACTCGACGTGGGCGTGGTCAATCTGGCGCGTGCGGTCGCCGATCCAGATAAAATGTGCCGAGGTGTCGTAGTACTCAAACTTTTGCGTCTCGCCCTCGGCCGGGTACCGCGGGACGGCCAGCAGCCGGGTGAGGCTCTGCTCGTACTCGAGCAGGAGGCCTTCGTGACTGGTATAAATGTCCACCGTCTCGAGGTTCCTGGCCTTGTCGGCGCCAATGGTGCGCATGAAGCGGAGGGCCTCGGTGAGGAAGCCGACGGACTCGGAGTACTTGGCCTTGAGCCTCTCGTCCTGAACGTGGCCGAGCTCCCAATTCATAGGCCGGTGCAAATCAGCGATGCCGGAAGAGATTGCTGCCCTGATGCAGTTCAGCGTTGCTGCCGAGTAGCTGTAGGCCCTGGACATAGTGTCAGTACGGTAGGTTTCTTATGTATTAGAGAGGGAACAGTTGATCCATACTTGACTAGTCTCTGAGGGTCCAACTCTCTCTCGCTGAGGTCGAATCCGTTCAGAATGTCTCCTCTGAAGGACGGCACCTGCTTTCCGTCGACTGTCTCCATGGGGCTGGACCTGGGTTTGGCATACTGGCCAGCCATGCGTCCAATTCTCACGACCTTTCTGTTGGTACCTCGAATCAACACCAGACTCATTTGCAGCAGGAGCTTCAGCTTGGACTCAATGGCATCCTGGCGGCAGTAATCGAAGAGCTCGGCACAGTCACCACCTTGCAGCAGAAAGGCTTTTCCCTCGGCGACTTCCTTAAGCGACTGCTTGAGCTTCTCAATCTCGTGGGGGTGAACGATCGGGGGCAGCTGATCAAGCTCGGCTGTTGCCTTGTGCAATGCCTTGATGTCCGGGTACTCGGGACATTGTTTGATGGGCTTGGATCTCCAGGAATCGGGCTTCCAGTTGTCGGCTGTGTTGATGGGTATGTTTGTCTGCACACCGTTTACGGACGCCATTTTTTTGGTGACTGTTCTTGTGGGTGTGGCAGAAGTGGCGATACACTAAAGAGTATGTGGGATTTCAAGATGAGAAGGCAATTCTGCCTAGTTTGCGTTTGTTCTTTGAGGAAAGAAACGTTTGCAAAATCCTGGACCGATCAATGGCTGGGAAAGACAGTTGAATATATGCAAAGTAGGGAGCAATGTCTGGTTCAGGATGTGGGAAAAAAAAAAAAAAAAAAAAGAGAGCGTCAATGGTTTCGGAGAATATCAACAGAAAAGGTGGCCTGAATTTATACGAATCTCAGAATGGCTTGGAGGTACAATCACAAACGAACTTGATCTCCTCGGTGTATAAATCAACGGTGAATGGAGAAATATTTTGTGTGTGACAGGACAGAATATCGGACGCAAACAATTGATGTGTGACGACGACCTTTTCATATAACAAACAAGATGAGTCAACGGTCGTGTATCGGTAAAATGACATGAGAGTATAAAATACCTTATTGCACATCTACCCACAGATTGTGTCATGCACCCACTGAAGACCACCGTAAAAGGGTCCCTGTCCCAGCTCGAGTGCGCCGTAAGTCTGGTGCTCTCTGGGACGCGTAAAGCCAAGGGTGACCCCGCCAAGGCTAGTAAGCTACCCGTACCTTACCTAACATGCACCACAGTAAGCCCCACTACGGGACGATCAAGCTGCTTGGATGCCACACCTTTTGCTCGAGCTTCACCACCACCTTTACGTATACTTACACGCCACGAACTTCATCAGCAACCGCTCAGCGAACCAACAGTAACCCGTCTTACGAAAGATCCTGGCATATCCTCACTCGGACACCACATACGACCCTGACGTCCATCTCGAGTCCACGCAATGGCTGAACCCCAACCCCCCAATGTCGTTGAGGGTGCCACGACTGGCGATGTCGAGGACGAGGTCCAGGCCAAGGCCAAGTCGGCAGAGGATCGAAAAGCGGCTGCCGCCATGTCGAGACTCGACGCCAACGACGAGGGGTCCAGCTCAGCACAGGTAGACCAAGATGCGGCCAAGAAGGCGATGCAATCATTGGGCGGTGCTGCAGCAACCAAGACAGAGGTTAAGAAGGTTAAGGTCGATGCGGCCGATGTCGCGCTGCTGGTATGTCCCAACATGGAATTATGATCAAACGTCCTGAATAAATGCAAGACAATGCACGGATATAGAGACTAACATTGGTGGTTTACCAGGTCAATGAGTTGGACCTCACTAAGGTCAAGGCCACCGAACTGCTAAAGGCCCACGAGGGAGACGCCGTGAAAGCAATGAGGGCTTTCATCTCAGCGCCCTGAGAACTTGTACAACCGCTATGAGACTTTACCGGTAGTCCTAGATTAAGCCAGACAAATTATCGATGATGCCCACCTGTTCGAGGTCAGCAAAGCTCTGCTCTATGGCTGGAATTCAGTACCGCTAGCCAGTATTCCACACCCTGACAGGACATGTCAGATCAGATGAGGCAACAGCATGGTGGATTAGCAACATCTGCCAAGGGGACCCTTAACCTGAGGTTCTAAGAAATGTATTTCTAAAACTCGTGTGCTCTTGATTCGGGTATCATCTACGTGTATGAGAAAAGGAATTCTGACGTCTAGATAGTCTTAAGATCGCATAAAATGCGTTGCTTTGGCACACGTTGGCTCCCATAATTCTGTTTCGTCTCCCATGAACCACGAGCCACCGCCCCTGGGTCGATTTCGGTCCGGACCTCCACCCGGTGGACTGGGGCCCCGATGAGGTGGACCGCCATACGGGCCGTAACCACCATAGCCGCCGTGTGGTGGATAATGTGGACCCGGGAATGTCCCGTTGCCTCTTCGAGGGGGACGAGGTCCTCCAGGGCCTCCCAATGCCATCAACGGCCACATTGGAATATAGCAGCGCTCGTCCCATTGGCAGACTTCAGAGCACCCTGTGAACTCATCTTCCCAGCCCAACCAGGCCATGAGCTCTTGGAGGCCATCGTTCCAGGTGCGAGCAACCTGTGTGTAGCGTTCCTGGAATACCGCGGGCGAAGGCAAGTTTCTATCAGCTTTATTGAAGTCTTCAGCCCAGAGACCCTCGATCTGGAAACCAATGGTCAACAAGACGGAACATATTGCACCATAAGTTTCTTCGATGGCCCAGCGCAGATCCTCCTCTTCGGGAGTGAGCTCGAAGCCTTCAATGGGAGCTAATAAACGAGTATATCGGTAACGACACCGTGCATAAGTCTGGGAGTATAGTCGAGACTCAACTGTCCAATCGCTCGAGTCAGAAGACGATGGGTACTCGAGAAATGCGACATAAAAGGAATGACTTTGAGCTCGCATAGTGGACATCCACGACTCGATGGCCGTCTCATTGTCTGCATGCTGAGAGAACGAGTCCAAAAGTTGTGTCATTTCTTTGAGGTGGATTCCAGTGTTCTGGGTTATTTCATTGCTGATGTAGACCCAATCAGCCCCCGAGCAGTCATTGCTGCCCTTTAGCAAGTTCTTCAAGGCATGCTGAGAGTTGTTGCGCATCAACAGAGCCTCTTCGCTTGTTACGTCTCCGAGATGGTGGTAGCGTCGACGTCTTCTCAGGTCAGCTAGGCCCGTTGTTCTATTTCCCTCTGGGCCTTCACCTTTCCAGTATCCCTGGGCCGTCAAGTTGTATAGCTCTTGCTCTCCCTCGGCCCGGACGCGGGTCAAGTTGGCGAATCGTGGTGAGTAGTATGACATGATGCCACAGTTGCTAGCTTTTGCCCGTACCTCGCCAAGACCAGGGCCCTGTCTCGACTTCCCGTAATGGTATGTAGCGCTGGAGAACCAGCCCCAGCCCTGTGACCTGAGAAATGGTTCTCGGTCAATCTCCCATCGCCAGTTTGGTGGTCTCGGCGGGTCTGTGGGATCTGTCGAATGATCGGTTCGGGTTGGCAACGGCGGCAGGGGATAGTATGAACTTTCCTGCGACTCTGCTTTCCTGGCAGCTATCCGATCATTATCTTTTTCCTTGGGGAGTTGAGGCGCCGTGACGTTGAGGTGTGTCAGAAGCCGAAGGCTCGGACTTGTGAAATCACACCAAATCATCTCGAAGCCGGCATTCATTCGAATGATACCCTCATAACCCCATCCATCTCCTCTGAGTCCAGCCGACTCGAGCCAGTCGCAGAGCCCGGTAGCACGGGCGTATTCAAGGTACAGTCCCCAGCCGTCGTGAGGCGGACCCGAGATGTTACCAAATACGTGAAGCATCTGCGTATCCATTTGCCCCATACCCATCAGTGTGGCCGACTCGCCGTCAAAGTATAATGCCTTGACAGGCTTGGTCGTCTGATAGGTAAGCATGTGGGAGTTTCTTGTGCTCCCCATGATTCCATACGACATTTCTCTGTGTAATTTGTGTTAGCACTCGAATAATCATATCATAATTCTTGTTTCCAGGACAAGAAGATGGGCGAGGCCCTACATGTCAAAGGCAAGCCATTCTGGACTGGGAGGTTGATCGCCATCTAACCGGCCGTGGTAGAATAGAGTGTAAGCCGGAATCTCGCACGGCACAATATTGTGACCGTTGGGGAAGAATGTATTTCCCCATTGTTGCAACAGTGACGAGACAGATGAGAACAGGTATGGTGCCGTGGAAGAAAAATTGAGCCTCCATGCAGATGCAGATGCGGCAAAGTTGTCGGTTGTTCCCTGCGATGCATCATTGCCTAGTAGCGGTTTCTGCTCTGTAGCCGCGACGGACTCTAGTAATAGTAGAGTTGCAAACGCAGCTCCACATTGTTTGATTGCCCACATCTTGGCATGGCATATACTTGTTTAAATGAGAATGTATAATAAAAGATCCAACCAGTGGATAACTTTTTGATTTTCGTAGAAGAGGGAAGGGATTCTTCATCCTCAGCCTGAAGCAAGCGATAAGGGAATCGAATGGGTGACGCGGCCCCCCTTGCTCTGAAGGGTAAGCGCCGAAAAGCACGAGCCACTTTTCTGGTTGGCTTGTCTTATAATCGATTATAGAATTCACGGATGACAATATATCCGTAGGGAGTTTTATTGCATGATCTGGTTATCTCTTGGTATTGATAGACTAATTATACCTAGCTTGTACACCATAGAAAGTATCCTAGGCGGATTCGATACGGTATGAGGAAGTTCAGGCTTCTCTTCACCCATGGCTTTTCCTTCAAGATGCCCTCTCAATTCGTGATGGTCGGTATTTCATCTTGTGAAGAGTCCACACCAGATTTGATCAAGGGATATCCACGGTTTTGTATGTCTGACCCTCAGTCAGGTATAATACCACTTGTTCCGGTCGACTCAATAGGTGAGAACCATGACAAACGGGGTCAGCAAGTCAGCTATTGACAACCCGTCTGGGTGCATCATTGACCGAACGCGAAAGTCTTGGGTGAATATTTGATAGTGTGATCGTTCGAACCAGTAACGTCGTACCATAGCCTATCTTTTTGGAAAACTTATGCCACTTGCGGTATTATGCCAAACAAGGCACTCGAGTTATAGTGATATACCGACCCCTTTGTTTCTAGGCCAGCGCGCTAGCAAATGAGTCCCCTACTAACGAATATTGCTAGTGAATCGTCGAGGTTGACGGAGTTGTGTAGATTTGCTGACGGATTAATCGGGCGGGTGAACTTTCCTGGGGTTTCTTTCTTTGATCTGTACGTCAGAGGGTATCTTAGGGTTGTCTTGGAAAATCGAGGTACACGGCTTCGTCGGTTCATAGCGGGATTTCCTTCCAGGACCTTGTCGGTATGACTACGGCGAAGTTTTTTTTTTTGCCATACATCTATTCCACCTCAAGTAAGGACATTCTTGAATCCCATGTATGCAGAGTTGATATCCGACTCCAACTCTCGAGATTGCTCTTCGCTCAGCTCTTCTGTAGCTTTCATTTGGTTCAACGTGATCAGCCATTGGATAATCTTGCCCCGATTTTCAAAATCTCGATCCGTAACTTTATTGACGCTTTGGATAACGTCGGTTAAGAGAGGGTGAAGTTGATCCTTGGCAAGCAGGCCTAACCGTAGGGCGTCTAGGAATGTAATGAACTCCTGCGTAGCCTCAAGGATGAGAGCGCCAGATTTGTTGCTGGTACTGGCAGCGGGCGCCGGAGCAGCACCGGCTGAAGCGTCCACGGCGGTCGCCGGCATACCAACCTTCAGACGTTCTGTTGCCCTTGGCACTTCCAAGTCCCACTCGGCCTTGAACTCCTCTAGGCCGACGAAGCGCTTGGCTACGGTCTCATCTGCGAGTATGGACTTGTACTGCTTAAGCGAGCGCTCGCATATTTCTGTGTAGTCGGCCTCGGGAATTGCATCTTTAAGAAATGCCTTCTCGAGCTCATCGAGTGTGATGATAATGGAGAATATCTCAGCTAGTGAGTCTTGCAGATCCCGTTCGGCTCGGGTCTCTGCCAGCTTGACTTCCTGTATACGTGTGAGCCTTCTACCAGCCCACCCAAGATCAAAAGTGCTTTTACCTCGTCCAAGTCAATGGTGGCTGATAGGTTTGAATTTGGCACATAACTATGAGGGGTTGGAGCATATGCTTGTCGCGAAATCATGTTGTCTTTATGGGGATTTTCTTGTGCTACAAGTATCGAAATCGAAATGGGTTTCTTGAATGCGTGATTCCTTCAATATGGTAGCAGTGGATGAATACGCGTGAATATTGTAATGTTGCTCGCAGTAGTTGTACAGTCCCAAAGGGTTCCCCGTGTGAAATGGCTGGAGACCATGTGCATCAATTGGAGAGGGACCATGGTGGGGTGCCTTCAGGGAGCGGGTCCGGGTCTGGGTACGTACTGCAGCTAAGGTAATCGTGGTCTAGATGATATGGAACGATAACGATAAGCCCAAAATTTTTGAACTTTTCTTGGGCAAGCCGCAGACAATTGGAGAGAGCCCAGTCCAACTTTCAGAGGGGCTCTTCACTCTCTCATATTGCAACACCATTTTGAGATTGCCCGCCACTGCAGCTAGCAGTCGATTTTTAAAATGGCCGGCGCAAAGAAGAACTTCAAGGCGACCAAAAAGTTCGAGTCAAAACATCTCAAGGGTGTTTTGGACCAGAGAAAAGCTGCTGCAAAGATCAAGCAGCGCCAGCAGGTCAAGAACAAGAAGCAGTCCAGGCGCGCCAGCGATGCCGAGTTCATCAAGGGCCCTGCCGAGGGCGAAGCGCCCAAGAATGCCAAGGGCAAGTCCACAACTGCAAATGTCGGCGAGATGAGTGTCGACGACTTTTTTGGCGGTGGTTTCGAGATTATCGACAAGAAGCAACCAGGAAAGAAGGCCTCCAAGAAGCTGGGCAAGCGAAAGCGGGACGAACCTGCAGAGGAGGACGATGAGAGCGGCTCCGAGCTTCCCTCGGAAGACGAAAAACCAGCCGACGACGACAGTGACGATTCCGGTGACGAAGACGAGGACCAAGATGTTGGCATGAGCAAAGAAGCCATGGATGCGCTAGCAAAGGACGATCCCGAATTCTACAAGTTCTTGCAGGAGAACGACCCGGAGGCTCTTGAGTTTGACAATGCCGATCTGGCTGAGGTTGACGAGTTGAGCGCCAGCGAAGAGGAGCAGCCCAAGAAGAAGCGGAAGAAGGAAAAGAAGGTTGCCAAAAAGGACGAGTCGGAGGACGAGGAAGAGGAAGCAGACAGTAACGAGCTGACACAGGCCATGGTTGCCAAGTGGAAGAAGTCCCTGACCGAGACCTACTCTCTGAGAGCGGCGAGACAAGTCGTTCTGGCCTTCCGATCTGCCGCACACCTCAACGAGACCGACGAGGAGAACCGGACATCCCAGCGATACACGATTTCAAGCCCGGCAGCATTCCACGATATTCTCATTGTCGCCCTGAAGCAAATTCCAGAGGTCTTGCAGCACCATGTACCCATCAAAGAGACAGCAGGAGGCAAAGTGCAAGTGCCGACAGATTCCAAGAAGTTCAAGGTTCTGTCTCTGCTGCTGAAATCTTACACTTCAGCAATACTGCATCTGCTTGGCACCTTGTCCGATGACGCCACACTGAAGCTCACACTGGCCGCACTGGAACCTCTTGTGCCCTACCTGTTGAGTTTCAGGAAACTTCTCAAGAACCTCATCAAGACGGTGGTCGACTTCTGGAGCCAATCCACAAGCAGTGAACCTACCCGTATCACAGCCTTCCTGGTCCTACGGAAGCTGGTTGTCGTTGGTGACAAGGGAATTCGCGAGGCCGTGCTGAAGGCCACCTACCAAGGCCTGATCTCAGGTTCGCGCGTCACCAATGCCAATACTGTCCAGGGCATCAATTTGATGAAGAACTCGGCAGCTGAGCTTTGGGGCATTGACCAGAACATTGGATACACGACTGCCTTCAACTTCATCCGCCAACTTGCCATTCACCTGCGCAACAGCATTGTACACAACAAGAACGACGCATACCGGAATGTCTACAACTGGCAATATGTGCATTCGTTAGATTTCTGGTCCTATGTCTTGGCAGAGCACTGTAACTCTCTTAGAGAGAGTGAGCTGGGCAAGGAATCTCAGCTCAAGCTGCTCGTCTACCCATTGGTTCAGGTAACGCTGGGAGCCATGCGACTTATCCCTACCGCAATCTACTTCCCGTTGCGCTTCCACTTGACACGGTCACTCCTTCGTATCTCCAGATCGACTGGAACATACATCCCCTTGGCTTCTGCACTTCTGGAAGTGCTCAACTCGGCAGAAATGCGGAAGTCGCCAAAGGCAGCGACCATTAAGCCACTGGATTTCCACGTCAACTACAAAGCGCCAAAGACCTACCTTAGGACAAGAGTGTACCAAGATGGTGTTGGTGACCAAGTCGTTGAATTGTTCTCGGAGTATTTCGTGCTTTGGTCGACGAATATCGCTTTCCCAGAGTTTGCGCTGCCGGTGATTATCATGTTGAAGCGATGGCTCAAGCAATCACGAAAGAAGACTGGCGGCAACAATAACAATAAGCTTCGATCAGGCCTTGTGCTGTTGGTTCAGAAGCTCGAAGCCAATGCCAAATTCATCGAGGGCAAGCGTGCCAAGGTTGACTTTGCCCCTCGAGACAGATCGCAGGTAGATGCTTTCCTCAAGGATTTCGAGTGGGAGAAGACACCAATTGGTGCCTACGTCGTTGCTCAAAGGAAGGCCGGTACAGAAAAGGCCAGGATGCTTGAACAGGCGCGCAAGGAAGATGAGCGAAAGCGAAAGGAGGAAGAGCAGGAGGCTCGGCACGCCAATGGCGTCGAGGATGATGATGACGATGAAGATGAAGACGTCGACATGGAAGACGAAGAAGATGAGGACGAGGACGAATCATCTGAAGACGAGGACGAGGAGGAGGATGAAGAAGATGAAGATTAGATTCAGGGTTTGCTTAGGAAGCGTTCCATCGACGAACTTGTAGACTATGCAGCAGACACCACTAAGTCTGGTTCGTCCGTAATTGCAATTTCATTTCAGTCACCACGGGAATAAGCGGAACATTTACCAATAGCAATGCACTACGAAACGATCAGTCAAGGACCCTTCATTCAGCCATGTTCTCGTTTGTGTCCTCTGTTAGTTGATACTTTGACGCTCGGAAGGAAAAAATCGATGCCTCTCTTCTCCTAGCTGTGACGTAGCGCGGGAGTGTTTGCGCCGGCATGACCGATGTATACAATCCCGGCGTCTGGACACCATAGCTGGTTGTCAGTGAACCCTCACAACCCACGTGATACCTCTCATACCGCTGCGAGTACCACCGTTGCTCTTCTTCGGTAAGGCAGCCGTACTGGACAAAAATGTTGGTCTCGGGCGGGCCGCAGAGGAACTCATAAAAGAACTTGATGCTCGAGTGGCTTATCACAATAGCATCGAATCCACCATTGAAATAGTCTGGCAAATGTGAACTCGAGAGATGCCTCTGGAGCCCAACAATGACGGCCCGCCGGATGTTGTGTGCTTCTTCAAACTCTCGAATTTCTTGAGCGGCCCCGGAACCGCTCATCACGGGCATGCTAACATCTTGTCTGGTTTCAGCCGGGCTCTTGTGTATGGCAAGTAATGGTGGAACGAACCCAAGAGAATAGACCGGAATCGGCTTGGCTCTTTCTTATAAGCATTGACTGCCTCGAGTCCATTTTCTACCAGTTCAACCGGTTGATACAATATCTCACAATATCTGCCAAATATCTGCCAAGACGCACTTTGTATCAGCCTCCATGCTTGCAATTGAGGAATTCATGAACAAGTAAAGAACAAATCCGTACCTGACGTCGGACGTCACTGTGCACAGCAATGAGAAGGGTGATGCCCCCGGGCGCTGAAGGAGCGCTGCCGTCATTTCCGCTCTGAACGCCCGAGGACGACTCCATGTTCGACCAAGTCGGCCTTCAGATCAACAATTGTGTAGAAGAGATTCGAAATCGCAACCTTGAGCAGTTTTTGAGAGGCCTGGGAATCGATGATGGGTAGATGTGTATGGATGAACGGAGGAAGCGCCAACCCGAGCTTAAGCGCCGAGACTCGATGCGGGTCTTACGTTTTTGGGAGTTGAGTGGCTGGAAGCTGGTAAATGCTTCACCGTTGCAGCCAATTCCTCTACCGTGAAATAAATCATGAAAGAAATGTAATTTTTTATTATTAAATATCCACATGATGTTTTTCACTTGAACATGAATATTTAAATTCACTGACGAACGAGCATGAGCGAGTACACTACAAGTAGCTTTGGGAGACTGTATACATTCCATCTTTAACGGTCCGCTCTGTCTTTGGCACATACTACACCAAAGCCATTACATTGTTAAGCGGAACTTCAAGATATCCCTCTCGGCAATGTCTTTGCTCTTAGCCTCAAGCTCCTGCATATCCCAAGCAACGCTGACGAATCGTCCTCCGAGCCATGGCCGGTGCTCTTTTCCAAGCCACATGATCGTGTCGCCACACAGCTCAGGCTTATCGGTCAAGTATTCATGTGTTTCCTTGGGCACTAAAAGAAATGATGGGTCAGAAATCTATAGATCAGGATTACGACATCTGTGAGGTTTACGGCCAATAGTATGCCTTACACACTCAAGATAATATGTGTGTCGGGAGAAAGTCATGGCATGCGAGGATGTAAATATACTTACTGTTTGTAGCCAACTCTGTCATTACGCTTCCGGGATGGATGGCAAAACAAACCAGTCCCTGGTCGCTGTATTCGGAGTTGATAAACTCGGCAAGCCGGCATACCTAGAAACTTTGTCAACACAAGCAAAAACAATCTGGTCGGAAAAGCAAAATGACTAACTGCAAACTTTGTTGTCTGATACCCGGACGCACCCGGCCAATGCACGATACCTCCATAAGACGAAGTGAGTATGTTTGTCTTCAAGTTGCCTTTGAGCAGAAGCGGTATGAAATATTTCGAGCAAAGATAAGTGCCCTTGATATTGATGTCCCAAGTCTTCCACCTGTTTATGTACTCAGATTAGTCCAAGAGGAACACGAAACGGGCTTGGATACTTGAAAATGGATTCTTGTGTCACAAGATACACAAAGAGGTTAAGATACAAGAATTGCTGTCAGTGGTACTAACCATTCGGTAGGATCAGAATCGGCAAGGGGCTTCCAGTCTTCCAGATAGCCTGCGTTGTTGATCAAGACATCAAGAGCGCCGCCAAACTCGCGGGTGACCGTCTCGGCAGCGGCTCGGACACTGTCCTCGGAAGTTACGTCGACCTTGAGGCTGAGGACCTGGGGGGCAGGCCATTGCGGGCCGGCCGCCTCCTTGAGCTCCTTTTCGATCGACGAGAGGTCGGACCGAGCGGCAATGGCAATCTTGCTGCATCCCGCGGCGGCGTAGCTCAGCGCCGTGGCCCGGCCGATGCCCTTGGAGGCTCCCGTGATGAGGACCGATCGGCCCGACAGATTGGCGTTCTTGGGGGAGATGAAGTCATATGTGTCTCCGTGCACCGTCTCGGTAAAGGACTGGAGAGCCCTGAGGTTTTCAAAAGCGCTCGGTATGGCTGCCGAGTTTGAGGCACTAACGAATTCGGCCATGTTTCTTTATTCTTTCTTGGGACTCGAGTGATGGCATGAATCCAAACACATTACTGGCAAAAATACTTGACTATACAACATCTCATATACCCGAGGCGATGTGGGTCCAGCACGCCATGACGAATAGACGGTGTTAACGGCTTTTATTCCCGAACTCTGCATTCATTTATGCACGGATTGAACTTTGCTAATGGTCAGTAATTCTTTGCCAAAGCCTAAGCCTTGCTACTTTAGGGAAATGTTATCTCCTGTACAGATCGGCCTTCAGGGGGGTTTAATATCATCATACTGACTGATATGACTTCGAACATGTTGGATGATGTGGAACATGCTGTTGCCTGAGTCCCATCCAAATACTCACTCTTTCTTTTCTTGGGATCTTCCTAGCTCAGTAATAATATTTTCTCATATCGAAGGGATGTTTTCCCTTGCGATACAGGCTTGCAGCAATCGACCAGCAAGGTGAGCATACTTGTTATGCAATGATGACGCCGCGAGGGAAACATGATGCGGCAAGATGCAAAAGTCGTCAGTAACCATCTCGTGAGCACCACAGGCCGCTAGTTCACAAGTGCTTATCTGTGATATGATTCGGAGTTTGGCGAGATAGACTGATGCCAGGCGCAATAACTCTAGTGTCGGGAGCTCTTATACTAGCAAACACTGATTTGAACTTCAGTCACTGATCCTAATGTTGTTGTACGAAATATTAATAGAAACCCGTTTATGACATTGTTTAATTTGGCTGCAAAACTGCCGGTCTACCATGGTCTTGATGAATTGTATTGAGTGCCTGTAATTAATGATTTGCTCAAATAGCGAGTCAAGATATATATTACTAGAGTTGTGTAACCCTGGCATCATGGTTGTGATTGACAACATGATCCTTCAACTGGGATCGGCTGGCCCTTGTGAAAAAGGTATTTGCAGAGTTTATCTTGGCGAGGATACAGCTTCACAAGTCATTTCCGGCAGATGTTTGCAAAGAATCTTTGGCCAAAGATCAATGTGCAGGATGTAAAGTGAGTTTCCTGCGTTTTCTATTCTGGTATATGCTTTTACGTATGTACCAAGTCAGAATTAATCTGCTGATATGTTTGGTTTTCGGGTTTAATCAAAACGTGGGCATATCTGGCATATCTCGGACCTATTATTACCAAACCAGGTCGGGCCGTGGCAAGTTGCGATCATTTGTGCGTCAAGCTAGACGTGTGGAAAACCTTTTTCTTCCCCCCTTGTTCACTACGAAGCCAAATTCTGTCCAGAAAGGTGTTCTCCGCTTATAACCTGACATAAAGAAGACACTTTCAACAATCCACGAATCTACAGGCCACAGTGGTGCAGTGGAAATCCGCTCAGCTCATAGAGAGCAAGCACACGAAGGTCTCTCTTCTGGCTGGGCCCGTCCTCCCCCAGCCAACTTTTTGTTCGATTCCTCCGTCTCTCTTTGTATTTTTTCTTTTGTTGGGACTCTCCTAGTTACTCTTTCCTGACTACTACAATAGGATAGGTCAGCCATATCTCAGTTGTTTTTGAAAACGTGGCCACATTTACGATCGATAAATGTTTTGTATCAGTAATAAAAGAAAGAGAAAAAGTTGCTCAAGGTCGACTGTTTGCATTGTATCGTAGAGGGCATTTGCGCCAAGTCTTACTGACATTTATTTTGTGAAGGCTTTTACTCCCTCATTTCACAGATTCCCTCGCTGAACGTGGGTTTATCAGTCATTGAATGCCCGCAGCTGAGCGCATTTATCATAACAGCAAGTGAAGCACTTGGCTATATATATATATTCTTGTTGATTGGACGATGGTATAGCCGTTATATCAAAGTAAGGAAGACTAGGTAAATAGAAAAAATTCAATCCTTCTCGTATCCTTTATCAATATCGCTACCGTGTTGAGAGTCAAGACCGTTATGCTCTTGAATTGCCAAAGATCGCGAGTCTTTCTGCACTACTCAGAGGCCTGCGGTTCAGAACGCACCCGCCCTTGCCGTCGTCAGTGTATTGAAGAGCAGAACCCAAGTTTTCAAGGCAAAAAGCACCAAGAACCTTGCCACTCATACAAACTTTGAGCCAATTCCCAGTCCCATCCTCGAAAATTCGTTCGCACCTCCAAAAGTTGAAGCCTCTTCTCTCTTCATCGCGAAACCAGCCCAAATTCTTGAGCTCATTGGGCGAAACTGGACGAATTCCTGTAGGGAACCCGCCTTTCAATAATAACAAGGAAACTTCTCCATCCCTCACAATCCCAGGACAGAAGACCTGCTCGACTTTCAACTTGATCGACCCCATTGAACGGTGGTATCGATCCAATGCATCTTCCCGTTTCACTCTGTGCCACTCCTTGCACAGCTGCTCGATTTTGATCGGGTCAGCATCTCCAATGACCCAGTGTATGTAGGCTGCTTTCAAGTGCCCACTCTCTCTCGATTGCTCGAAACGCTGAAGCCATTCTCCATCCGGCGTAGACAGCGAAGTTGCTGTCGTAGCACTATTGACCATTTGTTTGACGATTTTGGCCCAGAATGACTCGGCAAGCTCATCAATAAATCTGGGTTTTCGGTAGAATTGTGACTTGGAGCATTTCCACAGCAAATACTCTTTGATAGCGAACTCCATGTCCTTGGTCCAAGGCTCCGCTGGTTCGTGAGCTGGATCAGATGAGGGTGGCTGAGGGACCGATTCGAGGTATTCTTGTCTTATCTCCAGAGCCAGAGCGAAATACTTCGACCTCCAACATTGTTCCTCCACAGATTTTAGTGCGAGAGAAATGCGTTCATCCAGCGGCTTGTTTGAGAATTGCCAGCCATCGAATTCGACGCATCGTCCTAGAACGCTCATCTCGAGCCACTGCACGATCTCCTCTTCTTCGGTCAATATCTGCGCGGCGCTCTCCCACCCGTTGTCTTTTATGACGCCGTACAGAATGTCGTTGAGATATTCCCGGAGTCGGCCGTCGAAGTCGAGAAGCCTCTGGCGGACTGGGCCACCAGGACCAGATTGCTCCAGAGCTCTGACCATTTCCCTCATCTGATGACCTTTTCGTTCGTGATCACCTCGCTCCTCTTTCATCTCTTCCCATTTCTCCCCAATCTCCCGGAGATCGCGCAATTGCTTGACTCTCTCGTTCTCTTCAATTACAAGGCTCCTCGCGAAGGAATCATCGATAACATTGGAATGATCTACGTCTTCGCTTTTTGCCACGCCTCTCTTCTTGGTCACCACTTGTGCGTCCTTGGTGTCACTGCGGCCCGTCTTCTCGGGATCAGAATCGCTGTCACCATCACCATCCCCTCCAGGCCAAAGAGTCCCCTTCCTTCTGCCCCGTGAGTTATTGGGCTTCTGCCTTGTCTTTGCAGCTGGGCGGCTATCCGGTGGTGGATCAGGAGAAACGACTCGATCATTCCGTCTGGCGACATTTACGGGAACTTGACGATTTGCTGGAATTGGTCCAGATATGTGGTCTTTGAGATCGATGCTGGCACTACGTGCCTCTCGCTCTTTAGCCTTGGCGATCTTGAGCTTCAAGCTGGTTATATTAGTATGAGCATCAATTGGGATCTCTGGTGTAGATTCCATGGTATTGATAAGACGTTTTGAGTAAGTATAAGCCGTACAGGTTTGTTAAAGTCCCAAATCATGAAATATTGGTACTCATTTGTGAGAAAGACAGAGTATTAATCAAAAAAGTACACACGCGTCGAGAGTAGGAAAACTCAAAAAAAAAAAAAAAAATTCGTCGTCCGCGCGGTGGCCGGGCGCCTCTGCTTCGCATTCTGCCTTGGGCAAATTTCACAAGAGCCTTGCCATCGGATTGTGGAGGGTGGCAACCTATGTACATAGGGTGGCTCATGAAGCACTGCCACTTTTTATACATGCACGTATGCAGCAAATTGTAGCGTGTCGTATAACGATTGGACCCCACGCCGCTGTTCTCCCTAGCACAGTCGAATATGTGCCTCTGCTCAAATTCTACCCTGTGGGTGGACGCCTTGCGCTAATGTATTCAATTAATCGTCTACGATGATCATCTACAGGCTTAGGAATCATACATCACCTGTCCGGCCTTGGCTGTTCATGCATGCTTCAGACCAGTGACCTTCGTTGAACGTTTTATTCTCGTGTGATTCTGCAAAGGTTACAACAAATTGAATATTGGACATCTTCAGACACAGACGTTTTCGGGGCGGCAATATGGCGTCCTGCGACAGCAGGCAGTCAACACTGGCCACTGAGCAAGAGATCGAACTCCGTCATTCACTTGACACGGAGCCTACGGATCTAGAAGTCCAGCGTAAACCCTGGAAGTACGTTGGTTATAGAAGATATGCAAATTTTCTGGCATCTGATGACGATCTATTTGTCTTGCGGCGTTTCAAAGATCTGAATATTCGTGTCGCCTTGCTGATGCAGGACAAACTGACCGAGCTTGAGGAGGAGTTGAACGAGCTGGATGAAGCCTATAGCCAAAGGAGTGCAGTGGATATTCATAATGGGACATTTCGCAACGATGCAGAAGATCGAGAGGAATTGTTGGAGAAGATTTCCCAGGGAATATTTCGGTATAGTGAGTTTCTTCTTTTTCCCTTACACACATACCATTATTAATTGACGATGTTCAGACCAAGTCCTTCTACAGCAATCCGCACTACAAAAATACCCTCAAGCCTCTAATAGAGACGTTAAAAATATCAGAAACTGGCACGAGAACCACGGCTTTGAGGCGATCGCACGATGCGAGCAGAACTATCTAAGTTTAGATAACGACCTTGTTTCTGTGTCGCATAAAACCAAAACGCCGTTGCGCCGTGTGATTGATGGCTCATTCCGTCTCCGCACTCTATCCTTCTGGAAAGACAAAAAGCGGGAGCCCTCGCTTCCACTATACGATGATAAATACATATCATACTACTCTGATAAACGAATCGATGGGTTTGTCTCGGGGTTCATCGTGTGTGTTGGTTTGCTCATGCTGATCGCACCTATTTGGATCCTCCAATCCCTACAAACTCTACCGATGAAGTTGGCTGTTATTACAATCTTCATTGTTGCCTTCTTGCTGATCATGTCTTTCGCCATGGTTGCCAAACCATTCGAGGCCCTCGGGGCCACGGCAGCGTAAGTCAAGTCCCCAATCTAGGTACCGAATCTGGAGCAACAAGCTGACCCAGGGAATTTGCAGTTACGCAGCTGTTCTTATGGTCTTTCTACAACTTGGATCAGGCGGAGGCTAAGGTCTATAGGAAGCATCCGGCGTTCACCAGACAGGAAAGGGTGCACAAGAGACGCCAACGGGTCGGGTAGGCACGGTATACCATCATCCTTTGTGTGAAACTTTTGCATCCTCCATACACATGACCATAGTCAAGCTTCGCTTGGTAGAATACACATGCCCTCTCTCGGCTGATTATCTGTGTCTACCAAGAACTACCTTGATAGTGAATCTCATGTTTGGTAGGGCATTTTATCCACTCCCTACTTTGATCACAAACATACCCCAGAACAAATCGTGGTATCAGGGGGAGGATATCGATCTTCGTATGTTCTTGAAAGCCTGATTGATTTCAGCCATACCCTTTGATATTCATATAAGGCATGAAAATAGTCCGCTATTCGCTGCACAACTCTTACATGATACAAGGCAAGCGGTCTGGCATCCAACATGTATGAAAGTGGCGGAACGTTTCGTTTTATTCTGCTAACGGTGATTACCTACCCAAGGGACATTCGCCATAAAAATAATCCTTCGATTAGTAAAGATTCATTCAATGGTATTTTGAGCCTCTTGCCATTTACTTTCGTGAGTAAGTGAGTGAGACGCATATACAAATTCCCATAAGCTCTTCCAATATCTCCAGCCCGCTCGCGCACTTGGGGAAAGGCCCCCGGCCCCCCGGAGCCGACGACCATTTTAGGCTAAATAGGATACCACTAAAGGCAGCCGCCCAGCACCGGATGATTGAATCAGATCCACCACGAGCAACAGCATTCGCCTGTATCTCTAGCAAAGTACCGATCTACCCACATGTACAAGCAGGTTTTAAAAGTGGCCGAAAAGGAAGAGACGAAATATTGTTTACTGCTGCGCCAATTCAGTTGTTATCTAGTAGGAAATAGCTTGAATAGGCGGGTGATGAACCAACAACTGGCCTAAGAAGAAGGACTGTACACATTCTCACGGTACTACGACGACTCTGATTCGTGCGCTTTTATCATGTTTTGTGACAAGCTTCGCCTCAAACAGGCCCGTAGCTCAAAGTGTCATGGATATTGAGCCAGGGAACATATCTTAACAAGTATACATGTTTAGCATGATATTATCCCTCAACTTCCTTTTCTTTTCTAATTACCTGCTCTGCCTTGTCCTCTTCTCGGGGTCCTTTGGCATATACCGAGTCACTTGCATGAACGGCACACGCCTGCATATGATAGACAGGAAACCCCTCTCTTGAAGATACCCGTGATACATAACTCAAAAGGTCACCAAAAAAAATGTATAAGAAGAGTTTGATCCCGCATTTCCGCAGCGCTCTCTGCTGGTTCCCGTCACGTCCTCTTTCTTACTCCAACTCTATTTCTCTGCAAACTCGTCTGAAAACACGAGGCTTGCCAAATCAACGCTGCAGCATCGCTGCCGTACTACCACAACAGAGACGTTACAATCACACCGAGAGACGCAATATGACGGGCTCAACTATCAAGCTCAGCAGCGGCTATGAGAGTGAGTAGTCCACATTGCTGAGCTCCCTGGGCCAGATATAGTTCGAGTTATTGAAAAGGGCTGACAATAACATCTTTAGTGCCCCAGGTGGGCTTTGGGTTGTGGAAGGTTGACAACAAGATATGCGCCGACACCGTTTACAATGCCATCAAGGCGGGCTATAGATTGCTCGACGGAGCTTGCGGTAAGTAGAAAAAAGAAGAGCAGACCTTGCCATATTCGTCTCCTCTTTCTCACCTCCGAAATAACAATGATGCCCTCCACTACACAATGTCTTACAGCGATGACGCCAAGACTATCTTTCTACTCTTTTCTCGCCAGCAAAAGCACCGAGTTGGAGGGGGGAACAAGAAGGGAAAAAAAAGTCTTGACGTCCATCGTTGAACCTACACTTCTTGTGACTTGACTTTTGGCAATTACCCCGCGATCGAGAGACCCTGAAGCCCGCTTTGTCTATCAAACCGGAGAAACGGTCTTGGACCCTATTGGCGCCCAGAGGAGGGAAGCTCCGCCAAGCTCTATAGCGACCAGGGGTTTGAGACATTGCGGCTCCGGTATAGTCAATCTATTGGCATTCCTGCATCTGGTTCAACACCACGTGCCACATTTCACACTGACTAATTTTGAGTGACGTTTTTTTTTTTTCGGTTCATGACTGACTCAAAAGTTTCCTGTCTACAGACTACGGAAATGAAAAGGAATGCGGCGAGGGCGTCGCCCGTGCCCTCAAGGAAGGCCTCGTGAAGCGCGAGGAGCTCTTCATCGTGTCCAAGCTATGGCCCACGTTCAACGACCCGGAGCAGGTCGAACCCGTGGTGAAGCGGCAGCTGTCGGACTGGGGCATTGACTACTTTGATCTGTACCTCATCCACTTTCCGGGCGCGCTCAAGTTTGTCGACCCCTCGGTCCGCTACCCTCCGGGCTGGCACCACGACGGCAAGTCGCAGATTGTCAAGTCCAAGACCACCATCCAGGACACCTGGCGGGCCGTCGAGGCCCTCGTCGACGCCGGTCTCGCCAAGAGTATCGGCATCTCCAACTTCCAGGCCCAGCTCATTTACGACATGCTGCGCTACGCCCGCATCCCGCCCGCCACGCTGCAGATCGAGCACCACCCGTACCTCGTGCAGCAGGAGCTGCTCAACCTGGCCAAGGAGGAGGGCATCGCCGTGACGGCCTACAGCTCCTTTGGCCCCGCCAGTTTCCTCGAGTTCGGCTTCAAGCATGCCGAGGCTCTCGTGCCGCTGCTCAAGGACGACCTGATCACCGGCATCGCCAAGAAACACGGCAAGGAACCCTCGCAGGTGCTGCTTCGCTGGGCGACACAGCGCGGACTGGCTGTCATTCCCAAAACAAGCCGTCCCGAGATCCTGGCGCAGAATTTGGATGTCAACAGCTTTGACCTCGACCAGGAGGATATCGACAAGATCTCAGCCAAGGACTCTGGTATTCGCTTCAACCAGCCCTCGAATGTAAGCAAATTCCTTAATTGTGTGATCACCAAGCAGGCCCTTAATACAACTATGCTGACCACTGTGTAACAACAGTACTTTGACACTCAAAAGATGTGGATCTTTGGTTAAAATAGAATGGCGCCTTGGAGCCAGAGTATACTTTGGGTACGAGACCGACTGTGACTGAAGAATACTTATATGGAACAGTCATAAAGTAGAGAATAAGAAGAAACGTGGGTGGACTTGTATCACCGCATTATCATGTGACAACACAGCCAGAACATAAAATGATTCGAGGCTTGGCGTGAACCTTTGATGTCATTGAGGCAAAGCTGTGGAAGAACTCGTCAATGAAACCTTCTAAACCCATCATGGCGTATATTCACCATATCGGAAATGGCGATGCAAATTCAAACCCCCGAACGCCTGGCTATGCATTAAGAAAAGGCTTCTTCCTTTAGACCAACAATGTAAGCTAGATCACGATGTCCTGACGAAAGCTGTGATCCAAGTCAGCTTCTACAAGAGTTTTCATGAAAAGAACAGATATTGTAGCACTTACTGGCGTCAATCTGCTGCACTTGCGGTAGAGCAAGTCGGACCTTGTTCCTGTATAGCGCTGGCTGGCGCAGCTGCAGAGGGTTGCCCTCGAAATAGACCGTCGTTAGATTCTCCTTGTCCTTGAGAGCACGTTCGACGTCGGCAAAATCCCCAATTTGGTTGTAGCTTGCCCAAAATTCTTCGATCTCTTTGAGACTCTCAAGGCCTTTTAGGCTTTGGATCATGTTATTGGAAACATCCACGACCTTCAGGTTGGGGTTTCCATCCAGACCCTCCAAACTTTCCAACGCGTTGTGTGAGATGTAAAGCTCCTCAAGCTGTGGCGCTTGACGGAGAGGTGTTAGGTCCTTTATCCTGTTGGACTGGATGCTTAGTAATCTCAGCTTGGGCAAACCAGACAAGCCCTTGATCTCGGTGATCTTGTTCTTGGCCAACCAGAGCTCTTCCAGGTTCTTAAGAGTGTCGAGGTTCTTGATCTCCCTAATCCTGTTTGATCCCAACTCAACCTGACGCAGGTTCACCAGAGTTTCTAGACCCTCAATCTTACTGATCTTGTTTGCCACGAAAAATAGATCTTTGAGCTTTGTCAAGTGGTCAATGTGCTTGATGTGCTTAATCTTGTTGAAACTGAGATCCAACGTTGTGAGGTTTGTCAAATCCTCCAAGCCTCTGATGTGCGCAATGAGGTTGTCGTAAAAATCCAGCTCTTCGAGAGTAGGGCCAAGCGGGGACAGGCCTTCGATATGCTGAACGAGGTTTTGGCGGAGGCATAGGCGAGTGACTTGCTTGAAGCGTTCGAGATGCAAAGCGGGAATGTTTCCAATACGTGATTGTATGAGGGCAATATCCTCGGTCTCGGGGTCTTCATCGTTGAGCAGATCTATAAGACGGAGCAGATTAGTCACATGCAGGGGGGAAGTAGGAATAGGCAGCGATTTGATTTCACAAGAGCTCACCTTCGTCGGCGGCCAATTCTTCGCCTGGCAAGACATTCTCGTCGTCTGAGTATTCCGGGTCCGACAGAGCCTCAGGGTTTTGTATGAGAGCGGCACGGTCGACACGGAGCTTGCCATCCCAGCCTTTGCTATCTGTCAGGGCTGGGCTGGCGTTGCCATCGCCGCGTTCCGAATGAGCCTCGTCCTCTACCAGTTCGATGTGGCGGCTGGGCGACTGCGGAACATTCTCTTCAGTAGTTGCAGGCATGATGGCGCAGTTGATGGTCGATATCGAGGGTATCGTTGAATCAGCTCCCGCGAGTTTGGAAATAGTACCAAAAAGAGACGAGAAGTTGTAGTAGTAGAAGTAGAAGAAGAAGAGTGCTTGAATGCCAGGTTTTTGGGTTGCTCCAGTCTTGATGTGACCTGATCAATCACTTGTCGCTCGACGCGGGGCACACCTGTGATTACATACCACCCATGGATGGACGCAAGGGTTTGCTGGACGCGCAGGGCCCAGGGCTCAGGGTCGGTGGGACAAGACTGTCAACAGCGGGGTACCTTGCCAAAAGGCGCTATAATGCAGCACTAGAATTTCATGCGTTGGCGCTAGAATCTTAAACGCAAGAGGTAAGATTTTGCTTATTATGCCAAGTCTTCCGGAAAGAGGAATATTTAAAATATATCTGTATTAGCGTAACTTGTACTAGACATGCATGCTTTCAGACTGATGGAATAGTTATGAGGCTTTTCAAAACCTAGAAACTATAGTTCCACCAGGATCGCCTCACTACCTCTGATGTTCACAATCTTGCTTGCTGATACTTTTTCAATCGTCAAATTTCCGCTTGCATCTCCATACTTGAAAGATTGACCAGCCCACAAAACCTGGCTTGTATCCTGCTCATCCACGGACGGGGCTGTAAGTCTCTTTACTGAAGCAGATGCATTTCCCGCTGGGAGAAACTCGGAAATGTCCAAGTTGATAGTAAAATCGCTCGTCGAGTTGGAATAGTATGGCTCCAGATTCAAGAGGATGATTTTCGAAAGTTTGTCGTCGACATAAGTAGCATAGGCTGAGAAGCGATCCTGATCGACGCCCTGAGCAGCCTCCAGAGATAATACGCGCGTCTTGGGCTGGGCAAATACTTCAGCTAGGAACAACATGGCAGCGTAGCTAGGCAGGGCACGAGCTTCTCCCCATTTGTCGCTATCACGAGGATAAACCCAACTGTAGGCAGAGTAGCCCGGCGTGTTGGTCTGCGTGCTGCTCTGGAGCACCAGGGTGGCGCCTTGATGCAAATGGACCGAGGACGCATTGAGTGTGGCATACGTGAGCTCGGTGTCAATGACCCATAGCGCCTGCGTGAATGTGTCCGTGACATTGGGCTTGCCCGAACACGCCACGGAATTGAACTCTCCCATGATCCATTGCTTGCCCGATTCAAGCGCTGCTGTTGCAGAGGGTAGAACCCTCTCGACAGCAAATGTAATGATACGGGTGTGGTTCAATAGATTCTCAATGGTCGATATCGCGGCGCCAGCAGCGCTACAGGTGTTGTACACGTAGGAGTGTATAGAATATTGCTGCACCTGGTTCTCGGAGTCTATCCCAGCGGGGATGATGTTGACAGGTCGAATCTGAATACTTGCATCGTCCGTGGTGGCAGACGACGCCACCCATCTTGTATCCGGAAACGCTATATTCTCCTCCTCTGCAGCTGTATCAATAGCCTGATCGATACTTGCTGTCCAGTTCTTCCACTGCGAGACATAGTTGTCTGTGCTGTAATTCCATCGAGTTGACGGGTACCAGTTGGGCTCGTTACCAAGCTCAAAGGACTTGACCCTCTCAGCTTGATATTTCACCGAGGCAACCGCCAAGTCCTGAGCAATTTGTAGGCTGTCATTGCCAAAATTGAGCGTCGAAATAAACAAGACCTCGTCTGGGAAATTTGCCCAGCTCTCATAGTAAGCAGGACCAACTGTGGTGCGATACACTTCGCCAGCTGTGCCCATTGTACGTACCGGATCTCCGCCGTTGCTGTCGAAAATCATACTGTCCATGGTGTTGCCGCCTGGGCGGATAATGGGTTGCCCCCCACGCTCTACTATATTTGAAATGAGCTTCATGTAGAGCTCATTGGGCTCGCTTGCATTTCCAACAAACTCTACCCAAAAGGCTGGCTCAATGGAAAGGGGCGAGAATGACGGCAAGTGCTCAATGGAAGCCCCGGCCAAGGATGTCGGCGCGTTGAGCTTGAGTACATCAGCGGCTGAGCCCAGGCCTGCGAGAAAGGCCATGGCAATTGGCGATACCGAGAATTTGCTGGCCATTATAAATTACAGGCTCATGTAGTATTTTAATTTCTCGAGTCCTGATTTAGTGACCAACTACGTATCAATAGGCTGACCCAATGCTTGTGTATTTATATGTCGAGGAGGTGAGCGGAGAAAGAAACCACCCGGGGAGTATAGAGAATGCTGAGGATCCAATGATGGCAATTCCTGACCGAGTAATAGTCTTCCAGTATAAACGCACCAATACGTTTGCAACTCTTGGGGCAAAGTGTTTACCCAGACGACGAGCATCATTCAAAATAAATTTTCCGGTGGCTAATTGTCGATATAAATTGGTTTCCACCAATATATTCTGTGCTTACCCCTCGTTCGCCTGCCTCGCCAATGCATTGGCTATGTCAATATCACAGGATCTTTGTGTGTCATTGTCATGGTGGACGTGGACCATGGTTCCTGACGGTTTGATCAGTCAATCCCGCCAGTTGGCAATCTATATAGTATGTGCCACCGATTAGATATTGCCAGAGCTCCGATTCCATGGATCATCGTAGTCGCTGTCCGAGGTTAGTTGTCGAACTTGCAATTCAAGACAGGTGCAGATCCCGCCAGCCAAGTCACTGGGGTTGGTGGCACCTTGAGGCTTGGATACATCAATTCTTATGCAAATTAAAAGCAAAACCTGAGGTAGATACTACATCAAGGTACTAACCGGTAGGTACCTAGCTTTTTAGCGCAGCCCCGAAATAGAGGAATCCCTTCACAACACACTGGCCTTTTCAAGGGTCTTTAGTGGCTCAAACTATAAACTGCACCTAACGAGCTCTTCAAATGTTCACCCTACCAATTTCAACATTACCTAACCCTACCCGAAATATAGTCCGTCCCTCACAGCAAACGCCTAAGCATCATCATCAAGATGCCCAAATGCTCGTGATGATGCTGTCACCCTTTATTCATGAGACCTTTTCAGAAAGATAACAACACTTTGGCCCCAGGATGCACTCCATTCGCCAGCGCGCCGTGACAGCGCTGCATATCAGACCCGTTGTTCAATCACCACTCACCACGCCTCCTCCTCCTCGCATTGTGTCCATCACATGCAGGCGGCACTTTCACCTCGAGGGTCTCGCTCTCGCCCCACTTTACTTTGGCGGCCTCTTCGTCGCGCTCTGGACGTGGAAGTGCTGCATGCTGGTCACGTTCCAGAATAAAATCATTTACATGCCGGGCCTGCCGCCAAACGCCCGCTCGGAAAAGATCGAGGACTACGCCAGCCGCTGTGCGGGCATCTCCTGGCGCGAGGAGAGGATTCGTGCCGCCGATGGTAAAGATCTGGCTCTCTGCGTTGCCGACGTTGATGCCGGACGGGGACATGGCACAAAAGTTCAAGAACCAGACGTGAATTTCTATATTTTATATTTTCAGGGTCCGCATCTAATTGCCCTCTTTTTGTCTGCTGGCCAGTGGCAGATTCTTGTAGAAGGAAGAAAGAGCTGAAATCAAGTAACAGGTAATGCATCGTCCACCCCACCGCGGCTTCCAGACATCTCGTCAACCTTGGCAATGCTGAAGAGGAATTTGCATGATGATTCGAGAAGCGTCAGACTGACCTTTGTCTGTCTGAGCTACCGCGGCTACTGGACCTCAAAGGGTCGGCCCACCGAGAAGGGCATTAGACTCGATGCTTTATCAGCTCTGGACTGGATATCGCGGCAACATCGAAATGGTAAAAATATCGACAGCAAAGCCCTGGCTATCCCAACGGACAGAACTGGCAGGCTTGTGCTTTGGGGCCAGTCCATCGGCGCCGGTGTGGCTACAAATTTGGCAGCCGAGGCTTCGGTGCCACAGAACCTCGAGTTGGACTCCATCATCCTCGAAACGCCCTTTACGTCCATTCGTGCCATGCTCGAGGTGTTGTATCCACAGAAATGGCTCCCCTATAAATACCTGTGGCCATTTCTGCGTAATCAGCTGGACAGCTGGAAGAATTTTGGCTTGATATCAGAGAGGTATTACAAGGGCAAGGCAAGGCCGAGAATGCTCATACTTGAGGCGGCCAAGGACGAACTCGTGCCTGCAGCCTTGAGCCAGAAACTATATGATAGAGCCGAAGCTCTGGAGATACCCGTTGAGAGAAAAGCTGTCGAAAGTGCATTTCACAACGATACCATGTTTAGAGCAGAAGGGCGAAGGGCAGTCTCCGATTTTCTCGCGAGGCGCATTCGCGAATAACATGCAGGAAAGTGTCTTGAGCAATACAATTGCAGTTTGCCTTGACCAGTGTCCTCAAATATAGGTCAATAATTACGAGTGCTGTACAGCACTCCGATTGCCTTATAAGAGGTTGCGTTAGACCAACTCACGGAACAAGGACTCCTCGTCATGAGTTTGATTATGTAAAGGCCAGATAGTAGCCACAAATTGAGTGGTCGCACTAGGGACTCACGAGAATTGCGTAATCAACAATATTGGTGGCACAAATCCGCCTGTCTTATCATTTACTTCTCCGGAATCAGGAGTGCTTGTAGTCTAAAACCCTGTATCACAGTAAGAGTTTAGTCATGCATCAAATTTAATGCCAAAGCGGAATCACTTACATCAAACGAAGCTCTGACTCTCTGCAAGCCATCCTTTGCAGCCGTCTTGAGCGGCGCCACGGACAGAGCTTCCGGCTGGCCTGCCCAGTCCAAGTATTCAGATACCACGTTCTTGCCTTCAGCCAAGGCCAAGGCCCGAAATCCGCACTCGTCAGTGGCACAGTGAAACCCGGCCAGGCAGCCGCTCAGAATGGGCAAGTACTCTTCCGAGTTGCGCATGATATACCCCAGCTCCACGTCATCCACGCCTTGAAATACAAAGCGCAAGCCCGTGATATATCTTGCCCCGAAGAAGTCAATAAAGGAGACGTAAACACCAGTCACTATGGCGCCAACCGGTAATTCGGCTTCCGCACGGTATACGACCCTTCTAATCTCGCCAAATACAATGGGGGCCTGCAGCTTGGCGGTGCGACAGATCTTCCAGTCGGCATCGAGAGCAGCACCGGCGTCCTCACCGGAGCCGGTCCACCGCCAGTCCGGCCCGCCCTTGAGCTCGCTCATGCCCCACCGAATATGGTCGATGGCGTCGGCAAGGGGCCGAATAGTCGAGGTCCACAGGCGGAGCCGATTGCGCTCGCCGAGGCCGACGCGATTATACTTGAGCCGTATCTTGAGCTGCCAGTACAATCGACGCCAGTCGGTACCACGCATCTCGGCGGCTGGCAGTAGGAAGGCGTCGAAAAAGACGGCCATCTCTCGGCCCGGCCAAAACCGTGATTGGAAAAAGTGCTGCGTCAACGGCGTGGACGCCAGAGCCCGCGACGCGAGACGCAAGGCCGCTGCGTCTGCCGACTTCATGTAGCACAGCAGCATCTCCTTTAATTCGGGCGGCAGGACTCTAAAAAGATCCCTCGCCCCTGGCGTCGCCACCCCCGACACCTGACGATCCGGTTCGGTGGTGTTGCCGTCGTCTCTGTTCTGTGCTGCGGGCGAAGTCACTATGCGGTTTTGAAGCACTAGTCTTTCCAGCTCGGGAACCCTGAAGGGATTCGAAAAGGTACTCGGTATGACTAGGTTGCTATTCCGGCCGAGAAGAACAAAGTGCTCGCCCCGGGCCTGGTCGCGCATGGTGCCCATGTACAGGCCACCATAATTGTGGCCCCAGTTGGGAAGCTCGCTGCCGCAGGGGACGGAACAGAGGATCCTCCAGAGCACGGCAATGTCGACCTCGGACGGCTTCAAGGCCTGCTCTAGGACGGACCAGCACGCCTCGTGAAAGAGAAAGCCCCAGGCATAGTCGTACTGCTCGTGGGTCGGGACTTCGGGGCCCGGCGGTTTGATATCGCGGATCCGCACGAGTTGTGCCGGTCCAGTCTGGTTACCAAACGCTGTCAGGTCCAACCCCTGCGCGTTCTCATCAGAAATAACAACATCGTCCCAGCGCTCCTCTGTGCGCGCCGGCAGGTAGTTGTCTATTTGGTGGTGCCTGTGGAAGCCGACGCCGGACAGCCGTGGTGGTTCGTGCGAGTCCCGCGGCCCGACCGCATAGACGGCCCGGTAATAGGGCGCCCACACGTTGTCAGGGTCAGCGTTGAAGTGTGGCGAGACAAAACCGCAGAAACCACAAGTCAACTTGCTCACAGGCAACAGCTGGGGATTGTTGGCTGCGGCTGCCATGACTGATGCCTTCTCTGCTTTTTGTTGCCTTGGACCTTGAACCCCGATTTCCTTTCGTGTTCCTTTTCCTTGCCCTTGCTGCTTATTGTGACACCTTTCGAGCATGAAACGAAAGGGAGCGGCATATGGGATGAACAGGCACTGGTGATCAGGTCATGTTGTTGATAGTCCAGGGCTGCACCGCCACCCTAATTGCGGCGTTGCATATGTTGCGGTTTTGTGGTTTGTGACCAGCCAGTGACCAAATCGGTGGTGCCTGACCAGCCTGAGAGGTCTGCTCTGCGTGCCGGGGCGGGCGGGGATCTAGGATCGGCATTCGGGCCCACTAATAAAGGTATTCCCTCTAAACACTCCAAAGTAGGTATGTACCAAAGTTTACATCCTCTAAAGATTTTCTCCATTGTAAACTTCTTCAACTTTCATTATAGCCACTCCCGGCTCATGTGATTTTTACAGTCGTTCATCTCCCGGCCCGGGTCAACCATACCCTCATTCTACGGTGGTGTCATTTTCGGATCACCCCCAACTCATGCAAGCAAAAGCTGCGACACTTTTGGTTACATGACCGCGGCAAAGAAGTGTGACCCAGATGGCTTTCAATTGGCTGCCATTGTCAAAATCTCTTGGTATCATTCGATGTCATTCGATAAAAGCTTGACATGATTTTCGACAAGTCAAAGGCAGGACTTGACAGAGGGCAGGCAATAATTATCATCACAGAAATCGAAAGCAGACTGTCGCTCAACACACGCCCACTGAAACATTTTGAATACATTGAATATCTGTAGATTTTGACACAAGAAACGCTGAAAAGTAAATACTGTATAACTATGGCCGCCTTGACCAAGCAATAACCGTGTCCCTCGAATATGAAATGATTGTAGCACGTAAGGAAGCTTGCCACACGCAACTATACATATATGTTGTAAGCACAAAGAAGCCCACCCCCTTCATGGCAGTCGGGATTTTCGCGCCCAAATGAGATCTCATGGCATATTTATTGAAGCAAGGTGCATCTTCTCATTAGAGTATGAGCGCTTCCAAAATGGGTATATGCAAGAATATCGCAACCACGAACTAATATACGCACAACTAGAAGTGTTCCTTCCAGAATCGGAAGTTGACCTCCCGTACTGTTGCGGCCTTGGCTGCCTTCTTGATGTCACGTGCTAGAAAATAAAGTCAGCATTTGTTGTTCTTCATCAATGGACAAACATTTACTGACCAGCTGCAGAGGGACCACAGAAGTAAACACCGACTGTGGTCTGCATGCTACCCTCCAAACCACTAATGTAGGTACGATCCATGATACCATCGCGCATCGTCTCAAACATTCGCTGGAAATCAGGTCGGCCAAAGTTGGTGCGTGCCTTGAGCTCAGTCAACGGGTCAACTTCAGCGCCCACCGAGTTGAGCACAATGTTCTGAGTGGTGTCCATGTCCAGCTTTTGGGTCAAGTATGTGTGGATCTTTAGGAATTCAACACCGCTGCTTCCGGGAACGCGGGCAGCCTCGCTACTCTGTTGCTCGAGAGATGACAGCAGAGTCTGGAACCATTCAAAAGAGCCAGTGTCCTTGCAGACCCAGATGAACTCGACACGGCGAAGTCGGGCGGGCGGGTTCGGGCTGTTGCGAAGGTGCCAAATGTTCTTCAAGATAGCGGCCCAAGGGGTCACACCGATACCAGTACCTATGAGCACAGCAATTTCATTGTCGAACACATCCTCGGCTGGTGCACCGTAAGGGCCATCAATTCGCAGCAGAGGCATCTGTTGACCATTCTGCAAAGCGACCTCGTACATTCCCATGGGGTCAACACCGTCGTACAGCTTGGCTTGAGCCGATCCAGCACCAACAGCATCACCGAGAGCTCTAGTGAAGTCTCCAACCTGTCGGACATGTACGGACACGTAGGGGTCGTAAGGACACGACGTAATGGTGAAAGGGTGCCATTGCCAGCCGGAAACAGACGGGACTTGCAAGAAAAGCCACTGCCCAGCCTTGTACTTGAAGGATGGCTTGTTGAATTGGATTTCGACGACGTCGTAAGGGTGGCGAACAACTCGTGTGATTTGTGTCGTACGCTTGGCGCGAATCTCGCGATACGTACGCTCAATCAGGTAGAAACCACCAGCCCAAAGCTCCCATCTCCATCCCAAGTAGCCGATGCAGTGGTTCCAGTAGTTGGCGCCCTCAAACGGAGAGAATGGCAGGGCAGTGTCACGGACGAAGCAACCAGTGGTGTGGGTATACAGACCGAGGAAGAACGGAATGAACAGGTGGTGAGTATACCAGAAGGTCTCGAAAGATTGCTGTCGAATGCGAGTGTGAGCAGTCGTGTACATGAGCAACATGCAAAGAAGCATGACATGTCCTGTTATTCCACCAGCCTGAGTATAGTGGATTTGAATAGCTGTCACTGGACGGATCTGCGTCTTCTCAACATTGAAGAAGCTATTGGCTGTTAGATGAAGTTGCAAGATAGTAATGCTGCATTTCCACTTACTTGATGTAATGAGCTGAAGTATGGATAATGGTGAACAGCAGCATAGCATAGGCAACCTGTCGGTGAAACCAGAGATTCTCATCAAGCGGCAAGAACTTGAGCTTGGGTCGAACCCAACGCATAATGGTTCGACAGACCGGAAGTAAGATGATCATTCCATCGACCGAGAGGACTAGACCAGCTCCACGGGAGAGCCATACGGAATATTGGAGGGTGTTCAAACCAGCCAGCCTGATATCGGCTTCCTGTTTATACCTGCACCGGAAAATCAGTACTGCCGACTTTGAGTAGCCTAAAAGTTCTCGAAACCTACCATCCATAGGCAAAGATACCCCAGTGGAATGTCCAGAAGAGAAAGTGGAAGATCAATTTTGAAGCAGTGAACTGCTTCTTGATCAGCGTTCCTAAGCTCATGCCTCCGCTCATCTTGGCAGTCGACTATTCCTCCTCTTTTTCAAAAAAGTCAAGACTGAAACCCCAATTGAGTGTCGACCTGCGACAGTGCGGACGTGACCCGTCTCTTAGACCACAACACCCAAGCCCGAAGAATGGTTGTCGTGAGAAGTCGATGAAGGCGATTCGTCAGATCTGTTGTCGACCTATTCCGTCTACCTCCTTCTTTTCCTTGACCAAACTCTGGGTGCGTGAAGAATTAAAAGTGTACAGTTGAAAGCAAGGAAAGCGAAAAGGAAGCGACAGTAAAGAACGATCTGATCCAGCAGTTGAAGAAAGGAACGATAAGTAGAAGACGGAGAAAAGAAGGCGGGGATCTTCTACGTCCTTGGCGCCGAGCGAGGGAGTGAGGGAAAGAGAGGAAAAAAGAAGAGACCTCAGCAGACGCGGGAGGTGGGTATAAGGCAGTGTTAAGAAACAGTGCTGGATGGGTAGAGCCTGGGGGGTAAATCGAGTCGTCACAGGAGGAGCTGTCAATAGCCGCAGAGCAGACAAGGGGCGTCTCTCTGATGGGTGGATTCAGATCCGGGCACACGAGGAACCGTCCCTTGTGGGCAGAGAAATGGATTCAATTGTTCGGATGTCAGCGGTCCATGAAACCTCCTAGCCAGTCATTGCCAATGCCAGCCAAGTGTTTTGCTCATCGATGGGGTGTCGATAGATGGAAATGGTCCCAGATCGGACAGTTACTGTGTACAAGCGAGAACGGGCCGTCAAGATGGTAGCGGATCACCTGGGGTCCCTGCCACCCTTGAGATATCTTAAGGTTAATGATGCAGGCAGCAAGTGATCTGGTTGAGGCTGAAGTGGATTCGAGCAACCAAGATACTGGCGGCTTGGGGCACTTGAATTGACCAAGGCGGAGGCAAGAGTCGGGCTCAGATAGTGGACTTGGGGGGATTATCGCCCTCAACGGTTTCTCGCAGTGCAGGGGAGGAGGCACACGAGTATGGTAGATCAGACGTCCAAGTGGTTTCGCAGTGGACTTGGTGCGGTATCAGACCAGACCAAAATCTATGTCTTTCAGATGGCAGCGCTGAAGGAGACTGAGGCTGGACGAAGGGGTTGAGACGAGAACTGTTTGGAGGGGCGCCTGGACAAGGGTGTCCTCGAGCCTCTTTGGTGTTTCGGCAGGGATAACCGAGTTGGGTTGCTCGCAATGCTGCAGAATTGATTGAGCCGGAAAGGGCAAAGGGAAATGCCAAAAAGATTCAAAAACTCTGGGACTGAACCAGAGAGTCGGGTTGCGACACGGTTTTATTATTATGTGGGTAGACGCAAGCCATGTTGAACTCGGCGGTAAAAACATAACTGGGCGCCTGTCACCATGGCTGGGAACTGCGATTTGATAGGTGATGGTATAACATGATGGCGGGCGATGAATTATTTTAGGGTCTCGCTAGGACGTGACCATTCTGGGGCACAACGTTCCCGGCGGCTGCTGGCCGTCACGGATTCGCTGCAGTAGGTCGGTGGAGCACCAGAGTCGACCAATCACGGGGCTGTCTTTTCGCAGATTTCCCACCCCTGCAACACGGGCGGACACATGGTGTGGGCGGGGTGGAGAATCTGTTTCCCGCTGGAGAACTAGAGTTGCACTGCTAGTGCTGTAAATCTAATGAGTGCATTATCCAGGTACACACAGCATGTACAGATTACTCGAGATGCAGTCCATTGATGCCCAGGTGGCAGCACACCTTTACATATCTGTAGAATATACCTTGATAAAGACCCTGCCCTACTCATATGGAAAGGTGGTCAAGATAAGCTTCTGTCTGCAAGACAGAAATATAACTGAACTAGTCTCGATAGAGTCCCAGTGTGATCTAGCCAGTTACACCACCCCCAGCATCTTGTCAGGTACACTGTCACACTGACACGTGCAAAAATGACCCAATTGCCAGATTCTATAATTTAATTCCAGTGTTGCACTCTTTGAGAACCAGTGCTCACCTGTTTGCGTTTCTCGCATCCATTGAGATAATGCTCGTAATGTTCAAAATCTGTTTGGCCGAGTGAAAGAATGATTCACATCCACCCTGCATCTGCAACCCTCTCCATGGTTTTGATCGTCCACTGCCCACTGCCGCTGTCTGTACTCTGAAGAAAGTACTCAAGTAGACATTTTAACATTAGCTGGAGACTTTTGCCTGGGTATCATCTAAGTTCACCAAATAATATCCAGGCGGGAACAATTGCTGAGTGGTGTTTGTCTAGACTGGTTGGTCGAAAGTTCGGCGCATCTATCTAGAGCACTCAAATCTGTCCCTGTCCGCCTTCAGATGACATTTCGTACAAATTCCTAGGACATATATGTGTTCTAGGGCCAACTCTATAAGAATATGACCGACTGACATTTCATGGTTGACAATGATGTTCCGACGTGTTTAGGACCCATGTCGGGGGGAGATCCGAGTATGCCGAGTGCGTCGGGGGAAGGCCAAGGTCCTTGGGAACAGGCGACATCATTCGAGGTTTGAGAACAAGAAAAATCGTACGACCTTTTCGCTCTGATCAGGCCATTTTTCTGCAGGTTGCGGATTTTCGTCGTTGTCATTCGACAATAACATCTGTATACCTCTTAACTCTAATGCCAACCTTAATTTCTCTAGATTATCAGAGGCTTGGCGATGGAATAGACTATCTATAAGAACTTTGCGTCCTCCCTCCATCTTCTGCGTTGCAAAGAATCTCAACTGAACTCTCTCATGAGGTCTTTTCTTGCATGAGATGTTGTCATGTACCAGAGCCCCTCAACTTGGACACACACCCCTTGAGAGACGCCCTCGAGGGGCGTGAGTCGACTTACACAGTGTGTATTGCACTTGCGAAAACGCGCATATACATGGCTCAGTTACCTCGAACTCGCATTTTTCGACGCGCTCGGCGTGGACTTTGGCCGCCAGAGGAGGATCTTACCCGTCGTCAAACATGCCAATCTCGCGGGATCTTGTCGTGTCAAACGCAAAGGTAAGTTCAGACGTCTCGCAGGCAGGCATATGAGCCCGGAGCCATAAGGGTGCGTGCGGGGACTGTCAGAAATATCCACCACAAACGAAAGCCTCCATCACGGCACAGCTTCAGTTGAGCTGCAGCAGCAACGATTACGGCAAAGATTCTCTTCGTGGCCACGGAAAGCCAGGTTCAAAACTAGGCACAGAGGCTGGCCATTGGCGTTACGTGAAACTTTTTTGAACCCTCTCGCTTGCAAGCTGAGGGATCGCCAGTGCATAAATCTTGATACAAATCTGAGACTGCAACATCATGGAACACGGACCAATTGCCCTCCTTTTATACTGCAGCCCACTTATAGCCGTAAACGGTCTAAATTGGCCAGAAATGGATTTAAGGTTTCAAGCTAAGCTTTTTCCCCAGTGCTCTATTCTTGATTATGGATTTTCTGAATTTCTTGATTCCCTTTTCCTTATCCCAAGTTGCGTTCAATTTCGCAGCTCTTTCCGAGTTTTGAAGCGCTCGCAAACGCAAATCTCTAGTCACATAAATTCCAACTTTGCCTGAGACTACGATATATTGCCCGTCGTAATCTATCTCTATAGACATCAGCCGAGCCGCTTCAGGAGATACTCGCGGTTACAAGCCATAGCCGTCAAATCTTGGGAAGTTGAGACTCGCCTAGAGAGGAAACATCTCACGGAGACCCCTTTGAATGCACTCTAATGCCATTCAATCAATAGGCCATGTCACATGAACTACAAGGACGGGGTGACTATTCAACCTGCTGCCTGGTAGTAACATACAGCATTGCAATTTGCATTCAGCCAGGCTTTCTCAGTCACTGTGAATTGCCTTTCCGGTCACTGTTTACTACAGTAATATTATACATCTCCTGCCGGGTTAATATTGCCCCAGCATTATGATTTCTAGGCATGTGTCGGTTACCCATACAGAGGCAAGACATATATTTGGTCAATCGTTCCCGACAACAAGTTATGGGCTTATCTCATTTTAGCTCAAAAGCTGCGGTGCGCCAGACTACATGAACACGTCCGTTGCAATGTGGTTTCGTTCGATCATATCGACGACGACATGGTTCATTGCCGGCCTTGACATCCGGGTGCAGCAGAGTCTTTTCTTCTTCATGATGACCATACCATTTCGTGTACGTAGAACGATGATCGGGGCCAATTCGTGTTTGCATCCTGCCGTAAGCTCGCCCCGCCATTTCTACGAGGCTCAGCAATCCGCATATATGTAAACAAAGATATTTGTGCATGTCTAATAAGCTGAGGCGCTGGCCTGCGTAATGTGCTTGCTGGACACATCATAGCTGGAGTGACAGTCATAGAATCAACCGCTCCAATCTTAGTAAGCGTTGTGCTTGGCCACATCCTCTAAAATGATTCCGATCTGAATGCACCCGGGGCATCCGCTCATTTGTATTGCTGGTGATACCGCCGGAGCACACGTACGTTAATCCTGCTTCATTGCTTCATTACAGCCTAATCTTTGAGATATTTGAGGAGCGAGAGTGAGGCCCACCCCCTATCCACGTTGGGCAATGGTGGGCTCAGTAATTTCATCGTAGGAAGAGGCAGAGAGATGTCACTAATGAAACATGGAGATTTTCAGTAAGAATCATACTTGTGAGTTCCAGTGTGAGAGTTACGAATGAAGAATGAAGAAACATGTCTGCCACAGCATCACAGTCAGTATTCGAGGTGGCTGAGTGAATAGAAGACGAATTGACCTTGGACCGCGCGTCATTGGGCGCAAGTGAATCAGTCTCCCAATCGGCGAAACGCCGGTTCGACTGTCCGCAGCAGTGAGCAGCCGCCAAGACCGCCACCTTTAGCGTGGTCGGCGCTCGCTCCCTGACATCAGTGTGGCACCAGACTGGCACAGCCTCGATTGGTACAATTACCTTGGGGGTGAGTGAGTTGGTCCGTCAGGTACCGTACCTTGCGCCTTACACCTGGGCATTCATTACATTACTCAATGCGCTACTTGGAAGCGACACCAAACTCGACACACATTTGGGCGCAGGCAACCCTATAACGAAAGAACTGACCAGCGGGCGGGATTTTTCGTGGCGACCTCGTTGATCACAACAAATTACAACCAACTGCTTCACTTGCTGGCAGTGACCTTTCTTACACCTTTCCTTCCTGCTTCCAGTCCGTCCCTCGCTTGGCATTACGACCAACGCTGAACCCCACCATCGTAGTGCGCACGCATCTCAACCATACAAGCCGCCCCGTCTTTTGGAACTGGCAATCCAACTTGCTGCTAGATCGTACCGGAGATGGTGAGCAGTAGAACTTGTATAACATTCGAAAGGCTGCTAATCGCTACTACTAACCGCAGGGTATCAGCAGGAGACCCAAGAAGGATGCCGGCCAGGCTGCTGGCGGCGCGCAATCCGGCGGCGGCGCAAAGCCCAAGAAGGCCACATTCGAAACCTCAAAGAAGAAGGAAATCGGTGTATCCGATCTGACCCTCCTGAGCAAAGTCTCAAACGAAGCCATCAACGAAAACCTTAAGAAGCGATTCGAAGGCAAGGAGATCTACACATATATCGGCCATGTCTTGGTCTCAGTCAACCCCTTTAGGGACCTAGGCATATATACCGACCAGGTCCTGGAGTCGTACAAGGGCAAGAACCGTCTCGAGATGCCTCCGCACGTCTTTGCCATTGCCGAGTCCTCCTACTATAATATGAAGGCATACAAGGAGAACCAGTGTGTGATCATCTCGGGCGAGTCGGGAGCAGGCAAGACCGAAGCTGCAAAGCGCATCATGCAATACATTGCCAACGTGTCCGGAGGAGGAGACGCCGAGATTCAACACATCAAGGACATGGTGCTGGCGACCAACCCCTTGCTAGAATCGTTTGGTAACGCCAAGACGTTGAGGAATAACAACTCGTCGCGATTTGGTAAATACCTCCAGATCCACTTCAACACCAATGGCGAGCCGGTCGGAGCGGATATTACGAATTATCTCTTGGAAAAATCGAGAGTCGTCGGTCAAATCACCAACGAGCGCAACTTTCACATCTTCTACCAATTTGCCAAGGGCGCATCGGAAAGTTATAGGACCTCATTCGGTATCCAGCAGCCTCAGACATATGCATACCTCAGTCGGTCCAAGTGTTTCGATGTGGACGGAATCGATGATTTGGCAGAGTTCCGCGATACTCTGGAAGCTATGAAAATCATTGGCCTTACGCAGGCCGAACAAGACGAGGTGTTCCGCATGCTGGCGGCAATTCTCTGGACAGGAAACATTACCTTCATCGAAGGTGATGACAGTTTCGCCCAGGTGGCTGATCAGTCTGTCGTTGATTTCCTGGCCTATCTTCTAGAGGCGACACCGGAACAGGTAGTCAAGGCTATCACGATTCGTGTTCTTACGCCCAGGAGTGGTGAAGTTATTGAATCACCAGCCAACCCAGCACAGGCCAACGCAACGAGAGATGCCTTGGCTATGGCCATCTATAACAACTTATTCGATTGGATTGTACAGAGGATCAACCAATCCTTGAAAGCGAAGCAAGCCACGCCCAACAACATCGGTATCCTTGATATCTATGGTTTCGAGATTTTCGAGAAGAACAGTTTCGAGCAGCTTTGCATCAATTACGTCAACGAGAAGCTGCAGCAGATTTTCATCCAGCTGACCTTGAAGGCAGAGCAAGAAGAGTACGCACGCGAGCAGATTCAATGGACACCAATCAAATACTTTGACAACAAGGTTGTGTGCGATTTGATCGAGCAGGTCCGGCCTGTTGGTATCTTTTCTGCACTCAAGGATGCGACCAAGACGGCCCACGCAGACCCCAGCGCATGTGACAGGACGTTCATGCAGAGCATCAGTGGCATGAACCACCAGCATCTCACCCCACGGCAGGGGAGCTTCATCATCAAGCACTATGCTGGTGATGTGAGCTACACTGTGGAAGGCATCACGGATAAGAACAAGGACCAGCTCCTCAAGGGAGTCCAGGCCTTGTTCCGCCAAAGCCAGAACCGATTTGTTCACACCCTCTTCCCAGCACAAGTCGACCAAGACAACAGGAAGCAACCGCCCACTGCCGGAGATCGCATCAAGACTTCTGCAAATGCGTTGGTCGACACTCTGATGAAGTGCCAGCCTTCCTACATTCGAACCATCAAGCCTAACGAGAACAAGTCTCCTACCGAGTACAATGTGCCAAATGTACTTCACCAGATCAAATATCTTGGTTTGCAAGAAAACGTGAGAATCCGACGAGCTGGTTTTGCTTACCGTCAGTCCTTTGAGAAGTTTGTGGAACGATTCTTCTTGCTATCCCCGGAGACGTCTTATGCCGGCGAATACACGTGGAATGGTACCGAAGAACAAGCTGTCAAGCAGATTCTGAAGGACACGAGTATTCCCAAGGAAGAATGGCAGCTTGGTGTCACAAAGGCCTTCATCAAATCTCCTGAAACACTATTTGCGCTCGAGACCATGCGTGATAGATACTGGCACAACATGGCCACGCGTATCCAGAGGATGTGGAGAGCGTACTTGGCGTATCGTGCAGAGTCGGCAACTCGTATTCAACGTTTCTTCCGCAAGAAGCGGACGGGCGCCGAGTATCTCCAGCTACGTGACCAAGGCCACAAAGTGCTGCAAGGTCGCAAGGAGCGGCGAAGAATGAGTTTGCTTGGCTCCAGGCGCTTCCTGGGCGACTATCTGGGTGTCAATGCTTCCAGCGGACCTGGCTCGCACATTCGCAATGCGGTACAAATATCTAGCAATGAAAAGGCTCTCTTTTCGTGCCGTGGTGAGGTCCTCGAGTCCAAATTCGGTCGGTCGAGTAAACCGAGTCCTCGCATCTTCATTGTTACCAACAGCAAGTTCTACATCATTGCTCAAGTGCTCGCCAACAACCAAGTCCAAATTTCGGTAGAACGCGCTGTTCCTCTCGGAGCGATCAAGTTCATCAGCACTTCGACTTGCCGGGACGACTGGTTCTCCTTGGGTGTTGGCTCTCCGCAAGAAGCCGACCCTCTTCTGAACTGTGTTTTGAAGACAGAACTCTTCACCCAGATGCAGCGCGGCATGCCTGGTGGCTTCCAGCTTAAGATTGGCGATGCCATTGAGTATGCCAAGAAGCCTAGAAAGATGCAACTTATCAAAGTTGCGAAAGACGCACCCACGGCACTCGACTTTTACAAGAGTGGTGCTGTCCATACTCAACCCGGAGAGCCACCATCTTCGACTTCGAAGCCTACGCCCAAGGGCAAACCTGTACCGCCACGGCCAATCACCCGTGGTAAGCTTATCAAGCCTGGTGGACCAGGTGGGCGACCATCACGTATTACCAACAACCGGCCTGCGGGCTCCAACGCGAAGCGCGGTCCGGCTTCCTTGCAAGCACAAACGCCTCGTCCCGTCCCAACTCCTGCAACAACAGTTCTCCCAAGCCACACACGAAACCAGGGGTCCACCTCCTCTGCAGCGCGAGTGCCGCCCCCTCCGCCTCCAGCTGCACCGCCAGCCAAAGCTTCCAAGCCACAAGCCAAGGTGCTCTACGATTTTGCAGGCCAAAGGGAAAACGAACTCAGCGTCAAGGCTGGTGATATCGTTGAGATTGTGCAAAGAGAACAAAATGGTATGTGTATATGCTTGCTCATCATGACATCTGCATCTTTATAGCCATGCTAACCAACGAACAGGCTGGTGGTTGGCCAAGAATGCCCAAGGTCAAGCATGGGTTCCGGCTGCGTACGTTGAGGAAATCAAGGCGCCGGCGCCGGCCCCTGCACCGCGCGCTCCACCTCCACCTCCGGCAGCAAATGGCGGGGCGGCACGGAGCAAACCCACACCGCCGCAACCTCCGGCGAAACGCCCAGTTGCGAACAAAAAGCCGGCTGCCTTGCAATCACGGGACTCTGGTATTGCCAATGGATCCGACAGTAGTCGAAGCAGCACTCCGACGCCACAAGCTCCATTGGCCGGTGCCCTAGCAAACGCTCTGAAGGCTCGGCAGACTGCTATGCAAAGCAAGGAGGATGATGACGACTGGTAGATGATGGAGGAACAGCTCTAGTCCTGGATCTAGGTCATATCGATACCTTCCTATTTTTTCTTTCTTTCTGTCCTCCTAGAAGGCTCTCGATGAAAGACCGAGAGCGCGGCCATGCCCCAAAAGTGGATTTGGGACGGAAGTGTGGCCAATTTTTAGCCTTCACTGGAGTTTCGGTTGCTTGTTGCATGATTTATGCAATTATAGCGACAGATGGGCTCTGAATTTGGATTGCGCTTCTTGCAATTGCATTCAAATTGCCGGTTCGTAGAAGTAGCAGAATAGACAAATATTATTTAGCAGCATTGTTGAAGCAGTTTTTTTCCTTTTACTCTATCAAGTCTTCAGGCTACCTATTATCGTCTTCATCTCGTGTCTTGACTTTACGACGTCGAATCAGTTCGCCAAGAGGAATATCATCGTCTTCATCGCCAGGGACAAGATCTGCGTCGCCGGGCTCGTCAAATTCGGCATCCTCGTCGACACCAAAATCGCCCAGATGCTCCCCATCGGCATTGACCCAGCCTTGTTTGCCCTCGTCAACAATGATGCCACCTCTAGGGGCGTAGGCCTCGTCCACAAAATCGTAGCCCTCGTCGTCATTGACCTCCTCGAGCTCTCCGAGGATCTTGCCCTCCCACCTCTGCAGGTCGCGATGTTGTCTCTGCCTGAATGCCTCCCTCTGATCCTCGGGCCGGGCCCAGCGCTCCTCGTTCTCAAACCTCTCGCGCTCCTCCTGCATATCCTGCCTCCGCTGCCGAGTCCAAACCTTGGCGTGCCGCGTCTTGGCCGGGTCCGCCGGGGGCCACATGTCCTCGGCGTCATTGAGCCCGTTTTCCTCGTACTCCCAGCCCGTGCCCTGCATCTTGCCGTCGCGGTTGCCGGCGACGCGGGGGTGGCCCGCAAAGGGCAGGAACCAGAGCAGAAGGTTGCTTGTGCCCATGCCCGCGCAGAGGTTGGCCCAGAGACCAATATCGTAGGGGAACTCGACGGCGTCGACAAAGCTGTCGCCGCCGCCGCCGCCGTCAGGTCGGGCCCGGGCGTCGGGCCAAAAGGACTCGTCGCCATCGTTGCCGTAGCTGCCACCGCCAGCGCGCCGCTCCAGGACGGCCTCGTGCCTCTCAATCTCCCAGCCCTCAATCATGGTGGTGTTGAACAGCCAGCCCTTGAGCGTCGTGAGGAGGAGGATGCCGAGGGCGAGACTGGTGCCCGCGCAGACAAAGGTGAAAATGGTCAGCCAGGCGAGCTGCGTCGTCGTCGGCCCCAGGTAGGCGGGCAGCAGGCGGTTCGACCAGAGGGCGGCGAAGCGGGCCCAGAGCAGCGAGGCCAGGTACCACAGCGAGACGTTTGTGTAGACGAGGAAGCGCACAAAGTGCGGAAACGTCTGTAGGCCCACGCAGTTGGACGTCCAAGGGCAGTGGTGGTCCATCCGCGGGACGCAGCGCGCGCACGTCTTGCAGTGGTGCGCCCGGGGCGGTTTAGGCCGGCGGCACTTTTTGCACCATCTCTTTTGGCGATGGCCCTTTTGTCCCAGTTGTTTCGACGAGTCCTCTTCTCCTTCTCCCGCGGCTGGAGCGTTGGCCTCTTTCCCAAGACTCTTTTCCGGAGGAGGAAATGTGTATCGTCCGGGATCCACAGTACATGCCTGATAGTATGTCCACCAGAGACACAACAGCAGAGCATTGAAAACCCATTTTTGGAACTGTGTCGGCGGGCCGGGGTCGAGGTCGGGCGAGAGTGCAAAGAGGAGCTGCGAGCCGTAGCCCAGGAAGGCGATTAGGAGGCAGACGAAGGGGATGGCGAGCTTCTGCACAGCCAATGGCGCAGATGCGCCGACTAAGAATGCCATGGGTGTTACCGATCCATGAGCTACATAGGATGAGAAGAGAACAGAGGAAGGAATTTAGAAAAGAAAAACAACAATCATCAGAGTCGAGACTCTGTGATGAATTTGGCTTAATAACGGCAGGATACGAGGTCAGTCAGCTCTGGAAGGAACGCGGCGCACGCGACGGCCAGCAGTGATTCATATGGCCCCACTCAACTTGTCGGTACAGAATGTACTTGTACCTCCTATACGAGTGCTGCCCATTCACAAACCAGATAACACCCAGCCATAATATCGAATCTAATGTGTGCTTGTATTTCTAATTCAATGATTCCTTTGTGATTTAGATCCGCTGTCCGAGTTATGCTTGACTTATTGATGGCAATCACACGGACAGAACAGCCCCATATTTCTTTTATATCGATATCCATGACACTTAAGCCATGGCAGGTACTCCATACTAAAAAAGCTGATGAACGTTATTGCAGATAGCCCTCACTACATGCCAGACCTTGAATCTCGAAGTCATTCAATTGAACACACCACAAAAAATTTCGTGAGGCAATAAGTCGGAATGTTAGTCTCGATCAATGCCATGGGATAGTTACCAATCAGAGTCCTCGGTGGAGGGTGGAATGCACGCTTATGCAGGATACTGCGTAAAATTCTTAACAAAGTCCCGGGTCTATAATACGCGATTGATGTCGAGTCAACTTGGACTGCTGCTGCTGCTGAGATTGCATTCGGAAGCGCTAATGCAAACGAATGGACCGGCTTGTTGAAGGCCTTTTACACGAACAGCAGCTTTATGTTCACTCATAGTGCAAATGTATGTTGGGCCATTCAGTTAGAAATGCACAAAATGATGAAAAAGAATCAGGCCTATACAGGGTCGAGGTTAGACTAGATGATCATATGGACTTATGCCGGGTTTCTGCTTACCTCGAAGACCAGTGATTACATGCCGATATGTCATTTATTCTGGCGACATATCGGCTAACGCCAGTTTGTTTACTGCCTTTATGCTGCAATGATTTCCAAGGCTGTGGTTCCGATCAGACCAGCAGGGCCTCAGGACTTTCAAGAGATGTTGTCGTCGAAGCTCCCAAACACCGTTCACTGCACATCCTCGTCGTCTTTTCCGCCAGCTTCCGGGCTTCTGCTTCTGCTACGTCCACCTCTGCCTCTGGTAGATTGTCTCGGGCCTCTGTTATTCTTTCCGGGTGGCGGTCTCACAAAGGCAAAGTCGACGTAAATGGTCTGGTCGAGGAGCTTGGTCTCGTGGGCTCCGTCGATGGCGGCGCGTGCCTCGGCCAGAGTGGTATACTCGATGAGAGCATAGCCCTATTGCGTATCACGCGATTAGCCATCGGCCTCGAACTATGGAGCGCGCTGGAGATTTATGCCATTTGGGCGCTCTTGAACTTACCTTGACGTAACCGCTGCGGCGGTCCAGGTTGAGGTGCAGGTTCTTAATCTCGCCAAAGTCGGCAAAGACGTCTTGCAGGGCCTCCTCATCAGCTTCCTCGTGCACATTGGTGACCATGATGATCCAGCCCTCGATCGATCGTACGGCGGTAGCCTTTGCGTGCGTCTGCATGTCGCCAACCTTGGCCTGGGTGGCCTGGGGGGAGCCAGGCTCGTCCACGTCCATTTCGACGTCGGCCATGTTGATCTTGATTATAGATGATGGAGCTGAGGTGCTGGCGCTTAAGAGTATTGTAATTGACTCGAGTATCGAGTGTCGCGTCGACAAAGAGAAGGTTTGGAGGAATTGATATTGTGCTGGGAGAGAGAGAGAGTTCGTCAGTGGCTAGCCTTGCTGGTAGGCTATTCGTTGGGTGTACATTAGCAGCAGCCTTATGGTGGGCAAACCTCGACCTGAATGCTGATTGTGGGGTAGGCGAAACCTCCCGAGTTCAGTGCTGCGCTTTCATCTGTGGCAGGGCGGGGCTGGGCTGGTACGTACAGTGCTATGGATTATCAATGTATTCAATGGTCACTTGCAGAGGTACGTACCCACAATGTATACAACTACATGCATTTTAGTATAAAACCTCTGTACAAGTCTCGACAATACTTGGAATGAAAAGAAGACTGAGTCCTTTTTTCTTCGTCTTTTTTAATGCAGCGGTCTTCGTTAGTAAATATACCTACACGTTTTCTTCCCCGTTAGCAATTCGTAAAGAAGAGAATTGCTCACTCGCTGTGGTTCGTATTTGACTGATGGCTGGACCCTGGTCGGGAGGCGGGCAGGCACATTTATCAACATGTTTACCTTTGAACACATTGCATAAACTTCAGAGTTTGTAATTGCCCTTTCGATCTAAGCAACATATATTATGAAGCATATCTTCCATGATATATTTAAGTCAACATAATAGTACGAGCAATGCAATGCAAGACTTGCATTCGCTTCTTGTTAATTTCTTTATTTAAGCTTCAAGTAAGCTTCGCCACGACTCGGACAGTGAGGTTTCATAGACTCCATGTTTTGTTCGAGTCTATTTCATGAGACTCATGTCAGATACATCCAGGCGCCGCCCAGCTTTTGTTTAAAAAATGGTGTCAGTTACCCCCAATTGTCACCAAAATTTGGCTGCCCTGGCACTTAAATTTTGCCAACCAATTCTGTACAACTCCAGGTCGAATTGTCAACCGAGCAGGCATCTTCGTCGATAGTAATCCTCTGGATCCTAATGGGAACACCTGATCAAGTGATTGTCTTATGTGCACTCCTCACCGGCAGATCGCCCGCATCTTGTGTCACCAACACGGGGGCAACCAGCTTCCCAATTCGAGGCCGAATCTGGGGTGATCTGGGGCGATCGGCAACCTAAGCGCTTGCGGGGGAGACTTGGACCAGCGGCATCTAGCTGCACGACTGAACCAATTATAGTCCTCGACATCGCGAGCACGCCATTGACGGCGTAATTTGACTTACAACTTGGTGTGGTGGGACGGCTTTATCTTATAAAAACCGGGCGTGCCCTCAGACTCCCCCGTGCGTGGAATGCTGGCTCGATGATGAGTGACAGAAACATCGAAATGTCGACCAGGGACACCAAGGACGTCAGGCAAGATGCACAAGATCACAGCGGCGTCGGTAGCGATGAAGAGGCCACAGTATTCAAGGGCCAGATCGATCCCGTCTACGAGGCAAAGGCCATTGTGCTAAATAAAGCAGTAAGTAGACTCAGTATACTTCAGTACGGTCATTATGTAGTAGACTGAATTACGCTGCTAGATACAAGAGATTGGTATGGGGAGATACCAATGGCAGCTCTTTGCAGTTGTCGGATTCGGCTGGGCGTCTGATAACTTGTGGCCGATTGTCACTTCACTCATTCTCACGCCGGTTATTAACGAGTTCCATGTAGAAAAGGGGCCTCTCTTGAGTCTCGCACAGAATATTGGTCTATTGGCCGGTGCCATTTTTTGGGGCTTTGGCTGCGACATCTTTGGGCGCAGATGGGCATTCAACCTGACCCTTGGCTTGGCAGCATTCTGGGGCATGATTGCGGCATCTGCCCCAAACTTTGCAGCGATTGGCGTGTTTGCGGCATTCTGGTCCTTTGGCGTCGGTGGGAATCTACCGGTGGACTCGGCCATTTTTCTCGAGTTCCTCCCCGGGTCGCACCAATACCTTCTGACCATCCTCTCGGTCGATTGGGCCGTTGCCCAGGTTATTGCGACGCTGGTTGCGTGGCCGCTGCTTGGCTACATGACTTGCCAGCAACAAGATACCGATTGTACAAGACAGAAGAACATGGGATGGCGCTATTTTCTGGTGGCCATGGGTGGGCTCACCCTCATCATGTTTCTGTGTCGCTTCGTCTTTTTCCAAATATATGAATCGCCCAAGTACCTCATGGGAAAGGGCCTCGATGAGGATGCCGTAAAGGTTGTGTTGGAAGTTGCCAGGCGCAACGGGAAGGAGACTTCATTTTCAATCCAGGATTTGAAGGCGTGCGAGCCAGAGGGTTATGTTCATCAGACGCAGGCATCCGAGGCCATCAAGCGTAAGGTACAACTGCTCAGTCTGGAGCATGTTCGCCCTCTTTTTGCCACCAAGAAGCTAGCCTGGAGTACAATCGGTTTGATGATTACTTGGGCTTTCATTGGTCTTGGGTGAGTTTTGTTTGAGAGTATTCCCGTTTTCAGACCAATACCCTTACTGACATTGAATGCAGATACCCCCTCTACAACGCCTTTCTTCCTTATATTCAAGCGACACGCGGAGCCGACTTTGGTGATGGCTCAACGTACATCACCTACCGAAACTCGCTCATTATTGCCGTCCTAGGTATTCCGGGAGCAATCATTGGTGGCATCCTTGTAGAAGTGCCTCGTCTAGGTCGCAAAGGCACACTATCAATCAGTACGGCTATTACAGGTGTGTTTCTGTATTGCTCAACTACCGCCACCCGCTCCCAATCATTGCTTGGTTGGAACTGCGCCTTCAACTTCACCAGCAACGTCATGTATGCCGTGCTGTACGCATTCACGCCCGAGGTCTTTCCCACCAAGGACCGTGGCACCGGAAACGCGCTTACGGCGACCTCGAATCGCATCTTTGGCATCATGGCGCCAATCGTGGCCATGTATGCTAATCTCTCGACTCCGGTCCCCGTATACGTGAGCGGTGCGCTGTTCATTGCTGCAGGAATTGTTGTATTGACCCTACCTTTCGAATCAAGAGGCAAAGCGAGTTTGTGATTGGGGCTGGATTTGACTCGGTCATAACATTGTTGTCATCCAAACAATGCCGGACTTAGCAATGTTCTTGGATAATAATCTCGGCGATAGCAAACCTAGAGGCGATCAATTAAACGAGTTTCCCAGCATTGGAGCATTGACAAGAATCAAGGCCATTTTCTAGGACCACTTGAAGGATTGATGAGACTCTTTCTAGCTCTAGCTAGTCTATACCAGTTATCAAGGACGGAATTAACTTTCCAATGGGCCTGAAATACAAGTAATCAAGTATATAATTAGTGTTGACTGTATTTCGAAGGTCAAATGGCCTCTACTACGCCGAAACCTAGCTTGGGGTGCAATCGTCAGATGTTGTTTTATGCTATTAATCTCACGCTGATATTTTATTCAAAGCTGGGTTATTGGAATGAAGGTCGCAACCACAGTCATGTAACTTATGACGTAGAAGGACGAAAAACCAGGAGGTAGCTGTCCATGACACATATGGATTCGGGAAAGTGTAGCAGATCATATATGCATTATGCATGGGGTATAGGTTAATAAATATTCCGATTCGTGCAACAAGAAAGCAACTTGAACGGATTTGGTGTAGACTTTTCCAGCCGCCGCTCCGCAAAACCCTCTATTCCATGATTACTCTCGTCGAACACGCGGTGAGAAGGCTACACTTCTGCTCAAACAAGTTGTCGCTCGAGTATTCGTAGACTTGTTAGATTGTCATCATTCAGTCGTTCTGAGGCACAATGACCACCCAAAAGTTTTCTCTTCTAGTCAAGAATGATGATTTGAAAGTGGCACCTGCATCGACGCTGTGGCTACCAGAGAGGCATATCGTCGAGAGCAACCGTGCAGAGAGCCGGGGCACGGTCAGTCTTGGCTAATTTTCAAAAGTCATGCAGACGAATCTCAACGATTTTAGAGAATGCACTGCTACCCAAAATGAGATCCGGGGGATGGCCAAGAGATCCACGACGTGAAAGCGGAATGCTTTTCGCCTGGAAGATGTGTCTTTAAACCCACTGACATGTCCGATCATCTCGCTCGCACTGTATACCCTTCGGCGTTGCAACCCGATAATTTGCAAGAATGCAGGTTCAGAGGCTCTTGGTACGAATTTAAAGAATCCTGGGCCGGGGGCGTTTGGAGCCTCAATTAGGCGTGAGTCGCGACTTGAACGAGCAAACAGGAAACGGTTGCGGAGTGTCGATAGCCGTCACAACCAGAAAGGGTATGAAGTTGTGGGCACCCCATGTATTTCTTCCGTCAATCGGGCGATGGGAACCAATAGTAAGCGTCGGATCGCGGCAAAGCAGCCCGTGTTGTGTGACGGCAGAACTCGAGAGCTTATATACAGTGCGAATCGATACCTGTTACTATAACGAGACTTATAAGTGAGCATAGACAGCACTTTTCAGCAACTTGGCTTGACATGACTTGGCAAGTTTTTCCACGGCAAGACCCAAGAGGTTCCCAACACAGGCCGTCAAGTTATAATCGACAGTATGGGCGTATATCTACTTGCGAGCATTGCGCTCGCCAGCACGGTCGTTGCGCAGCAGCCAGCATGGGCCCAATGCGGAGGAGAGTCTTATACCGGTGATACGACCTGTGTGTCTGGGTACACATGCATCGCCTTGAATCAATATTACAGTCAATGTCAGGTTGCAGCGGCAACTTCAACTTCAACTCTAGTCACGGTGACGACTACGAGTGCAGCGTCTGCCACAACCACAACGGCGGCAGCTACAGGTGCCACGGACATTCAGTTCCTCGGAAGGGTGAACCCAGCCACGAGGGAACTCAGCTGGCCTGGCAGTGGGCTCGGATTCACTTTCGAAGGAACTTCTGCTTCCATCGCCCTAACCAGCGTGACTGGAACGAACAGTGTTGACTTGTACATTGATGGCGGAGACCCTGTGGTCATCTCCAACGTTAATGGGAGCTCAATCTCAACACCAAGTGGATTGTCCTCGGGCAGTCATACGGTCGAGTTGCGCAAGCGTTCCGAGGCTTCATTTGGATCCATATTTATTGGAGAGGTGACTACAGACGGCACCCTGGGCACGTACGATGTGCCTGACCGCCGGATTGAGATCATTGGCGACTCCATCAGTGTCGGCTACGGCCTCGATGGCGTGAACCCGTGCACCAACACTGCCGCGGTCGAGGACAACCCACTGACGTACGGAGCCGTGGCGGCAAACACACTCGGGGCAGAGTACAGCGTCGTGGCGTGGAGCGGCAAGGGCATCATTCGCAATTATTTCGGAGACGAGACGGAGCTGATGCCGGAGCTGTACACGCGATACGGAGCACTGGACGCTGATAACAGCTACACTTTTCCGGCCGCGACAGCCCCTGATGCCGTCGTCATCAACCTCGGTACCAACGACTTTGGCTATCTTGGGAACCGCGATCCTATTGACGTTTCGGCATACACGGCCGCCATGGTGGACTTTGTTCAGTCGATCCAGGCGCACTATCCCGATGCACAATTCTTCCTCCTGAGCTCACCCATGCTTAGCGATACGTACCCGACTGCCGAGGACGCCCAGAAGACCACTCAGACCAACGCTCTGAAAGATGCCGTCAGTCAACTTGGTTCCGCAGCCCACTTTGTGGACTGGCCTACCCAGGGATCGGATGTTGGCTGTGACTACCACCCAAACGCTGCCACACACGCGGCGGAGGGAGCTGTTCTGGCTTCCGCTATCAGCGAGGTTCTAGGGTGGTGAAGGCAAATGATGAGGTTTTGTATATAGGACCATCTAACGAGCTGAGATGTTGGTCATCAACAAAAATATCATATTACTCAATTTCGATCTAAACTTCAGAAGAAGACTATTAGTCTTGTTTATCAAGCAAAGCCTTTTAACGCTCTTTGACTTAATGAAAACGCAAGGCATTGCTTAATTTGAAATCACTTATGGACTGCCAAGCTGTATTGAAAGTCATTATAGTTGATGAGTAAGTCAACACGCTGGCAAAGGAATATGACCACGACAAGGGCTTCTATTCACTACACGTTCAATTTTAAATCATGATTTATCGAACAGGCTAAACGCAAATACTACAACATGTCGTGACGTTTTATTTAAAGGACTCCTATACGCCTCCAAGCCCAGCTGGCACCACCCATCAGGGCCGTGACGCCGGTGAACACAATCAATCCGCCGTATCCGCTGCCGTATCCGGCATTGGCCTGCCATCCACTCCCACTGCTCAACAGCGCCTCGCTCAGCGGGCCGCTCACGACATTACCCACGCCTCGGCCCGCACACAGCCAGCTGAAGACCATGGTGGGATCAATATGGTCAAACTTGTCGCCACCGACTTTTGTAATTTCCATCATGATGCCGGGCCAACTACTGACGAAGCTTCCGGCAAATAGGCCATAGAGCACGCAGAAAACATACAGTGTAGCGAGAGTCGAGGAGAGGCCCCAGACACATAGAACGCCGATGAAGCTGCCCAGAGTTGAGACGAGAATACAGGTCGTCACATGGAAACGATCGATCAAGAAGCCCATGGCCACAGAGCCAAAAACGGATGCCACATTGACGAGCAAGACCGTGGTTGCCGATGTGAGAGATCCGGCATTCAATGCCGAGCGTGCAAAACTTGGCAGATAAATTGCTATATTGAGCCCATCATTAGCCAGCTTGTATCAATACAACTTGCGTTTGAATGATGCCCCAAGGTAGACATGACATAGTTGAGTAGAGGCACAAGAAACAAGACATGAACACTACTTACTCGGCAAGAAATACCCTGTAGCCTCCACAACATTACAGACTTGATATATAAGGAATGCCTTGAGACTCCAAAATCTCAAATCCCACGGTCGCGCTTTGACAGGTCCAGGACCGACCGGGACCCGGGGCTTGATGAACCACACGAGGGGGGCCGAAATTGCAAACAGGACACCGGTCCATATGCGCAACGTAGTCTGATGGCCAAACCTGTCGAGCAGGAACTCGAGGAGAAGCGGCAAGACGACGCCCGCCAGGCCATTGCCAGCCCACGTGATGCCGTACGCAAGGCCACGACGCGCGACGAACCACTCATTGATGAATAGCATGCAGGGCGAGTAGGCGACGGACCCGCCAATGGCGTACATGATGCCCTGAGTTGCAATCAGGCCGCCGACGGTCGTGGCATACGACGAGGCCACCAGAGCGACGCACATGATGAGCAAGCCCACAATGGGAATGAAGCGCGCCCACTTTGCAAAGATGCGGCAGGTCCCCAGGACCAGAGGACTCAACAGGTACATCAAGCCCATGGCACAGGTGCCTATGACGGCAATGTTTTGGCTGCCCGCGAAAGGCGGCGTCGTGGTGTAATAGTCCTGAAAGACACCAAAAGCAAAAGGGAAACCTTGGGGAAAAAAGATATTCTGTCAGCACCCATCAAAAACAACCCCCAACGTACAGGGAGCAAAATGTTAGCACTCACCCCAGACAAGCGCCTCAAATACAAAACCTGCGGCAAGGAAAAGCCAAGCGTCTTTGCCGCCGTCGACGGGTGGTAGAGATCCAAAGTCATGACGTGAAGGGTTTAGACCAAGATGTCCAGCTTCGTCTGCCTGTGAAGTGTTGCTTGAAGTCACACTTGGGCCATTTTGTACTTGAGATGGAGATTCGACTCTGTCGAGCTCTATCGACTGCCTCGCCATTGGTATAGTTGGTGTCTTTCTTGAGCAGATTCTCCTTGTTCTGTTTCGTACAAGGTCGAAAAGGCAAAAGATATTTCTGTGAAAGTGCAAGGTCTCAATTATAAGGATTCGTTTCGATATCATGTCATATCAAGTCATGCTCTTCCCTAACACATTTATATAGCCGTACTCATTGGCTGTGGCGTGAGCCCTTTCGTCTTGATAGCTAAAATTGGTTCTTGTTTTAGATGAAAAAATATCACACGCATAAGTGAGTATATCTCCGGCGCCGGCCATGTGAGCCGGTAACTTTTGTTCGCCGTAACCGGGAGACATTCTCATTACCCCATGGTACCCGAGCCTAAAGCCAATAGACTTTCAGCGCTGCATCAAATTACCCCATGGCTCTCGAATGTGGATTGACTATGCAATAGCCAACGCTAGAAAGTGGAACCGTATGCGGTGTCGATGCCGCACATGGCCGATATGTCGGTGTCTGCCTCCGGTCTTGGATCCAGCCTGTCGGGTCGGGCTTCCGGGCATGGACTATACCAAGCAAAGCCTGAGCAGACGATGTGCATATTGGACTACAAATATAAGCCAAAGCCAAAACCCGAGTTTTCGTGCAATTGATCTCCATTGTAACAATAATCATCTATATTACTAAACTCCAAGCGCCTCGCTGTAACAGATTATCGAAATCAAGTAGAATAACGCCCATTGTTTTGAGCATGGCTCACATTGCTAGCGTGAGCGATCAAAAATTTGCAGCATGTCAATACAAACTTGCAAGCCTTCGTCCAGCTCTCATCAGTGTTCATCCCTAGCTTGATGCTGTAGTGGCCTATCCTATCGTCACCAATCTTGTCGCCCTCAATCTTGTAAGGCAGCGCAAGAGGCGGCGTCGTATATCCGTCTCTATCCGATGTCACCTTGGTCTGGTTCTGGACGTACAAGCCGAGCTGTCTGACCAGCTCAAGAAAAGCGACCATAGCAGTGTCAAATTTCCGATGCCAGAGGAGATTCAAAGGCAAATCTCCAGACGAGAATAGCTCAAGCACGTGTTTCTTTGGTGCTGGTGGTGGCCCACTTCGATGAGAGCCCAATCGGCTTGATGATGGTGAGGCATGATCATAGCGGATGATTTTTGACGTTGAACCCATTGGAAGCGGTTCATAATTTTCAAACTTGTACCCAAGCTTATCGGCGACGGTGACAACCAGAAGAAGCGACTGACCCCAGGCTGCGTTGATCTCGGGCCAATCGACCGGTATGGTCGACAACCTTCCCAGGCGCAAACCGTTGATTGTTGCAAAGTGGCCGTCGTGATGAATGGAGAATGTGTCATTGTACACATTTGCCCGTTGTAGCTTAACAAGTTGCTGAGAATCATGATCGAACCGAGAGTTGATACTATCCCGTTCGTTCTGGAACTCGGATAGTTTAGCAGAAAAGGCATTCCGACCTCGCCAAAACTGCTCCTCCTGCGCATCTAGTTCCCGTGACTCTTCTTCCAGAGCAGCCATTTCACTGTCGAGAGCCTCTCTCTGCTTCTCAAGTTCAATAAGGGAATTGAATGCATCCTGCTCGTCCTTTTGCGCCTTCTCAAGAGCCTTTTGGGAGGCAGCCACCTCCTCCTCGGCCGGCATTTCCGCCTGCTGCTGCTTGAGAAAGTCAGAATAGAGGTTGCGTTCTTTGATGGCGCCATCGAGCCTCTTCTGCAGCCCATCAGTCAACATTTCGGTGCATTCGACGCAGACAGGGTGATCTATATCGGATCGAGATGACAGTATTTCGAAGAGTTTGTTGATGCGCTCGGCTTCGTGAAGCTGCGCTGGTTTGCCATCATGGCCATCGGCATCGCTCAAGGAGGACCCACGTCGTGGCTGTCGCGGAATGGGCTGTTCTCTCTGATTAGGTAGCCGGGGCGGTCCTAGTTGTGAGTCGGTGAGGAAGACGAAGGAATTCTCGGGACGCTGTGTATTTCCCTGCCGCCTGAACATGGCGGTAGGCGCATTTCTGGCGATCTTATCGTAGAGGCCCCTTCTCTCCTCATGTTGCGGATATTGGGGCGGCAGCACAGGCTGAGACTTCTGCTCTTGTTGCGAGGATGCGCCTGTAACCGACAGAGAAGAGTCAGCGAGACAGTCAAGAATATCCAGGCATGGCGCAAATGATCATAGGTGGAGCACAGACCTACTAACAGAGCGTACGCTGCTGGATTCAACTCGGACAACGAGTTGTCGAGCTTGAGAGGGTTTCGGCACTTTTGGCAATACATTGTTGAAGCCGCAGTCGGTCTTCCATGCTGCATCACAAGGTTTGGTAGGGTGGGAGCATGTCCAGACTCGAGGGCAAGCCAAAGATCAATGGAGGCGGAGGACGAAGCTGGTGAGAATGTTCTGAGCTGCAGTCCTTTTTGAGTATCGGACCCACGAGCTTTGTTTCTGAAGGGTCTCGCTAGCGGTGTCGAAGTGGACTTGAAGTAAATGGGCTGTCGCCAGACCTAGGGTAACGTGAAGACGTCACGTCACAAGCACATATTCATCTTATCGATCGCCCATGTGAGACTTGTCGGAAGGCAGCTGGGGGGTCAGCAAGCAGCGGGACGGCGGGGGTAGCTCTTGGTGCTAGTGCTGAAGAAGACTAGCACAAGTCACCGTTGCCTGTCCAGCAGCACTTCAGGGAGCTGGCACCCTGTTTACTACAGTGGATTTGCGACTGCGACCTTACATTTGTCTGGTACATTTTCAGGCTAATGACTGTAGGCTTTGCAATGATTGCTACATGACTGCTACCAACGTGGGGTCTCAAGGCCGTAGCTTGGTGCTCTCTGGCATCTTTCGCAAAGATTCGAGGTTTGATTTCCAACAGCTCAAATTCCTCCTTGTGCTTCTCCCTACGACAGATCAGTGACCACCACTGCCAACCAAGTATGGAAGCATTGCGACATTGACTTTGCTCTTGCGCCGTAGCTTCTCTGTTGTTCGCCAACTTCGCCTCGATATCTTCACATTCCGCGAGGCTATTGCGTCTTTCTTTCCGATGCAATTATGGACTTCCCAGCCAAACGAGCTCGAACTGCTCGCCGTAGTCTTTGGGACGAGGATGATGATGCCGAAGCCAATGACGACGAGCTCACCCTCTCCGCCAGTCAGTTCGATGCCCGCCAACACCCAATGTATCAGCTTGAAAAGAAGCGCGCCAAGTCTGCCTTCAAGCTAAAGTCCCGATTCGAAGATATTTTTGAAAAATATAGCAAGGATTTTGATGGAGTTGGTGACGAGATAGATTTGCGAACTGGCGAGGTTGTCGTAAACAATGGGCATCTGCAGTCACTGGAAGATGAGGATTTGAACAAATCTGAGGACGAGGAGGAAGACGAAGAGGAGGCTCTGGGCGTTAAGAGGAAAGACAAAATCGAGCACTCCGACGAAAACCGGCCATCGCGACTTGTATCCCATTCTCGGAACGGTTCTTTTTTACCTGGAGGAGCATGGCTACACGCAGATGCGCCGCCATCGATGTTTGATTCACACTCGCCGCTTTTTCCCGGAAACGGCGCTTCCGATCCAGCATGGCAAATCCCCGAGTTGCAATTACCGCCGCGGCAAAATATCCATGGATCTGGGTCTCCTTTTGATCAAAGCTACCAGTCATCATTCGGGGCTGCTAGCTTTGGGATGGGCTTTGGCGCCTGGGGAACCTTAGGCCAGCCATACAGGAGATTTACGGCCGCAAAAGACATCGGACCTAGAGCCGAGGTAGATTCAGACGTTCTGGAACATATTTCAGGAGCCGTCACGGACGACTCGGGTGAAGAAGATGCTCTTTGCAGCGAAATCGCGAACCCATCCGTCTCCATCCCGCGCTCTCGTACCATGAAGCGATTCGAGGCTGTCACAGCTCCATTTGCTGGGTTAAATGAAGCTGTACAGGATCGCGAATCTGCTGAAGAGAGCCAGCCTACGCGGCGGCCAGTGGGAAGACCTAGAAAAAAGCTCGAGCAAGGTTCTCACAACACGATGCCGGCAGAGACACTATCGCCAAAGCTGCTTCCAACTTCATTGCCTTCAGACGCCGCCAACAATACGGTCCTCCCACTGAGACCAATATCCATGCCGAACACTTCTGCTATTGCGGAGGTCTGTGCTGGGGAGCAAGCATTGCTTATCGACGATTCTTCATTGCTTATCGACGATTCTTCAGACTCGCAAGGTCGCCGGTCCGCGCGCGTGCGCAAGCCTATTGAACATTACAGTCAAATCAATTGGACGAGAACAGGCGACCAGGCGTCTCAAATTTTAACGCCACCCCCAGACGAAAACACTCGTCAGACATTACCCCAAAGTAGCCCACTGAGACCAAATGATCAACCTACAGAAAGACTTGCGGTTGAGTTTTCGAGCTCATCTCAAAATCGCAGACCCGAAGTTATTGAGGATGATGAAGAGTATACACGAAATAGCAGCCCAGCAAATATAGGGGCGGATGATCCCAAACCCAGCAAAGCAACACAAAACTTGGAAGAGTCTGGTCTATCAATAATCGAAAATGAGACTGATGGTGCACAGCTATCAAACTCTGTGTTTGATGTTAGCAAAGACATGCTGGAAAAGTCCGTAGAACGGTCTGGTCTGTTGCTTGATGCGGATGGACGGGGGACAAATACAGCTGGAACTACGCTGGAAACCCTCCCATTCGTTGAAGAAGATGTCGAAGGTGATACAGAGGAAAGTGTTTCCAAAAGTGCACAACTTCCCCAACATGATGAAGTTGTCCTCGATTCGGATAACACTCCTGACAACTTGCAACCTCATACATATTATCCTGAGCCAAATGAGGAATGTGGCGAAAGTCATCATGGCGACGAGTCGATTGAACTAGGCGAGCCGATAGTCTGTGATTCTGATCCCTTGAGGAACATCAATGGCGACACAGAAGACATAGACGCAGCCCGACAGCTCCATACTGAGGCACTTGAGGCGACGGCTACTTATTCAGATTTGGGCGGAGAAGATATGTCTTCTCCGTCACGATCGCTAGCTACAGAACCAGTGAGTCCACCATTTAAATTTGTCGACGATCCTGGGACAAATCCATCCCCCGAACTGCTTCAGCAGAGCCTCGGCCACAGCCCTCATCATGATAGTCCTGCAAAACGCAACCGGAAGCCAGACTCAGAAGCACCTTTCACGCAATCACCTACGCGGCCTGGCAGAAGACCTGCAAAAAGAACCTCGCCATCCAAACTACAACCATCAACACCCAAAAAGACTCGCACACTCGCTTCTTTGATTCCCAATAGCTCTGATGATGACGATGAAGACGAACTGAGCATACTCTCCTCCTCGGTTCCAACAACTCCAACATCCAACTCACTGCTACGCGTCAGTTTTGTCCGCGGTGCATCTCAAATATCCTCAGACACACCCGCAGCGCTCCAGAGTCGTCAAAACAGCGCACTCTTCTCAACGCCTCGTCATTCTACACATGGATCAACCCGTATAGAGAGCCGCCAAGGCTCTCCAGTTTTACCTAGGATGCCGGCAACAGACACCACCGCGGTCAGATTTGGTCTGAAGAGGAAACGGCCTGCCACCACCACCAGCTTGGCTCAAAGTTCTCCCCTAGCGCGAACAGTGCTACTCAGAACACCGCAAAAGGACACGGCTAGGAAAAGCTCTCGATCAATACAAACTAGTAGCCCTATGGATGATAGAGACCGCACAACAGGGGGCACGGCAAGACGATGTGGCGAAGACGGGTTCGCGTGCCATCGGGATTTTTGCTTCACATGCTGCCAGTAAATGTCACGAATGGTTGCTGATGTCAGCGTTTCAAAGCACTCCCCATTCGCTCGGGCAAATAGATAAAAGACTCCTGGGGAGAATAAAAAGAAAAAAGAAAACAGGAACAACCATGGGAGTACAGCCGTGGGACTGAGAACATATGGCTGCATCATTAAGTTCTGTTGTGCAAAGAGGCCGAGAGCCTGCCCGTACCACGGCGGCATACTCAACATGGCCATGATGTGATCATGCGCCAGGAATGACCACAGGAGTTATCACTTATAGATAGATACCCAAATAAACCTGGACTAGCTTTCAAATAATACACACGCCGAGAGGGAGTCCGGACGCAGACTATCAACCCGTGAAGAAGAAGTCACTTGGATGGGAAAAAGCAATCATGGGGACCAGATGATGGAAAAATGAATTCCTATTAACAAGCTGCCTCAACTACGACATATTTACCCTCAACCTGAAACGCCAAACGTGCGTATAGCCCTCCATCATGTCTGAAGTGATCAGACCTTTTCTCTGGGAACTTCACACTTCCATCAGAAATGCAGATGTATCGTTGTGTAAACCCACGGTTGTAGGCTGCTCTGACTGAACCAATTCGTGCACACACATCAAGATCCGAACTCGTCCTGCTTGATCTGGACCAGTGTCACCTCTCTCTCCATTCGAAACCAATCACACTCAACGGGGTATCCAGGCTCGAAAGACATCCCCATACTCGCATGTCGGCATCAGGATTCTTGTTCAACCTCTTTGTTGTTCCCTTTCTGCCGCATGATGGGCATCTCAGACCGTTCTGCTAGATGCATGTCGCGAATGTGTGCCAGAATATCTTGAATAGCGAAGTTCCAAAATTGCGATGGCGGAGGATCGACTAGATCAATTTATCAAGATTCTGAGCTGACAACGGCTCCTCCTAAATAATTCTTGAGAGTTGTTTCGTCCCTGATGGGAGCGAAGTAGGCATGCGCCATGGCCTCTTTGGCGGTCAGACGTTCCTGCAAATTTGTGAGCGACACATCCAGAAGCCCCTATTCTATTAAATATACATACCTGGTGATCGTATCGGAGAAGCTTGTCCAGGAAGTCGATAGCCTCGTTGCTGACGAACCTTTGGTTCTCTGCGCTGACGAAGCTATGCCATGGCTTCTTTTGGAAACGACCGAGAATGTCATCATACTGAGGGTCGAGCTCGATCTCGTACTTGTCAAGGTAGTCAAACAGATCGTCTGTACCGAGCACCTTGGCGATCTTAACGAGCTGGTCGGAGTTGCTCTGGCCGTGGAAGAATGGTTCTTTGCGGAAGATCATGGACGCGAACATGGCGCCCAAGCTCCACATATCCAAGCTGTAGTCATACTCTTGGAAGTCTACTAACAGCTCCGGACCCTTGAAGTACCGAGAAGCGACGCGAACGTTGTACTCAGTTCCCGGGTGATAGAACTCAGCCAGACCCCAGTCAATGAGACGCAACTACGACATACGTGAGTGACACAGAAGGCTAGACTAGGGGGAGAATTTCGACATACCTTTCGGTTCTCATGATCGATCATAACGTTATGAGGCTTGACGTCTCTGTGCATGATGCCCTTGCTGTGGCAGTAATCAAGAGCCTTGAGCAGCTCAAAGATGTAGTAGCGAACATCAATGTCATTGAACTTGGGGTACAGGCTGCGGAAGTCGGTGTTGTTGACGTGCTCGAAGATCAACGAAGGAGTTTTACTCTGGTGCAGGTCAGCATGCAAAGAAAGACAAAAGCGGATGGTCATGATGCGTTTCTGGGGTCATATTTCAAGCTCATGTCAAGCGCCACCAACTTGCGCAAAGCAGGTATGATAGAAGTGTAAGGGTGGAGAGTCTTGATGCGTACCTGACTATCGCGAACGACATCTAGCAGAGCCACAATGTTGGGGCCACCAGACAGGTTCTGCAGAATCTTGATCTCTCTCTTGATCTTCTTCTTCTTAACAGGCTTGAGGACCTTGATAACGCATTTCTGGTAATTGACAATGTTGATACCTTCGAATACCTCAGAGTACTTGCCGCGGCCTATATATGAGCAAGCAGGGCGTCAGTCATGTGGGCACGTCTCTGCCTTTGTAGGCCACTTCGAGTTTGATGATATGCCTGCATGCTTGGTCATGCACATGCAGAATATGGGGCAAACATACCGATCTTGCGAACGACCTCGTAGTTCTCCAGAACACCCCAGCCTGTATACGTGAAAACAGTTAGCCAGGGTTCGAAATCGAATGCTTCGTAGGTATGGCGACAGTGGCGGCAACATGTAGGCCGGCAGGCAGGCAACGGGATGAAAGATTCCGCGGGCACCAAGACGGATTACTGACTGATGTTGACGCTATCGTAATCCCAATAGCTTCTGGGCATGTTCTGGTTGACTTCGGCGTAGACGCGCGACATGGTGGGCAGCGGTCCGGACCGGCGGTCAGACCCCGTCAGATGTTTTCTGGGCGAAAATTCGATTCGATGTCTAAGTATATGATAATGAACGACGGCTGTTGAAAGAGTCGTTGGGAAGGGATCTCGTCGACTCCAAGAGGCGCCCTTGCAGATGTCGGCCAGGCAAGCAGCAGCAGCAGCAAAGAGATGAACGGACGGACGGGGTGGTCGACCGTTAGGGCGGGATGTCGAATATGGAAGTGGGATGTTTGGAGAAGCCAAAGCCTTGACTGGGTAGGAGCGGGCCCCAGGGTCGATTGATTGATAGCAGGAATGGAATCGGCTGGCTGGCTGGGTGCTGGCTGGGCGCTGGGCTTTGGGCTTTGGGCTTTTTTGGCTTTGCGCCTGCGCCTATCAGTTCGGTTCGTCCGCCCTACTGCAACTTCTGCGCCCCAGTATGTGTTCGTGTGCGTGTGTGTGTGCCCCTCCCTCAAGTCCCTTCTTCTTCCCTCATGTCTAGGCCAATGTCGTTGCAAAAATGGCCCGTGCCCTCAAGGCCCCTCCCCGCATTTCTGACCGTCGCGTGGCCGCCTACCTACGTACTGTGACATTTTACTGTATTGATTCGGCCTTATCGATTGTCGATCGCCGCTTATCGCCGCCCACCTCAAGCGACTCAGCGCATCAGGGCTTCGGGTTGAAACATTGATCAGAGACGGGTATGCAAGGTACGGGTAACTCTCGATGGTCTGTGTTCTTCTTCTTCTTCTTCTTCTTCTTCTTCATGGTTGTCTCATACAAATGTGTTGTTGTTGACTTGTCATTTTGTGCGTCTTCCTCATTATCTCCGTTTCGAGAAACGACTTCTCGTCTACCTACATAGAACAAGCTATCCCTACTGTATACATCGGCTGCATTCTCGCTATATTACGTCTAAGCGAACTCCGAATTCCGTATGATTCTGCAGCAGGTAGTGCTCAGTCATACTCTCACCTACCTTACAACGCATTTAGTAAATCTAACTTATGCTGTGCGACATGTGTGTCCCGAGTCAATGCGTGCGTATTCCAGCAGGACGTCAAGACCGGCCACTAGTATGTTCAGCTTCGCGTAGCCAGCCAGCTTGAGAGGCCTGATTTCGCCTTACGAGCTTCAGTCTTGGCTGCAGCCACTATACAACCCATGCGAGCTACACCCGTTACAACAGAATAGGTGGTGACCGGGCTTGCACTCTAGCATTGAACACCCCGCTGTGCCAGCTCAGAGCTGTTTTCCTATCCTGGAAACGCCACTGCGCGCGGTCGGGCATGTAGCGGGATGTCACTTTACCAATATACTCGTTTCATCGAGTTCCGCGTATCCGACGAGCTTGGGATTTTTCAATATTCTACAGACTAACCATACGTTAGCAATCTCTGTCAAACTTGAGATGACAGGAACGGTTGGGTTCAGGTGATACACAAAAAAGTTGTGGTTTCAGAGAGAAGATTAATTGACTCGACATACGCCTGGCGAGGGGCAAGCGTTCACCAGCAAGCTAGCTTCGACTTGCCCTGCTGAGCTTCCGGCTAAGGATGACGATACAAAGTTCTCATCATGTGAGAGGGGTGTCTTGGATGGTGTATGTGGGAGAGGGGACGATTACTGACCTTACTTCGTGGTATCCATATCTCCGAGCCGTTGTGTTTGAACTTTCCCTTTTGAGCCTACCCCTCAAGACTTGCCTGGTTCTGCGGGAGTATATTGTTCAAGTTTCAGTCATCGTACGAGATCCTGCGTCGCTGGGCCGTTTGTCCTGCGTTCGTCCCAGCATTGCCTTCGAGTTCATCATAGTCGAGACTGTCCATACCAGTCTCAACCACGTCCCATGTCCTCTTCCTAAGATCTGGCTTGACCGTTCTTTTGAACCATCCAGGATCGCCCCTTTGGGGATCAGCCGAATTCGAAGCCGTAGACTGTCTGTTCTTCTTGGACTTGTTCTTTTTCTTCTTCTTCTTTGACGTAGTGGTTGTACTAGGCTTGGGAGTATCTGATTCGATCTCACCCTCCTCGCCATCTTCGAGAGTGTCTGCCTCTGGCAAGCTGGTTCCTCTCACAACCTCTGATTCTCCATGTCCATCACCACCCACCTCGATAGGTTTCCGGGTACCATGAGCGGATTTCTTCTCTTCGGCACGCCGCAGCGCTTCAACTTCAGAGTGTCGAAAGATGGCAATCTGTTCATCGGTCAAGGTGCGCTTGACCCCATCTGGGTAGTAGCCAAGCCCGTCATCTTCCTCATCATAATAGTCCTCGTAGTACTCTTCGTAGTATTGATCGTCCTGGCTTGGCTGGGGCTGAAGAAAGTCGCTTGCAAAGAGCTCGACTGCTGCATTTGAGAAGTGTTGGGAATGGAAAGCTTCGATCTCTGACTGCACTGGATTAGCTAAATCACGAGTATACCACGAGCAGACGGCAAGACTGACTTGCGACACGACCGGCTCTTGGAAGACTGCCTGCGAGTTGATTGTACTCGCCATGCCGGTGATTTATGGTCTCCGTAGCTTGCGACGGCCGTGATCAAAGAAAGACGCGTTTTAGTAAATCACAATGTTTAGCGACAAACATGGAGAGCATGCTACCGTTTGGCTAGGCAGGTACCGAGTGCCTAATGCAGACTTGAGGTTCCAATATGTGGGGCAGCAGGTTCAAGCCTTTTTTGACACACGGTGCAGAACCGGCCAAAACACAGTCTTGTGCACAGTATTAACAAGACTTGTAATATGTGCCTACATTAGAAGCCTTTTTTTTTTCCCCGGGGCTCCCAAGTTGGTGTCCCAATTTTCTGCAATCTCGTGTTTGTTTCGAATTCTTGTATAGAAATAGGAGCAGTCATTGCTACATCCATCGTCGTTCATCACTCATAACTTCGTAACCTAGAACCATCAGGTGCGCCGTCTAGACGACCACCATGCGAACAAATGAGAATACATCAAGTTTCAAGAGAATGAAAGAAAATATCAAGCCTCTGCATAGTATATATTACGGTCCTTTGTCGAAATACCGTGCGCCGTATTGACTCATTGTGCATCATGATCTCTCCGTGCTCAAAAGGTGGAGGGCGCCTTTAAAGGCCTTGACAACTTCGGCCACTATTCATCAATAGTTAGCAGATACCAGCAACAAGGACAGCCGTTACAACTCACGATGTTCCTTCTTTTGCTTCAATCTGTTCTCTGACAAGTGTACATATCTAGTGCGGGTTTGAAGCCTACTAAAGTGTCAGTTTATTCTTTGGGCGAAGACAATTATTGCGTACCTCTTGACTGCTCTCTCGCTGTCGTGACTTGATGATGCCGATGCCCAGACATTGAAATACTTTTGATAATTAGTCACTACTCAAACAATAGCATGGTATCTGTCTTTGTTTTTATTTACCTGGACAAGGTGCTCAAATTCTGCCACCAGTTCGGCCTCTTTCTGATCCGCCTCAGTCAGAGCTTTCTCATAACGGCTCTCAAAATCTTCCCAGTCAAAGGGCGCAAGGGCACCAGGGCTGCCCGGCCACAGTTGACCCGAGGCTTTCTGACTACGGCGCTGACTGGGCTCTGGAGTTCGCGCCTGCTGACGGCGCGAGTCGGCAAGAGGTGCTGGAGTCGGCGATGGTATGTCCTCTTCGACCTCCATGTCCTGATCATCTTCGGCTGATGTCTGTGGCCGGGGCTGCTTGATCTGAGACTGTGGGGATGATTTCTCTACACTCATACTGTCTTCGTCATCTTGATCGTCCTCATCGAGCTGCAGGTTGTCGACAAGCTCATAACTCTTGATGTCCTCTTGGCTCTGACTGTTCGACACCTTGAAAGGCGAACGTTGAGGCGTATGTGTGGGTGACATTTTTGGAAAAGTTCCGCAGCAAGAAGCACGTGAATATTCCTCTTTGAGCGATATTGTCTTTCTGGTCTCCTTGGATTGAGGAAATGGCGGCTTCAAGCGAGCGCCTTTCGATTGGCCGCTTCACGGAGTACGGGTGGCTCAATACTACTGAGAAGGCGTGACGCGATGTCAGTCACGGGGGAGTCAGCAGGCTTGATATGGATCAAGTGGGATTTTGGGCATATATTCAGCAGGTAGAAAAATAATTGTACAAGAAACCAGAACAAATGTTCGTCAAGAGATGCTGTGATCAGTCGGTCAGGCAACGCTGCGCAACACTTGTTCCTGCCCTCTTCTTCATCTGCCATTCAGAGTTGTAGACGCGTCGCTGCCCAAGGAAAGATTGAATTGGATGGATTTACAATACATGACCACTCGCACGGTACACTAAAAGATCGCCTGCACACATCTGCGAGTACGTACCCCAGGTAGCAGGGGAGATGTCAGCGGGTTCCAGTGACTAGCGGCGCCGATAAGGCCGATAAGGCGACAAGCTCATTATCCATAGGTTGTACCCACATACCCACTCGACGTCACTTGAGCATCTGACAAGACATTCAATCTTCGAATCACTGGCATTTATCAGCTCACATCGGCCATAAAATTTGCAGATGACCGTTGTATTCCGGTGAAGATGAGATCGCCTGCTTTGAACGGTCCAGACAATAACTATAGGGGCCCTGCTTTTCGCCGGTAAAGCGCTCTTCAAATCGCTGAAAGTGTAGGATACACCCCGCCACTCATTCACGATGGAATCCAGAACGAGCAATATGGCATGTGATATATGTCGCCGCGGGCATCATCCGAAGAAACTTCCCTTCTATTGCGCTATGGATGCCCGGAACGCGCTTTATGAAGGGCGGATGGCCTATGCCAGTACCATGATCGAGATGGATGAACTTGAACAGCGAGGATCTGCTCTGGTGGCTGCCTGCGAGCCGAGCAACACGACCAGCGCATCGGATCGCACACGTTCCTACGTCGAAGGCTGTACTGCAAAGCAACAGATGGCCATCAAACGCACGACGGAGATTATTTCAGCGGCGGAAAAGTTGCAGCAGGATATCGACCAGGCCAGGAAAGAGATCGAGCAGCGCAAAGCCGCGATAGCACGGCGGAAAGCTGATCTTGCTACTGCTTCGCAAGGCATTACTGCGAGAAGGAACCGAGAATTTGAAGAGACGAAAACGTCCATTAGAAAACTCAAATATCATTGGGACCGAGAACACGAAGCCACTGCACAATATCGTGCCGCGCTATGCGCCGAGGTTGCCAAGTTGTACAGGCTCCAGCGCGTAAAGAAAGGAAATCCTAATCGATATGAATACAAAATTGGAGGCCTGGAAGTCGTTGATCTACATCTATTGAACAGTGAGCTTTGTGTCAGTAAACCAGTGGGTCTCTTCGTTGCTAATGATACCCAGGCACGCATCCTGAACATATATCAGCATCCTTGGGGCACATAGCACATTTATTGTGGCTGGCATCTCACTACCTTGCTGTGAGACTCCCCGCTGAAATCACTCTGCCACACAATGATTATCCACGGCCGACAATATTCTCACTTGCATCGTCCTACCATCATGGACAAGTTGGATTCCCAGGGACATCTCCTTTACCTGTCGATGCACTTGATCGCCAATACGGACATATTCCGCACCCAAGACCTCTGTTCTTAGACAAGCCACTATCATCATTCAGCAAGGAGGAATCCAACAACTACAGTGCATTTCTCGAGGGTGTGTGTTTGCTAGCTTACAACATAGTGTGGTTATGTCGCACACAAGGAATCCCGGTTGGCGACAACAGCAACAGTTTCGAAGATTTTACGTACATGGGACGAAATCTCTACAACTTACTTAACGGATCGTCGTTGCAACGTAATCAGCCTGGACAACCGATTATCGATGCCAATACGCCCCCTCCTACCCACGCTGGTGATGCGGCTACTGGTGAAAACGACGATATTACCAAGTCTGCGCCCAAAATGGGACTATGGTCTCACGGTGCGGCGCATACTTCCCTTAACAGCACTACTGGACAAGAGTTTACCAGATCGTTTAAACTGCCCAATCCCATCAAACTTGCGGACAAGCTCAAAGCTCGTTTGGCCCAGGAGGTTCCTGTACCGGAATGGGAGCTCATCGAGGACGATGAGTTTGGTCCAAACGATCTCGATGATGGAGTGTTGATCGGAGGCACGCCACAGTCGAGATCGAGGAATCCGAGATTTGGACTGGAAAGCTATATGAGTGTGAACACCGTTAGAAGCCACGGCTCAGCTGATGCGAGGTCTTCTCTGGCTGCTGTTAATGACGCTGCCACGAAGAATAGAGAAAGGAGCTCGAATGGTTGGACCAAGATAAAACCCAGATAGTTTCTTCAACTCCTGCTCTAGAATCAAACTGGGTTGATTTACAGTATGCAATCTTTCGTGCTAGAATAGAAGAATAATATTAGCGTCCACCACACTGAATTCATTATAGGGATCGATAACACATGATGGATTATGTCAATGACCCAACCAACATCGAGACTTGAAAGCTCAATAGACATGCTACTGGAAAATTATTGCTTGCGGGAAAAAGAGGGCGACTGGGGATCCTAAGGCCTTTTTCTTACTGCTTCCCCTCAAGATTGATTACCCAAACTACTCGGCCACAAGGCAGCCCTCGGTTGCAGTCACTGTTGACAGGTCAAATTATTTTCAACTATGAGCTTCTTTGATTTCAAAGTGGGTCTGGTGTTTGTCGCTTTGTCTGGGAGAGCGTTTGCATTATTTCTCTGTAGTATTGCTGCTGTCCACCCCACACCACATTTTGACTATAATACTCCACTATTGCCTCTCCAAGCACTAGACTATAACATGCCTGTAGGTATGTCAGTGTTTATGGAGCCAACGTTACATTGCCATGAGCATCAAGAACCACATAACAAGGACTGTAATATATTATAGACACGATATATTGTATCTTGTATCTTTTTTTTTCAAAATAGTTACCAAACTATCGTGTATTTGTAGTCCTTATAGCTCGCCCAGCGTCTTTGCCTTGTCGCCTCCTGCCGGAGGCGTGATAAGGAGAAACTCAGTCTGCTGGCCATACACCCACTCCCAAGTGCCGGTCGCTTCGCTCCAATAGACGTCTTCTTCCTGTGGAAAGAGTATGGTTCTGTTCCGTTCGGGCACAAAATGCTCAGCATAAAGCTCGACGCTGTAGTAAGTGTCCTTGAGCAAAGGTAAGTCGCCAAGAACCGGGACGCCATCCTGGAGATTCGTCATGCCTGGCAGAGCTTTGTGTTAGATGGAGACTCTTGTGATGAAACTTTCCATGTTTCTAGGAATACGACTTACCAATCACAGTTCCGGCGCTGTGACCAAATTCGCCAGTGGCATGGCAATAGATCTTGCCCTCAATACCCTCGGCATGTGCTTGCGCTAGAATGTTCTTCAGGATCTCGTTACCGGTCAAGCCAATCTTCATGTTCTCGCGCGTAATGTCCTGTAGCCGATTCACCTTCTTCAAGCCGTCAAGGAAGCCCTGGGGAATATCATCGGCCGTCTCGCCCGGGTTCAGCACGTATCCCAGGTGTTGTGTGTCAGTGTTGAGGCCCAGGGCGGTCACACCAAAGTCGGTGTGGATGATATCGCCATATCGGATGACGTGGTCGGGCGAGACTAGAGGAGACTCGTGCTCAGCAGGGAGATCGTCTTCGGTGAGCACAAATACGCCGGGCTGGAACCAAGTCGTGTAATTGAGGCTTTGGATCCGCTCCCTCATCCACCAGACCACGTCTTCAGTGGTCGTCTCGTTGGACACAATCACCTTGCTGCTGAAACCCTCCTCGATAATGGCCCACGCCGTCTCCATCATCTTGCGGTACCAACTCAGCCGGTCGGGCACCATCCTGGCGATGAGCTCGATGCCCAGCATGGGCTCGAGGACGAACTTGCCCGCCCACTCGTCGCCCAGCCCGGCGGCAATGGCATCTCGCTCCCCGGCGTGCAGACCGCCCGAGAAGGCCAGCTCCGACGCCGTGTTGAGGGCGATGGAGCGCGGGGCCGCGGCCGCGAGGACGTCTCTGAGCTCTTCCCACACACGGGGCGTATTGTCAATCCACGAGTAACTCGTCTCGTTGCTCTCGCCATTGGGCAGCGGCCGCGCGAGGAACAGCTCAGTGGTCCGCCGGCGCGCCGAGAACTGCACAAAGTCCTTGAGCGCCCAAAACGTAGTGTCCTCGGCATACTCGCGCTGGCTGATTAGCCAGGCGTCAATGTCGTACTTGCGCAGCATCTCCGGCACCAGCGCCCGGCGATCCGCTGTCCACCCGTCCACGATCTCGGCCTGCTCACGCAGGGGCGGGAGCGTGTGGATCTGCGGTGTGGTGTGCGTCGCATTGGTCACATCGCTCAGGAGCAGCGAAGACAGTAGGACAATGCCGCCCGAGAGGCTTCCGAGGATGCTGCCCCGCATGATGCCGCTTATCTGTATTTGCTGGCGATCCGATCACTATTCTGATTTGCAATGAATAGTACCCAAGTTCCTTTTGCGTGCTCTGGGCTGAAGCCTGACAGTCGCAAGTATCATACAGTAAGTAGTAGCCTATAATATGATAAATTCACACAAGAAAATGTGACATTTGAAGAGGCGCTGCACGTCCGGTAACAATTGACGCGGCGGCGGGGACCCGATCCTTGTTATCGCTACTGAAGCCTATCCGAATCCCGATAAAATGACCTTCTAGATTCGGAAACGTGACTACAGGGGATACCGACTCGCAGGTTCCGTTTGCAGACCAATCTACGAAGTGTATTGGGTATGGTGGAAAATACGTATGATGATTACTGTGCAAATTGAAGCTGAGCAGGTATCCACCTTTGCCAAGTATTATAGTAGTGGTATATCTTCAACACGGGTAGCCTGGGGTATCTGTTGCATTGTTACGGACAAGAACAATACGAAAAGCAGTGTGCACATCTCTGAACAACGTAGCAAGCGAGATGACTGGTGTCTCAACAACTGGCAACCGCTGCGACACCGACAGACGATGACCCCCTAAGCCGCAGCAGCACTCCTGGCTTTCCGCTCCTTGTCCCAAATTCTCAGAGCCGTAATCACAGCCATGACAGCCCATCTCTCCCCTAGTGCACCTGTGACGCCGCTGCCCAGGAATTGGAAGTTGAACAGCTTTGACATGCTCATACGGGCATTGGACCATACGGCCACAACTTCCTTGGCATCGCTCGACTGCGGACCTCCGCCTACGAAATGCGATCCTTTGCCTTGACCCCCGGGCGCATCTGTTGCCAGCCGCACCAGCTTCCATCCGGAACTCGAGCCGCCGAGCGAGTCCACCTCGTTGCCGTGGCTGTGTCTCCACTCAAACGACTCCCGCCGGCCTACGCTGCCGACTTCGATGCTAAAGGTAAAGGTGCCGTGGCTGAAACCGGAAAAGGCGAGCGGCTCCTCTGCAGCAGTGCGGCCAGACCCCGGCAGCGGTGGGAGCTCGACAGTGGCAGAACGGCTTAAGGTGTTGGCTGAGACGCCCGCCAGCGGAGGCGAAGACTCGCTGGGCCCCGAGTGCAGAACCACGTCTGGCGAGCCGCTCCAGCCCGTATGCGTCTTCACAATGTATAGAGGGTGAGAGCCGTGCTCGCCGAGGTAGTATGTTGTCCCAAATCCTCCCGATTGGGAGTACATGGAAAACTTGCCGGGAAACTGGCGGTTGATGTATGCTTGCTGTTGGGGCTGTGCTGCTGAGAAATTGGCATTTTGCGTGCTCCTGACCTGCTGGTGCAGTGGTTGCGAGCTTGTTGCGTCTGACGACTCTTGGTAGGGCGGCGGCGGAACATCGTCGCCCTGCTTAGACAATGCACCTGAGGCTTCTTCGGGGCGGCCCATGTTGATTTATATAGTCCCTTGGAGACGGACGATCTAGTCGTAGTATGGAATTGGCGTTGTGGGTAGCGGATTGCGCACCAATTCCAAATAATCGCAGTAGTTTTGAAGGTTTTGTCGGCTTTTTGAAAAGACAGAATTAGGGAGAAAAAGAAAGATGCTCGCCTTTGATCAAATACGACAAAGATCAAAGGTTTTTGCGTTTGTGCGTAGTAAGGATCGCGAATTGCCGACCGGAGTGAGGAGCCAGAATAGAGTGTAAGATTGACAACAGAACAACAATTGCTGTGACTTTGCAGGTGGGGTGCCTAGGAATGGTGGTTTACTTCACTGCCTCCTTCTAAGGTCGTTCCTGAACTAAAAAAGTTACTACATTTTCCCTTGCAATTGGACGACTGACGACTGCCAAGACTGCGCCGCAATCCTTCGAGGCAGACTAAGATGATATCACCTGAACACACTTTTTGGCGCCCTCTCTTTTTGATCATGGTCAATATTCCCGCCAGCCCTACGGGTTACCGTTTCGGTAGAGGTAATCCTACCTTATGTGGAACTAATTCTGTTCCGCCAGCCCCCAACTACCGTTCGTGCCCGGACCGAACCTTGACTCAGAGGGAGGAAGGCGGAGGAAGGCGGAGGGCTGACCTGAGCTCAGCGAATCTGATGTTTTTTCTTCTTGCTTTTCTTTCTTTTTGCACTGCCTGCGTCAAGGTACAGTTCGGATCTTCCTCAGCTGGTGGGTAGATCGTAGCCGACACGATATCCCGTCAAGCCATCCGTCTAGGGTAGAACACTGATAATATGTGCTTTCACGAGAGAAAAACGAAAAAACTGTGACGAATGTGTGGGTATAAAAACTTCAATATCACATGGAATCTTTACCCATCTTGTGTCATTGCTGAACAGCCAATATTGATGGTTTGTGGGGACACTGCCGGAGCTGAGCTGGAGGACCCGTTCGCCTAAACTATTACAGAACTCTGGCCATCAGAATTGCCCCTGCTGCTAGATGTGCTGATGAGCCCATAATTCTGAACTCGAAATAGCAGAGGAACCAGTCAACTGGGTGCATAACCCCAGTGTATCTTATCGGTGATCCTCACCGGGGTGTTGCTGATGTCTTGTGGTCCCTAGTTAGAACCCGATTATACAAATATTGACGTTCAGGGAGCCGGGGAGGCCCTGAACGATGGGGCGCGCCCGATAACCCGGAACCTCGTATGACTGGTTCACTGCAAAGAGTATTCGGTCAGACCCTTGTATGTGACCTGGTGACTAGACAATCAAAAGGTGCACCCGTCTTGTTGGTTGGCTAAATTATCATGGATAGGATCATTCTTGTCACAGGGGCACAGTTTCTTTGGGATTCGGGGTCCGTGATATACCGTACAGAAATAGGCAACTGCAGATAATCTAGTATTAAAGACCTGACACTTGTCTCTTTCCTTGTTCGCGCCAGGCCTCAAAAAACCAAAAGGCAACTACTGTTCTGTAACCCAAGACAAACATTCTATCACCTCTCGCCCAATATTATACTCACTCCTCTAACAATACAATTTTGTTCCCCGATTTCCAGAGCCACAAACTGAAGCATGCTCGTTGAAGACGTGTATAAAAGCCTTCAGGGCCAGAAACTGGCCATTCCAGACCTACGACCAGTTTATTCGAATTGGAAAACGGCTGTGAACATTCACTACCCGAAGCTGGTTACCGAGATCAACACTTATCTCGACAAATGGGTAACTGAAGAAGCTGTCCGAGAGGCCTACAAGAAGGCTGACCTGGCCTTCCTCCCATCAAGGTGAGTATTCCCAAAACAAAATCGCTTGAAGCTCCAACAGAAAAAAGCTAATAGATCATCATAGCATGTATCCAGATACTGAATGGGATAGACTCAAGACAATGGGATTATTCACTGCAGCCGTTTTTGTCATGGACGACTCGATTGACAAGGAGTTCAGCGGTGCCGAAGACGACTATGCTGCAGACTACGTTGCTGCCGATGAGTTGCGAAAAGACTGCGTGGCGTTTATGAGAGAACAGCTCCGACAGTCCACAAAAAGACCCTTTGAGCCCACTCCTGCACCCAAGGAGATCTCTGGATTCTCCGAGGTTGCCAAAGCTCTGCTGAAGAGTGATCCGCGACAGGTACAGCTCCCAATGTTGGCCAAGGACCTTGAGGATTTCATTGAAGGTTCCGCGCCAGAACAGGCTTTCAAGCTCCGCGGAAGTTTACCCACCGTTGAGGAATACTGGTCCTTCCGTCACTTTGTTGGATGTGTCCTTTGCTATTCAACACTTCACCAGTATGTAGCCGATACAAATCTGCCCATGGAGCTAGCTTGGTCCGAGGAAGTCATGGCAATGAGAACAGAGACCAGTTTCCAGCCTTGCGTGTGAGTATTACGCCTCTGAGATCAAGCCAAAAAAGGCACATTGCTAATGTCCTACCTCTCCTAGTTGCAATGATTTGTTCTCGCTCAAAAAAGAAATTGTATGTATCCATCCCAGCATGCCACCACTCTGCCTCTCGTCTTTCTTGTCTAGAGTCAGCTAACACGTGACAGTGTGAACGTTCGGTCACGAACCTGATTCCCATCATGATGGCACACTCACAAAAGTCTCTAGATGAAGTCATGTCCGAGCTGATTGGACAGTTGTATGCCTCGGCAGAGAGATTCGATGCGGCAGCAGCGGCATTGCGAACCAAGGGTCAGAGATATGAGCCTGCTGTCCAGTCTCAACTGGAGCGATTCATTCAAACATTTGAAACTTTCCAGACTGGCTGCTTTACATTCTATGTTCGATCAAGGCGTTTCAAAATACTGGACTTCAAGAAGGAGGATGAGAGCTTTGTGATACCCCTATAGACTAGATTTCGAGGCGTCTGCCATTTTCTTTTTCATTCCAGTGTACTAATACCAGATATCTGTTTAGCGGGCTCAATTCTTTGTATCATTCCCACACAATATTCGAACATTCCGAGTCGTCTAGAATTAATAAAATGGCAATGAAAGAACAAAAAAAAAATGGTTTGACTGCGATTACTGCAAAAATATCACACGTAGCTAGATAAAGCAGTGGCTGACCCGAGCTCGGGGGATTGAGTAGAGTAGACTGATCGCATCGCGTGGCCTGCAGAATAATGACAGTCTCGAGTAAAAATGGGCAACTTCTGGGCGTCTACGGTCAAATTAGCCACAACAGCCACGTGAATTCCGTCAAAAACTTGAAGCATGAATGGAACAATTTCAATGAAAAGGCACTGTTTGAGAAAACATGTGTCCCCATTGCTGTACAGGAGGCAAGAATATCCTGTGCAACTTTGGCAGGACAGTCAATAATCGGCAACAGTTTCCAGGCTCAGGCAATCTTGATTGTTAATAGCTTAGAAAAAGATGCTTAGAAAAAGATGTTCATTGTTTCTCTTCTCTAAAAACATGTTCTCTAGGTCCAGAACTTGATGACAAGGCACGGCTGGTTGTCAACACGGAAGAATGTTGGTGATTTCACTCCTCGCAAAAACACAAGAAAAGACTTCCTTCACAAGATTATCAAAGCACACATTTACCCAAGTAGATACTGAAATATCAAGACACAATAGTTTGATTGAGTGGCATAGATTATGGACTCACAGCAGCCTACAAAGAAGAACAGATAGAATAGATCACAATCCATGTCAACATCAATTGGCTTTGAGGCAACTGAAAATGCAACAGTCATCAAGCCATCTACAAAAGTTCTTGCCCGTTGCTACCTAGAAGTAAGGAGGTGGGAAGTCTTCTGCGCGTTTGCCATCGTCCCAGCCGGTTCACCTAATCTACCCACGGACGCTTTCCAGTCACGCCGTTTGCAAGAACGCCGGAGCCCAGATCAGTAGATATTGATTGTTCAAAGAGCTGCCTAGCCTGCCTTGTGGCCAACCCACCTGCAAGTTCCTGCGCCTGGAGTCGAGTTCCTGCCTGCAGCTATTCCGCCGCGCGCCTGCTACTGATTTGGCGTTGCCCAGGAGTTCTATAAATTCCCACCCACCAACCTTTGAGCAGCCTTCTTTTTTCAGCAACACAAACACAGACAGAAATCAACCACAAGGAATCTTCCCTTCCCAATCATTATTCTTTTGTCTTTTGACTTGCACTCTAATCCAAGCCTTGTCCATCAACAACTGTCTTCAGTTCCTTGACAATCAGGCATCATGAAGAACTTCACCTTCACCCGCATCGTCGGCCTCCTGGCCATGCTCACCGGCATCGTCGTCGCCACTGACCTGCAGGACAAGCGCGACTATGTCACTACCGAGACTTACAGCAATGGTGGCGTTTCGACCTACACTCTGAACGGCCTCACCACCACCATCATCATCGGCGCCTCCGTTGAGGGCGAGCAGCCTGTCACTCCCGCCGCTGCCGTCCCCACTGACTCTGGTGAGTATTCACTTGTGTCTCTTGATGACTACTCTTTCCCATTGCTACTGTCGGCCAGTCTCACGCAACGATAGCTGGAATGCTAACAAACACCTTCATCAGCCGACGACTTTCCCCACGACAAGTGGACCTACACCATGGTTCAGGATCCCACCACTCTCACTGTCACCCAGCAGGCCAGAACTTTCACTGATTTCCTTGGTCACACCAAGGAGGTCCCCGCTGCCACTGTCACCGAGACCTTCCCTGCCATTACTTACACCACGGTCATCACTCCCCGTAAGTACTTGTTTCTTCTTTATCTTCTGCAAGAAGAGGCCAATTGCTAACAAAAGAAAACGACAAAAAGTGGTTGATCCCACCCCTCCCAGCAACGAGAAGCGTGATTACACCACCACTTCCTTCTGGACCGAGACCGTCACCGAGACTCTCTCTGTTCCCGCCGTCACCTTCAGTCTCACGACCACCACTGAGACCTTGCCTCCTCAGACCTACACCAACACCTGGACTCGAATCGTCACTACTCACATCACCGGTAAGTTCCAATGATTTTACCCCGCCATTCAAAAGTCATTGTGGCAGATCCGTTCCAACTGACAGTTTCATTAGTTATCGAGCCCACCCCGACCACCCTCAACAGTAAGTACCTTCCCCTGGAGGTCCGATGCCACTTCATGATCATCGAGTTGACATTCTCTTTCTTGCAGCTGTTGTCACTCAGACTGTGACCAACTAAGGGTCCAATTCGGAAACCCAGGTACCTTCCTTCGGGTTGTAGCTTCTTGCGACTTCTGATGGTTGGCCACCTCTCTAGCCCATTGATGGCATGCTAGAGGAAATGAAAAGATAAAATGGATTTGTTTTCCGGCAAAAGACCATGGCTTCAATGCTAAATGGTGAGCCCATAAGATAGTAACGCTTGAACCATATGGTCGCGTGAATCAGCAATGTTTCTGCCGCACTGGCATGTAGATAGTCGATAGACAAGTCACAAAAATCACGGATATTCATGCTTTAGATGTCTGTTTCTCGGGACTTCGTGAGATATCGTATCCATTGTGCCCCGCAAAAGATAACAACATTGTGACATGTGATACTTTGCCCGAGAACGACCTTGAGTTCGTGATGTTCTGACTTGGTAGAACATTGGTTGAGTTTACTGATTTACACCCGCGTTTCTAATTACTTCAACATACTAATCATTACTTTCCATCACCACCGAGACCAGTCCATTCACCATTAACCTTCCACACTCCTACATCACCGTACCTCGGCAGCTTATTGTGCCTGACCCAGGCAAACCTGAAATAATCTGCCACCGCCTGCGGTCCGCGTATCCACACTAACCTGTTATCAGCGCCAGCCGCCCCGAAATAAATCCTTCCTCTCTCGACGTCATTGATGAGCATGCTGATACCGTCCACGTGTTCAGGCACCGGCGTGACCCAGGTAAAGGTAATGTTGGCAAACGAGTCGGCAATGTTAATCTGGGGCTCGTGGACCGCGGGCGGAGGGGGGATCAAGGCAGCTGTGTTGTCCGGCGCCACCGATACGGACTCCCCGACGTGACTCGCCCAAGGCTGGAGATCCATATTCTTCACGAGACCAGACACCAGGAGTCCAACGAGTAGACCTTGATACACAAGATTCGATCGCGACTGCATAGCCGAGCCAGGCAACACCAGCAGGGCTAGAATCAGCATGTTTGTCGGTACGGCGTCCACGAAGAAGGAGAGGACGACCAAGCCAGAGAACATTGCATAGAGCCGGAAATAGATGTACGAATTCTTCCTGTGCAGATCATACCACTGGTGAAGGATGATGAGTACGGCTAGACACGGTATGGTCAAGCGAGAATCGAAAAGAGTGTAACCCTGAAACAAGCCCAACCAACACGCACCGAGCCAGAAAGCTGTCTTTTCCAGCTGTGCTGACAGCTTGTCGAGTGCCCTTTTCACAGAACGTGTGTAGACCATGGCCAGGCAGAGAATGGCTGGTATGTATCTTGCCGCCACAACAAGATTTTGCATATAGCTGACCTCGTCGATGACAGACAGTCCTCCGACCTCCACTGAGGTAGTTGAGAGGGACCGGACCTGCACAAACCCGATGCCAACTGCCGTCCAAAATGAAAGGAGCGGCGATGAACTAAACAAGAAGACTACAGCCGTGAACGCAATAGATACGTAAGGCAATAACCATCTTTGGTCACTAACATGGCAATCGAAACCTGACTCGATCTTGAATCTGTATGATTGAGGAAAATAGGTCCTCACGCCGATGGAAGAGATACCGTTGAATTTCGACGCCGTATACGAATTTGTTTGACCCAGACGTGTCAACAGGCCGCAACCACCCCTCGAGCCGTCTAGCAAGTCCGCATGCACGGCTGATGCGCAAATCCAGGAATCCGCGCGGTAGATGGGCCCTCCAATGACCAGTGGCTGATCGACTATGCTCAGAGGACCAACCAGGTGAGGTTTCTCCTGGACCTTGATAGCTGCACAGTTTGCTGGGCAGTGAAAGGCCACTGGCTCCTCTGGAGGGACTGGACAGTTCTCGCCGTTGAGGCCGCAGCCATAGTTGGGCATCCAGAACGAATCTGTGCATTGGAGCTGCTTCACGGGTAGATACATATTATCTACCTTGACCGGAGCAATGCTTGTGTCTGAAAGGATGGCAAATGCCAAGTACCATCCCAAGCTCAGGCCGAGAAATAGCAAGACCTTCTGCCTCTTCCGAGGGAATTTTCGTTCTAGCCATCGCAAAGGGGTGCTTTGCAGAGATGGTAAAATGGGATCAAAGCCATTCCTCCACTGTGACGGAAAGTCTGGGTGATGAGCACTCGGACGACCTGAAAGTTCGGATCCGGATGGCCCTTTCGTGTCTCGCTGATAGTTCTTGGTAGTGGCTGTCCAGTTGGAACCCTCCAACGTATCTTTGCCTTCCTTCTTCTCTTGTGGCTCCATAACATGGCCAAAGAGATCGTTAAACCTCATTCGTGTATGGTCCTATGATCCTATGATCCTAATCATGAGTCAATGGTTGGTTGCGACTCCAGCAGAAATAGTAGATAGAAATGGGCGCAAGCCAGTACATCGCACCATGGAAATGTGTTCATCAAAAAGTATTGTGAGATTTAACGACATTGATGCGATCTATATATTTGTAAATATCTTGTGGACCGCCTGATCTTTGATCTAGAAACCAGACATGTTTCGCTATTCAGCTTGGGCAAGGGGTCTGTGCTCCAACGAGCCAATGCCGCATGCGACCCCTTGATGTAAGACGATGCCGTGGTGCTGGGACGCAAAAGAGCGGAAGTCTGCTGGAGGGGCTGATATCCAACCTCATGCCAGCGCCGGTTTCTAAGTGTATATATGTAGTGCCTCTGTGGGAAGCGCGGGCGAACTTCTCTATGTGCATATGCGCGGGTGATGTAGTTCAACTCTTGTGTACTTGTTGGTCTGCCACTGGCAAAGTGAGGTTTTCTCGTTTTCGTGCGTATGGTCTATAACGAAGAAGCGGCTTCGACCGCTCCGGCTGCCTTGAATGTCTTCTTGTTCGTCCAGTTGATCTCGACGTTGTGGAACCATTCCATATATCTTCCCCAACCTGGTGAGTGTTAGCATGGAGACCTTGGGGCGTGTCGGGATGATGCTGTGCGTACTCCAATACGCAAATTTCCTGCCAAAGTATTTGCCAGCAAAGGGCACCAATATCATGGTCAACAGAAGTTGCAACTGTTCCAAGCTCCGCTCCCACTCGCGCTGCGCATCGTACTCCTCATCCTCAGAGCTGAAGGAATCGGTCGTCGTTGACGGCAGTGAATCGATATCATCATTGTCCGAGTCAGAGACATGCGGAATGGCAAAGGAATCGGAGAGAGACATTGCTGAAAAGGTAGGAGACCACTTTGAGGGTCGATGGGCCGAAGGGCGAAAGGAACGGACTGCTCGAGGGCGAAGGAAAGCCGAGCTGGTTTCGCTAAAACTGGCCGCAACGCAACAAGCGCATCAGGTCTAGAGCCAGATGTTCTACTCTCTATCGCCTAGACACGTATGCATCCACTTGCCAGAACACAGCGCCGTCTGTAAGGAGGAGACCAGGCGGTGGTAGTGGTTTGTCGTGTTTGTGGCGGGTTGGAACAAGCGAATGCACACAGCTTCCCCGGGCCAATCTGCGATAATCCGCAACAAGTGTCGTTGGGAACGAACCGGGGAAGCTCTGCCGGGTCCAGCCCATCAGGGGGGATTCTTCGGTGTCCCAATCTTGATCACTTGCGCTAGACTAGTATTATAGAATATGGCTGCACCTTTTCTGAGTAGTTTGAGATAGAAAATTAAGAATATCTATTTCAATCGATACACATGATAGCTACTCAAAACTATATGCAAGCTTAGAATAATTATCATGATCATCAACAAGGCCAATGAGTTCTCTCATTATGCCGAAAACTTGATAATTTTGTCTAGATAGTATATTTTCCCAAGACACGCGTGAATGGTCAGGTCCACTGCTCCCGATCCATTTCGGACACTGCTCGTAGATCTGCTGCCAGGCAAGCCCAGGCTAAACCTGAGCCGTAAACCTGCTGCCCCAGCGGCGTGGACAGCATCCATAATCCTGGCGGAGCCACTGTTTGAGCTGCCCAAGCTGCCCACTGACTCAGAGTCTGACGCAGGGAGGGGCAAAGCGTAAACTCACAGGGCGACATGGGCGATCAGAAAAGCTGGAGACGGCTTTTTTGACCCGTCCGTCGCACTGGTTGGCTGGTTGACTGGGAGAAGGAAAGGCAAGCGTGGGTTGGTGACTCAAACGTCATTTTCTACGGCACACTGCATAACACTGATTGATGCACCTTTCTTTGCAGCGCTGTACAAACTGCGCAGACGCACAAATTTCTCTCCCATCTCACCTTTGTCTCCAAATCGGAACCATACCAAGATTCAGAAGAAAGAATTGCAGTGTACAAGATTAACCATACGTACTACGCTTCCGAGAAAAAGTTACTCGACTTGTCACCTTCGCAAAGCCAAGAGATAGCAATCCAAGCCGGGTCACCAAAAAAATCAACACTACTACATTATCCAGCAGCTTACCATCTGAGCTACAAATTCCCTAGTGCAACTGCAGGGGAAATCATCTTTGGAGAAAAGTCGCAACCATGGCGGACACTGAAGTAAGTGCACATATCTTGTTTTGTCGGCAATGTCAAACCCTCGAGGCCATATTATAGTGTGGTGTTCCTGCATCCACACCAAGCGCACCTCAGCCTTTCCAAGAGAGAACCCATATCACCTTATTTACCCGTGGCTCGGTCGTTGTCGCATAGACGAGGGGAGTAAGAGGAAGAGATCTGTCACTTGCCAATATTACACGGCGACTGTCGTGCCTCCAATCGCGCTACATCGATTGAAAGATGGCGGGCACACCTGCTGCCCCTCGATATGCGACGCGACCAGAAGACATGATACCCAAATGCAAGGCGCCATCATGGGCTATCTCATTAGGTTGTCTCGTCGCCGGTTGCAGCGCGCGCAGAACTGAACATATGGGGAGCCTCGAGCTAGCACTGGGTGCGGTGCGCTAGCCCGTCTACCCCTCCAATGGATCTATGCACCTGCCCACCACCTGGCCTAACCGGGCGCACCAAAATTTCCGGAGGGACGATGACACACAAGCTGTTGGAGTCATCCCCTCCATAATTATCGTATTCTTTGGAGGCGACATCAATTTGCCATCACTCTTGGCCACTATTTTTGTGATTTTCCTCCCACTCGGCCTCAACACCGAACCAACCTACGAAACGCATCGTCTCGATCGCGATATTGACTTTCTGATCCGCAGGAACGTCCCCCAACTGCCGATCGCAAACAGCGCAAGAGCGTCGTATTCAACACAGAAGCTGTCGTAGTCGAAGCAGACGGCAAGGTAACCACCATGGCCTCCACCGAGGAACCCAAGGAGACCGCCCAGTCCCACGCACCTAGTACGCCGCCGTTATCCGCCGCCCTTGGCGATTTTACTGACCCAAGCCCAGCTGATGCTGGCGATGCCCCCACCGAGGAGCCTTCTCTGGATCTGTCCACCATGAAGAAGAAGAAGAAGAAGGTCAAGACCGAGGATGCCGACGGCGCCGACGCCCCCGCAGAGACTGGCGAGGATGGATTGGCTCTCCCCATGAAGAAGAAGAAGAAGAAGAAGGCCCCTAAGGAGGGCGAGGATGATCTTGCTGCCAAGATTGCTGCCCTTGAGGTCGATGGAGAGGATGGCGAGGGTGAGGCCGAGGCCGAGCAGGAGGAGCAGTCTGGCGACATGGACAAGGGCACTGGTATCTGGCAACATGACGGCACGAAGCCCATCAGCTACGACCTTTTGCTGGGCCGCTTCTTCAGCCTCCTGTCACAGAAGAACCCCGACCACGCATCCAGCGGCGCCCGAAGCTACAAGATCCCGCCTCCCCAGTGTCTCCGTGAAGGTAACAAGAAGACCATCTTTGCCAACATTCCCGACATCTGCAAGCGCATGAAGCGTACCGAGGAGCACGTCACTCAATACCTGTTTGCCGAGTTGGGTACAAACGGTTCCGTCGACGGTAGCAGACGACTGGTCATCAAGGGTCGTTTCCAGCAGAAGCAAATCGAGAACGTTCTCAGGAAATACATCCGTAAGTCTAGATGCATCACAATTTTAGTTTTGACCACATTTCTAACATGTTTAATACAGTCGAGTACGTCACGTGCAAGACCTGCCGTTCCCCTGACACAGAGCTCAACAAGGGAGAGAACCGTTTGTACTTCATCACCTGTAACTCTTGCGGTTCCCGTCGTTCCGTCCAGGCTATCAAGTCTGGTTTCACTGCCCAGATTGGAAAGAGAAAGAAGATGCAGGGCTAAGCTGTATCCGTGTGGTGGGACGCTGGTGCGGATTCTATGGCATTTGACGAGCAACATGGAATGAAAAATCCAATAGGCATGCCGAGCAGTCGAAAGGGATATGCTCTGAACGACATGTATGTTTATGCTTCTTGGGTCAAAATTCATGACCAAACTCTATCGTGTAACATGCACATGTGGTATCAGGCCACGGATTGGTCTTACGAAGCGAAGCTGAGTTGGGTCTTGCGAGAAGAATGCAAAAATGTTATGACATGTAACATTTGGATTTTGTGATTGTCACCTTGAATGATGTCGCTAGTCGTCTCGACAGTAATAAATGTCGGCGGCTTTGATTGGGACTTGCCGCGAACCAGGGTCCATCTGCCTATACATTTTTAGACCAACGTTGAATCCCCGTGCAGTATTGGCATGTCTAGCGCAGAACGTAGGTATTTATGCCGACGTTTACTATTCAACATTGTTTATAGATCGGATGGTTGGTCTTTCCTACTGCCTCGTCTAAATGTGATGTTTGACCAAGCTTGCACTTTGTGCTCTCCTTCCCATTCCATAGTACCTAGGTAGCACGTCAAGAGAGGCCCCACCTGCTGTCATCTGGGAAGCGGTCAACACTCGGCCGTCCCACTCATGGAATAATACTAATCATATATCCATTCACCTATTGCACGACTCTCAAATCCTCCAGAGTCTACAACCGCTTTTCGTCCTCGATTATTGACATACGATATCATGGCAGAGCACCAACTTCTTCCCGGTCAGTCAGGCCTCCCCGTGCCTAATTCGACAAAGTCACACTGGCATAAGGAGCCTTCTGAGAAGCTCTTTGGTCACCGCACAACGCCCGAACTGCCTCATTCTTGTGATTGCATCATTGTGGGCTCCGGTATAACTGCGGCTATAGCCGCGCATACTCTCAAGGAGAGGAGGCCGGACTTGAACATAATAATGCTCGAGGCCAGAGAGGCATGCTGGGGTGCTACTGGACGGGTAAGTATCATATTTCCCTTGGTTGTCTTGAGCACACTAGCGTTGGCAGCCCCCTCCACCACCGGGGTGTTGGCAGGGAGTGTGTATCCGATGCATTCGGGACGCTTAGGAGCCATCTTGATCTCTGTTGTCGGAACGACGCAAAGGCAATACCAATGTCTATTCAGTGGAATCACAAGTGTGGCTCACACAGTGCCTGATTCGCAAAGGTCTTGGCGGAGGTTATATGATCAAGAGATACAATGCGGTGTAGCACGTAGCTAATAAGATTACAGAATGGAGGTCACTGCCAGCCCGCAATGTACGCTGCCAAACCACACATTGCCTCTTTTGAGTTGCGAACATACTCGTACCTAAAATCGCTTGTCGAAGAATACTCTATTCCTTGCGATTGGCATTCCACATCGGGTGTACATGCCTTCTTCTCAAAGCCCCTCTTTCAACTGGCGCAAGAGGTCATACAAAGTCTGGCAGAGAGATACCCGGACCTTGCCGCCAATGTTGCCGTCGTGACAAAGGGCGAGCAGGGTGCTCCATCGTACCTGATCGAGGGCGAGAGAAAGGAAATGACCCTCGAGGGTCTGCGGATTCCCACAGCTGAAGGTGCCGTGGTGCAGTGGAACGCTGCCAGCCTGTGGCCGTATAAGCTTGTGGCCTTTATACTGGAACGCCTCCTTGCCGCGGGCAACTTCAACTTGCAGACCAATACGCCCGTGACGGGTCTGCAGAAGGTCGAAGCCCCTTCCAACTTGGCATCACCCACCAGCCCGAGCAGCGAGAAGAAGGGTATTGACCACCCAACCTGGATTGTACATACCCCCCGTGGCCACATTACGGCCCGCGCCGTGCTTTTGGCGACAAATGCGTACACATCGCATCTCCTTCCCGAGTTCAGCGATCTGATTGTGCCCACTCGTGGACAAGTGGCGGCTCTGAAACCTCCTGTGGAGCCGGCACCGGGTGAGCCTCCTCTGGATATTGGCCACACGTTTTACATCCTTGGCGAGGAGGGCACTGAAGATGTCCACCGTGAGGATTACCTAGTCCAGCGTCCGCCTCCCAACGCAGAGCTCGTGCTCGGTGGCGGTCGCCAGCTCGCCAAGGGATACGCAGTGGGCGTTTGGGATGACAGCACCATGGACGAGCCGGTCAAGTGGTGGCTACGGGGAGAACTCACAAAGGCTCTGGATCTCAGCCTTCGCGACGCTCCTCAGAGTCCCGTCAAGCACGACCACCCGTCTTCGGCCGCCAACAAGCAGGACCTTGAACCCACGCACGAATGGACTGGCATCATGGGTTATTCTCGGGACGCCCATCCGTGGGTCGGACCCGTTCCCGCTTCGCTGGGCGGTGGAAGTGGTCTCTGGCTCAGTGCTGGCTACACCGGCCACGGCATGCCCAACGCGGCACTCTGTGGCAAGGCTGTCGCCGAGCTAATGACGGGCGCGGACGAGGTCGACCTCCCCGAAGAGTACGAACTCAGCGAGGAGCGGGTTGAGCGGGCGCGGATGCGGGCCACGGTGAAGGAAGCTGAGGAGAAGGGAGCCTTGGTCTTTGACCTTGGAGCTGTCAAGGTCTGAAAGAGATATGCTATAGAGAAGTAAACGGTGTATCGTGATTCAGAGCCACAGAGGTTGAATGATACCAGATAGACAATCATATGAACAATTAAATGAGTTTTCAGAGTCGCAATCACGAAACATTGGGCTACCGAAATATAATAGTAATTCGTTTGCAGTTACGTTCAGAAGCGTAGAGGTGTCTGAGACATTTGGATATCCTGTTGGGTTACAACCAAGATGGCGAGACATGTCTTCACTCGAGTAGCTCGACAAGTGGTCAAAGGCACAGGTCTATTCTCAGTCATTTCACGTGTTGACTTGGATATTACTCATCATAGCTTACCACCGTTCGTGTCAACATATTTGGCTAGGCTACTTGAGCATAAAGCTGCTCCCATGCTTTGTCACACTCATCTGTACACACAAATAACCAATGATAATCTTCTACAGTACAGTTTGCCTGTAGCCATAACCGCCAAATCTGCTGCGGCTGGCTGGCTGGCTGGCTAGGGTGGAGGCTTCACGGCATGTCAATGCATGAGGCTATACGCGGCACCGACCGGCAGTACCCATCGCGATCGTGAAGAGGTAAAGCCCCGTTGCCAGGCGCAGGAAGAATGCATGCACGACCGAACGCGCAGATTGCGAGTGGGTAGTGGAGTCGGTCATTCGGGAGGAGTTGGCTTCATTGCGCCTGTGAAGGTGCTGGAGAGGGGATAGCCGCCGCCCGTACGGAGCGATAAAAGACCAAAAAAGGTCGATTGCACATTTGCCCCCGGAAAGTTTCCTTTGCAGCCTAGCAAAGCATTGTGACGAGAAAAATATAAAGTGCAAGGACGATGGGGATCGGTGATTGGGAATTCGGAGCGTTGGCACCCAACATGGGGTGCGCAGAAAAGATGACAGATGAGTGATCTGGGCTAATAAGCAACATCCGACAAAGCAAAAGAATGGCGCCCGGCTTGGGGTGGGGAGAAAGGAGGAGGAGGAGGAGTAGGAAGAAGCGAGCTTGTGAATCCCATCCTACTTTGGTGATGCCTGGGCTGACTCTGCTGATGCATGAAGAAGGCGTTTGGTTCCATTTTGGACTTTTGGGAGCCGGGGAGGGTGCAGCCAACCTTCTGAATCATGTCAAGGCGACTCCAGGAGTCTTAGCCGTGGCTTGCGTGGTCCGGTCCATACCTAGGCGACGATCGTAGGCCAGTCAACAGAAACTCCCCAGCTTGTGGTGTTTCATTCGTGTGTAAACCCTTGTGTGATCCAAACCATCCGAACCAGAGGATATTGTAGCATTGTACACAGTAAAAAAGAAAAGCAAAAGCAAAAGGAAGCAGCATCGGGGGGGTTGGCCTGAATGGTTGCAAAGACGTCGACCGAGAATAATGTAGCAATGAATGCGCAGCTGCCTTTTCTCACGATGGTAAGGCCCAGGGTGCAGCTGGACCCTCTTTCATTTTAGTAGATTTGAAATCCGGAAATCGAGGCCGTCCTCGATGAGATTGATGGAGCACGAAATAGGAACCTAGGCAGGTTACGCCAGTGGTGATGATGATGAACCCAGCTAGGCTGGGGGGCGAGACTTAATTTTTTTTCCTTTCTCCGGGGGATATTGCGTTTGCAAGTTGCGTAGGGGCGGGCGCGCGTGTTAATTGATATGCGTGCGTGTGTGTGTGTGTGGACTTTGCCCAGCCTTCATTGAGCAGCTCTTGGCACTAGGTTGAAGATGTTTTGGTGCACACAGCAGAAAGGGACATGTAAAAACGATGATCGGGGCTTTCGGGGACTTCGGCAGAGAGGAATGAGATGAGTGGTGATGGTTTTCAGTAACATGTCAGGATTTCTCCGTACCGCAAACGGAGCGAGAATCAAGATTGATTGCCTTTGTATGTGGGAATTTCCCAAACATGAAGAACAATTGAATTGCCTCGCACGCAGTATTGTACCTAGATACATTACCTACCAGTATGAATGAAAGGGAAAGCAAGCAGTCGAGAGTGTAAGGTATTGAAGGAAGGGATTCCCGGGTCCGTGCTGGCCTGAGGCCAATCCGCGTCAACTGGATGTAGGTAGCCCAGAGTATGTATCTATGTAATAAGGTAGTATGTAACGAAGGTACCTAGGTACATGTCGCGCGGATGCTCATCCACCAGCCCTTGCGAAGATTATTGAGTGAGAGCACCGCAGCGCAAAGCACCCAAAGCATCCCGTCCTTTTTTAATGTCAGGTATTGTCTGTCACGCCGCCCGGCGCTGCGACCGAACCCGCGAGAAAATGAGACCAAAAGCCCCAAACCTACCAGACATCATGTCTGCCCCCATAATAATAAAACACAACAACCCTCTCACCCCTTGACCTCTCTCCCATCGTCACCATTCCTTCCCATCCATACCCATCATCGCCGCCATCGTAACTCGTGTGAGCGAAAGCGCAAATCTCAACGCCGCACCCAACACACGCAACGCACCCACACCACCACCGCCTTGGGGTAAACGCCGAAAAGGTTCCCCAGGTGAGCGAAAGAAGCCAAATTTGCTCAAGGCAGGCCCCCGGCCACAGAACAAAAAAGAGGTAGACTATCCCAAGTCAGCCACCTGCTTCCTCATCACCACCACTGACCAACTTCCCAGGGACAAAGTCCAACTAGACAAACCAAATCCCAGCAACATAAAAACCCGCCCTCGCCGCGCTTTTTGCAAACTCTGCAACCTTGTATACGACCACAACTTTTCAGCATTGGCTATTTCTATTCTCACCACACGCCAACTTTGTCTATAAAGTAGTCTTTACACCAAACTGCCACACCTTCGCGTCGATTTACCACCCGACAAGATGGCCGGCACAACCAAGACCACGACTACCGCCAAGGAGAAGGATCGCCGCAAGTCGTCGACTGGCAAGACGTCAATCGTGACTCTCAAGGTCTCGCCAGACAGACTTCGGAAGCTGCTCGACCCAACATCAGTCAAGGAGGAGTCGCCTGCAAAGGCATCCCCGGCCCCGTCGTCCAACACGCCCGCCGAGCCCGCCGTTCCTGCCGAGGCTGCCACGAACGGCGATAACGCGTCCACGTCCAACCCTGGCACGCCCGCCCCAGCTGGCACACCTTCTCAGACTCCCATGGGCCCGCCAGCTGATGGCCCCAAGAAGAAGGGCGTAAAGAGAAGTGCTCCCGGCGCCAATGGTGCAGAACCCAGAGCCAGAGGCAAGCCTGGCCCCAAGAAGAAGCCCAGACTGTAAGCCAAGATCTTGTTTTCCTTTCTCTTCATTCACATCATTGCTCCTGGGCAAGAAGAGGCTCCCTCATTTCTGTACCACTTTCTTTGCGACTATCTTTGTCATAATCCCACATCGTTCCCGGCTAACATTCACTCTAGTGAGGATGGCACCATCGATCCCAGTGCAAAGAATGCTGGCGGCGCGTATCACAAGCTTGGACCCAAGGCAAGCCTGGGTGCTATCAATGCGGGCCTGCGGGCCCTCGATCGCTCAGGAAAGCCTTGCCGCAAATGGGCCAAGGGTGGCTTTCGCCTCAAGACCTTTACCGGCGTCATGTGGGAGATCCCTCGCTGGACTGCTCCGCCCAAGCCATCCCCCGAAGAGAGTCAAGAGGTACCTACCGAAACCTCGGCCGATGGCAGCAATAAGGAGAACAAAGAAGAATCTCAGATGAAGAGCGAGAACAGTGCCAGCGCTGCCGATGGAGAGCAGCGAAGTCAGCCACCCAGTTTGCCTGCTGACAGTTCACCTGCGCCAATGCCTGTTGCTGCAGCATCATAATCAGCAACACAACCTTTCATTATTCCGTCTTGTTTCCTTTTACTTTTCTTTTCTTTGGTGGATTACACAGCGTGTTTGCCTATATGAAAGTCGGTTCTCAACTTTGTCTGAGCGAGGATTTCGGAGTATTCACAGCTTCCCAACAAGAAGCTCGGCGTTTAGGGTCATATCAACGAATCACATGAGGGAGGGGAGCATCTAATCCTGGATCGCTACAGCGCAGATTGCTGGCATCCGGTAAGGGAAAGGATAAAAGGGAAGGCGTTACGGGTCTTGCTGGCGGTACAAGAGTACGCCGCAAATCATCATACCACACAGGATGTACTATATTGCTTTCACTTCGTACATTCGGGCCACAAAAAAAATAGAGGGTCATTTTCTATACTACCTGCTACATGCCATTATGAAGTACATTACATTCCGTATGTGAACAATATCCGAGACGCTGTCCCTCGTGTTTATACGCCTATTCGAAATCCCCACGTTCTCCATGTATGCTCCTTTAACCTACCTGTATGTCAATGACCATGGACCGTGGGTGCGATATGTGTTATAAACACAACTTGGGTAAGAAGGCATAAGAACCGGCTTGACATGATACAAATATGTGATGATTGGCTGCCCATCCCTGATCAAGAAAACTACAGCTCGAATTGAATACGCCTACATGTGTGCAGAGTACAAATGGTTCAAGACCCACCAGTCAAGGCACGGTCCAATCTATAGTCATGAGCGGATGGAGCGACATGTACAGTTGTCTGTCATTATATTTCGTGTTGCTGATATTGTACCCGAGGCTCTCTTGACTCTGTTGGCATGCTGGAACTTGCAATTGAGGTATCAAAGTTGCCTTCGGGCGTGTGCAAAACATGCTTCCACCACAAAGCGTATATCCAAGAAGCAGTAGCGGCAGCGGGGACGGTATTTCGGAGTCTGGTCGAGTCTTCTGTATATGACACGACTCACATGTCTCGAAATCTTCATTGGACAGCTCTGGATTGTCATGGGCCCTAATTCACTCGATTCTGTTAGACGACTACTCGTTTGGCCAGTCATTTTAGCAAACGTGGCCGTGATTGTATTCTAGGTTTCGCCTACCCAGCCGTCAGGAATACTTGTGGGGTGGACAAGGAAATACAAAGCTTCAATAACAACCAACCTTGCCAACCTTTTGCTGCCGGCATGTGCTTGGCTGGTCGATGAAGTATGTATCCGAAGACACTGTTCTAATAGCACAAACTTCTGTGCCGGTGACACGGCATGTGAATTCTCGTTTTTGGGTTGTTGACAGCGTGACAGATTATAAGCAGAGTCCATATAGACTTTGCTTGGTAACTACCAAGGTTAGGTATTCAATGCTGTGCCTATTCCCGAGCACTGGAGAGAGCGACTTACTGTCCTTGTAAACAGGAGCTAGCCCAATGCACATTACCCAGGGAGAACGTCAGTCCTCATGGAGCCCATCATGACTTCTGAAAAATCAAAGAGTGGAAATTGGAAAATGATACAGAAGTATTGTACATGATACATCAAATACTAGAAATATGGATCTTTAAAAAGCTCCATGTGCACAATGTCGGTATAGTTGCAGTCGCTAGGTGAAACGATACTTCCATACACTCGCAGGCGGCAAAGCAAAAGATAGGCCTCCGACCCCCTGATCTTTAGTGGGCAACCCTGACTCCAGATGTCGCCAATGCAGCAACTTTAGCGTGTTCAGTCTGTCCAGAGACGCGGTATCGATGCTCCGGCCGGCCTAAGAGGTAGCGATTACCTACTAGAGTGGATGGACTAGCTAGCAACTACGGATCTCGTGATTGATAGGCACGACTGCATCTGTTGAACTCATCACGACTCGGGTTTCCTGGCAACGATCTATCAACAATTCGATTGCCGCTAAATGGCCATCTGGGATACCCATTTTCTCGAATTTGGATCGAAGAAGCTACACGGTTGATGACCAGTCCGACAAGCCCGTCTTTTCTGGCATGCCCTTCGACTGTTGAGTGACGTTATCCGACGGAGCTCTACTAAGCTCTACAGAAGCATTTGTTTGCTAACATCGAGACAACCTTTTCGACATCACAAAGAGATCTACCATCGAGACGCATTATTCGAGGTCCAGCTCGCGTCTGGTACTATCGGAGGGCCCAGAAGTCCATCAGCCGCAAGTTTCCAGCCATCTCGAGTGTTCACGAACCCCGACAAGCTACATCTGAAATCCAACGGTCCCTCGTCGGTTGGTGGGGAAATAAGCATAGGAGGACGTGAAGATGGCGAATCCTTACAACAACCCTCTCGACACCTCACAGGACGGCATCTACGGAGCTTTTGTGCCAAGGAACCGAAGCTCATTTTCAGCGACCGGCGCATTGCCGCCAGCATCCCCTTCTTCCTTGAGCAATATCATGCCTCTACTCCCCCTCAACCCACCACAAGGCAGCTATTCAGAGCTCTACACAACGCATCATTCTTACATAAGGACTGGTAGCGGAGCTGCCGACTCTGACGGAAATGCGATGCCCTCCGAGGGTGCCGGGTCTGGTTTGCGCCAGCAAACTTCCCACTTTCCATCCTTCTCGCGCGCCTTTGAGATGTTCATAAATCCTATCGGCGACAGTACCTGGCCAACTCGACACCGGAACAATGGCCTCTTTGTGCCTTCATACCTTGCGAACTCGGCCTACATACAAAAGCTGGAAGAGGTGCACACATCAAAACAGGCGCAAAGGGAAGCCCAGACGCAGGCGATTGGGGGCAGTGGGATAACCGCAGGCCAAGTCGCTGCGCCGTCCATAACAAGCAAGCCAACCACACATCTGGGTATGACCTATGATTTGATTGAGCGTGCGCCCATGCTCGAGGATGACGACGCAGTAGCACCATTGCCAACCAGGTGGAATAAGGAGGACAAGCAAGGCCAATTGGAAGTCATGGCCGATGGTCTGGAAGTCAAATATACTGGGCAAAAGTCCCCGGGAGAGCGTGATTATGAATTGTACTCAATCAGGGCGGATCATCCTGTACCCAGCCAAGCCGGGATTTACTATTTCGAGGTTCAACTCCTGTCCAGAAAGCGAGACGAGTAGGTGAAACCACGGCATTCTCTCACGATGTCATACAGAAGAGATCCCGCTGCTAATTCTTCGACATAGGACAACTGTCTGTGTGGGATTTGGGCCAAAATCCGCCGCGCTTACTCGTCCTGTTGGCTGGGAAAACGATTCATTTGGCTACCATGGCGACGATGGAAATGTTTATATTGCTTCCCAGTCGCCCAAGCATTACGGACCTGGTTACACAACTAATGATACAGTGGGCTGTGGGATCAATTTTCTCAACAAAACCATCTTCTTCACCAGAAATGGTGTTAACCTAGGTAAGAGAATCCAGACAAACATATATTGCTCGAAGGCATATTGTGGCTCACGCGTGTCTACTTTCAGGTGTTGCTGCCAGGGATTTTAAAGTCAAGCTGTATCCCTTTATTGGTATGAAGCGAAATGGCGAGCACGTGCGGACGAATTTTGGACAAACCCCTTTTGTATTCGACATCGACGACATGATGAAGCAAGAGCAAAACAAAATCAGAAAGGAGATTTCAGAGGCCAATGTTGCGAAATTGGCCGGCCCGAAGACGGGCGAGACGGACCTCCTCCAGCAGCTGGTGAGCACAAATTGCAATTGTATGTATCGATTGCTAATATTTGCATGCAGGTTTTACAATTTCTTCAACATGACGGCTATGTCGAGACCGCAAGGGCTTTTGCCGAGGAAATCCAGTCAGAAAAGCAGGCTCTCAATCTCGACGCTGATGTTCCTGTAGAGGGTATCAACATCAAAGATGATGAGGATGCCAACCATCGACAGAGTAGAGCCACCGTTCCGAGCACAGATTTTATTGAGCACACACTGATTCGTCGCAGGTATTCGGAAATCTATTCTTGATGGAGACGTGGACAAAGCATTCAAATTTACGCAAACATTCTACCCTGACGTCTTGAAAGAGAACCAGCAAGTATACTTCAAGTTGCGATGTCGGAAATTCATCGAAATGGTTCGCAGATCATCCCATCTGAGTAACAACCACAACAGAAGCTTTAGTAGCAAGAAAAGCAATGGTCATACTCTGGACGACAATCTCGAGATGGATCTCGACGAGGACGGCTACTCGGACGAAATGGACACACAGGATACGCTTGAGGCATCGACCGAGGACGAAGCAGCCGCCTACCTTGCGCAGACAATCGAATATGGCCGAGAGCTACAAGAAGAGTTCAAAGACAATGGAAGCAAAGAGATGAGCAAGACGCTTCAAGATGTGTTTGCACTAATGGCGTATGCAAATCCGCTCCAAGAAAAGGAATTGGCCCATTTCTTCGAGAGAAAGGCCAGAGTACTAGTGGCCGAAGAACTGAACTCGGCCATTCTACGTAAGTCTCGTTCCTGGCAGAAGTTTCTTCTCTACTGACACCACCCCTAGTGTCTTTGGGCCGGTCGTCCAGATCCGCGCTCGAGACAGTTTATGCCCAGACGAGTGTCTTGCTTGATTATCTTCGCGAGAACGGTGGACCAGGATCCTTTGTGACAGTCCAAAGTGTGATTGATGAGATACCCAAATCGCCATATTAGCACACTGCCCACAATCTTGGCGATGACGGGTCAGATTTGTCTAGGTATACAAACGAAGAGCGATGATCTGGACCTTGAGATTCCGAAAATGGTCCACATCACTCGGAAAAGGCATACGCGCACTGTTAATCAATTCACCCACGGTCCAAATCTCAGCGCGTTTGAATGGATTTGTGGTCCTGTGAGTATGTAGCACTGCGGCCAAACCCTCCAACAGCCAAATTTCATTACCTTAGCCTCGAGTAAAGTCGAAAATCGGTCCTTAGAATCCACGTCGGCAACATACTGTATTCTTGCAGGATTAGAAGCCTGTATAATGCAAATATGGTATGAGCAGCATCACAACTCAATCTTTACATTTCCTCAGGTTCTCCATGGTTCGGAATGCTTCCTCTCAGCTCTTGAGGTTCCGATTCTGCACTCACGACTTGGTTTTTATAGCTATCGTCTCTCCCTCATAGACTTGGGCACGGGATGGAGGTGGTGTGGCACTGTTGTTCCAGCTATCAAGGTTGATTTGACCAGCTTTTGTTCGTGGCAGCTTCATTCACCAAGATGGGACCCCCAGCTATATATCCTTTGGGGAAACAAAGACTTGAAGATGTATTTTGAGTGCATCAATTTTGAAACTCCCAAATTGCGTCTTCACGAGAGAATTACAGTAAATGATTAACGCACCATTACAGGGTGCATGGTGCGAAAAGTCCAAGAGGACCAAGACATGTACTTGAACCAATAGACTTACTATTTGATATCGGCAAACCTCAAGACAATGTGAGTTTGATATTGATATTCTTGAGTAAAGTGTGGTTTTCCCCTTGGGTTGGAAGGTAGCCGGAAATTCCGTCTTCATTGTACTAGAGTGCTCTGATGTGGCGACTTCTCGGTACTATATGCCAGTGCCGACGAGATGCCCGAGGGTCTATTTGCGTCTTATCGAAACCCTCCTGCGTTTTGTCAGGGGAGGAGATATTCCCTAGTAAGTAGTAGAGCATTAACAGAATCGAGCTTGGGGTGCTCGGTCGGATCGTTAGGGGCGATTGACATGAGCCGAGGAGATTCTGGACCAGACGACAAAAGCAAGAACCAGCCAGCACCAAAGTAATGAATGCATGCAGGCGTTTTCTGCTAAGCCCAAACACGAATGATGGACCCGAAGCTATTCCGTTGGCTTGGAGTATCAAGACCCAAGAACCCCCGGAATGCGGGCGCTGGGCTATTTCTCGGCAGAGTATTCTCGCGAGACAAGACAAGATGAGTTTAGAATGGATCATCGGTTGTATTTGGCTTGATTGATTGCTATGCTATAAGCTTGCTCGCTTGCGTGCTTATCTCAAGACGCTGGACCCTGACTCGGGGGGGCACGTCTCGGGCCCCCTGGCCCTTTCTTAGCTTCTTCCTCCCATCCCCATGGGTTTGCTAAGAAAGGCCTTTACTACATATGATAAAGATAGCTTTGATAAAAAAGAAGGAAAAACATGATGCAGACAACCCCGAGTAATGATCCCCCACCTCTTTGCAATAGCCGAGCCGGGGTTGCGAGCGCCGGGGCTCAGAAAAAAACGCAACCAGAAACGCCTTTACGCTTGCCCATTGCATTATAAGGAAAAATGTTGCTGTTAGAAGACGTGGAAAAGGGCAAAGAGAATCAATCCCCTTGCAAGCACGCCCATCCTGAAAAGTCTAGCCCGGAACAAAGAGTCCCTTTCTCCCAAGGGTCCATCTATACTCGGCAGTATGTTGGTAATCGGTAGAGCGGAATAGGGAACGACGAAGCTGAAATGATTGATTGAACGACCGGAATCGAGTGAACCTGGAGATTGAGCAGATCCATTCCCATGGGGACGGACGGCCAAGGTACGTATCGTACGCTATCTTGGGCCCATGGTGCGTGGTAGGTATGCAATCTGTATGGCTTCGGAATCTCCGCGACCCAAAAAACCCACATGGCAGTATCCGGGGGTAAAAAAAAAAATGGGAAACGAACGATAGGCGGGTCGGCGGCAGCGGGTTTAGGTCGTTTTCTTCATACTTTCGTAAATTAACATGGATGAGCATCTCGCAATTACGCCGAGCCCATCAATGCAATTTTTCTTTTTTTGGTCCTTGCTGGTCTCTTGTTCTGTGGTCTTTCTGGCTTGGTCCATTGAGAGAGCCGCGCCTATAATGCCAATATCCCGAATGCCGAACCGAGGACGTAGTGGATCCAGGCCTTGGTTGCTTGGTCCTCTGCTGGGAGCGGAATGTGGTGGTGGTGGTGCGCTGATGACAGCCGCCCGCCCGCCTAGCAAGTTTCCGTCTTGTCGGGAAACAGGGGCCCAAGGGAAGAGAGAAGAGTGACGAAAAAAAGATAGTAGTAGTTGGACCCACGTCATAAGCGAAGTCTCCCCGTCCTATTCTCGTAACCTCGTTTCGTACGCAATAAGTCGATTTCGGCCGATCATGACGTTCCGGGAATTCTCTTGGTTTGAGAAAAGCCACCAAGACAAGCAGTCGATATGCATTTTCATGCCAACTGATGTCAGGTTTTTCGGCCAACCCCAGACAGGGCTGCAGTGGAATTGATTTCCGCCAATCAATCAAAAAGGAAGGAGGGAAAAATGAATGAGTAGCTCGAAAATAGTGTAGATGCTTTGGGGGAAAGAACCAAGGATTCGGGGCGAGATCGAAAAATTATGGGTTCTAGACCGTATTCACTCTAGAACTTGTAGGATGGGCGTGCGTGACAATGGGCGATTTCCTTTGCTTTTCGCGACTGACTTCGAAAGAAAGAAAAGAGTTTCAAGATTGACTCGACTTATGAAAGTCCACAACTCTCCATATCTCGCATGAGACAAGCCATCTGTGCTCGTTTAGCAGCCTCGGCCACGAGGTTGAAGTCGCGCAGGAAAGTCTCGGTACCGCCCGATTGTTGGCGGTGCTGTTGCGGCTGGGGAGGCACAAAGACTTGCTGCGATGGCGATGATTGCGATGCCGTCGACGAGGCTGCCGAGACGCTGCCGTGGCGGGCGATGGGCGACGAGATGGGAGCGGCGTTCATGGTTGCAAGGTTTGGATAGAAAAGTTGTAAGTTGCTGGTTCAGTAGTAGTAACCGTGGATGGAGGAGTCGGAGACTTGTAGTAGCTTTCTCGAGGTGCCAGTTGGAGAGGTGATTGTTTGGCGATTAGAGTTGCGGCGCTCTTTGAGTTGGAGACGGGCCTTTTTTTGTTCTCGTGAATGATATCTGAAGTTTTTCTTGATAAACAGATCGCCTGTTTTCTCCTTGGTAGGTGGAGAACTGAACAAAAAGATTGGTGTTATTGCAAAGACGTGCAATGCAGGGTCCCAAGGTTTGGTTGGTTTGGTTGGTGTTGATGATGTCGTACGACACTCGAATCGATGATCTAGGTTGTTGTGGAGGTACAAGTCGATTATATATGAACCTTTAACGAGCCGGTGGTGGAGAAGATGCAGATTTCGGTCTATTGACAAGCGCTAAGCGGAAGCGTCGTTCTATTGCTGTGCAAGAAAGAAAAACGAAAAGGTCTTGAAACGTTGATCTATCGGGAATCTCGAAAAAAGTACTTCGAAGAGACAACCAGCCTTGTTACTGTAGGAGCTGGACGAGGACGAACAAAGAGACAAAGGTTTTTTTTTTTTTTCTCCCTCGAGATGTCGATGTGGGTTGGAGTGGCAGCACCGGGACGGAAGAAGCAAAACCAAAAATCTGGGGAAAGGGCAGGCAGGCAAGCCTCAAATATATCGTAGGGGGGGGGAGAAGCCGGTTTTGTGTTGCTTTCTTTTTTGCGCAAATCAAATGGAAGCTGAGTTTGGGGGATGCTTCCTTCTTGAATGAGATGGTGTGTAAGATGCCTTGCTAATGAAAAGACAATGTGTGGGATACACTCTCTTCTTGTGACAAGAGACAAGACGCAGAACTATTGGGGGAGGGATCTTCTCCGATTTCCTTCGATCGAGCGAGTGGGATGTGAGACAAGCCAACCCAAAACCAAGGCCAGGTAGGTAATGTTTCCGGGTTGTTGGAGAAAAAAGAAGGCTGCCAGACTGGAAAAAGGTTGCTCTAAGGTAGCTGCCAGGTATAACTCGAGCGAGTGGTGACGATCCTTCTATTTATCGTGTGTCGTGTTGCTGGATTTGGCTCTGGGGTAGCCTGTGGAGAGACCAATGGTGGCAAGCAGACTGTTACCGCAGTGCTGGCGACAGGGAAGGCCAGGGTACCGAAGCGCTGTAAGTGGTTGCGTTATTGGCCGTGGAGCTGAGCAAATCAATGCGCATATGTCATTCAAACATTTATTTTCCTTTTCTTTTACTCTCGAGGATCGTGATGGGAACAGTGTGCCGTTTGATTACCTTGGGGGCAGGAGAAGAGGGCGGGGATTCAATTATAATCAATCAATGGACATCAGAATAGACCGGAGTACTCCGTACTTTGCTTTTAGGTAGTACATAGCTTTTAGATAGATATGTTAGCCAACCAGGGACAGGACCGCGACGCGAGCGCCTCAATTCAAAAGGCAAGACCAATTTATTATTCTTTCACTTTAGCTACCTAGCAGTGGGTATTCCCGGTAGATTTCGACCCGTTTCAATTCACGTCCGGGATGGGGGGCCCCACGAGAAGGTTGAGCGAGCAGAGGAAACGTAGATAAAAGACGATGGAGAAAAAAAAAAGTGGTCTTTTGCGCCAAAGGAGGCGTTCCGACGAACAAACCCCGCGGAGGGACTACGGCCTTGATCTCGGGGACAAAGTGGATTAAAGAAGACAAGTCGTCTCTCAAAGCTGCAAATTTTGGTCTACCGTCTGAATGATTACCCAGACTAGAAGGCTACGTGGAAGGAAGAGAGAGAAAATTTCTTTGCATGGTTCCTGGAGCCCGGCAACACCATACCAGCAACCAGACAAGAAAGAGGTGTGCATGTGGCAGCCAGAAGGGATACACTATGTACCTATCTATCGGCTGTGACTATGACCTGATCTGACCTGAGTCTTTCACATGTCTGGGGATGTGGGACCGATCATGTACCTACTCAGCTTGCCAGCCAGCGTGCGCTCAGTTGGGGGTCGGCAGCTCGCAATCTATCAATTAAAGAGATATTGAGATGTCTCTGTCCAACCTTGCAGCCGAACCTACACACACTCTCTCTCTCTTCTCTCTCTCTCGACACTATTAAAAACCGCCATGCTAACCTAGCTAGCTACCTCAAATATTGCATCGCATTCAAAGGACTGGGTTCTGATTGTTTGAGCTTGTTTAGAGCCAACGACATCATCATACATGCAGAGCCAATGCCGCTTGCATGACTAGCAGCTTACTACACAAGTAAAATAGAGCATGGAACGATGCTTCTTAGAAAAATCGAACGGTGCTAGAATCTCCCCCCTCCTGTCCTCCTGCCTGTCCCCGTCGACTTAGGCAAGTAATCAGTCAGGCACCGTGGGTTTGCACAGTGGGTAGGGACCATAATACGATATGCCATGCGACCCTTGCGGTACATTAGGGGAGCGGTAATGCGGCTCGAGTGTCCGGCCGGGGTACAGCTACAGGTTGTTCCGACCCAATATACCAAATATACAGCGGCGGCGACGCTGCGCTGGGTGGATAGGTAGGCATATCAGGTCGGTTAAACGTATCATGGGTAGATTTCGTATTCTGGGCGGTCTGGCTCTTGCATTGAGGACGGCCGTCCCATGTTTGACCTTGCAATATAAGTCACCTTTTCGTCTTCCTCTTGTCCCTGTTGGATTTCAATGCCACAGTACAGGTTTGAAGGAAAGTCTATCTGTTGTCAGTGGCTGCTTGGCTGAGCTTAGAGACGCTACCATTATGTCACTATCCTAAATGTATTCGACCACTTTGCAAGAACCGGCGAAAGTACCCTCGTTGAAATATCCCCCAATGCCCTTCTGAACCCTTTGAATGGGCCACCCCACGCAGGTGGACATCCCCCCGCAATGCTCCCCAGGCTGCCTTGGCTTATGATCTTCGACACAATTCCTGGTTCAGGCCAAGTGTGCAGACCTTGAGGGTGTTCCCAAAGAATCCCATTGCGAGTCAGGAAAAAGTCGATTGGCGCGCCCATCGATGCAAAACAGTAATCACTGTGTACAACACAGGTAGACTTGCAATGGAAACATATGGCATGACACCGTATCATCACCACATACATGTGGGTAGATTACAGTTGCTAATGACAACGCACCTCGGAGCTGCAAGGTCGTTGGATTGTTGGGGCTACAATTATCATCCTACCCAGGTACTAGGTAGGTAGGTGGCAGAATGCTACCATGGTATAGATGAGAGACGATAATTTTCCGTCTCGCTTGTACTGCCCTGGTCCGACCTGGTTTCTTCAAGTGGACGGATGGCATGACTCGACAAGGGAGAAATAGGACCCTTAGTATACCAAGCACCCCACCCCAATCCCTTTGCAGGCATACTAGGCAGCTAGGATATGCAGAAACTAAACAACGGCTCGATCCCTACCGCCCGGCATATAAGGCTCGTGAGGTCTACTACTACTACTGTGTACAGAATCAGGTATGACGCCGTGGAGACAGTATGAGAGATTTAGGGAAGATGGGTCATGCACTACGAACAAGTGTGACGAATACTCTATCGCCAACAAGTCTGTGCTAGTCATCGTGATCATGTTGCCAGTTGCTATTGCTGAGAGCAAAGTCATATGGCTATTGATGAAGAAAAGTACTAAAGGTGCATGAACTATTTGGCCTCACTATTTACAAATATCCATGATGATCTTTGATCTGCGATAAACTATAGGCAGCCGAGTCCAAGCTCATCTTGTCGATGAATTTTGCATGGCATCAGCATTCATTTTCATGTCGTGATGTTAGCAGATGGGTTTTAGCCGTCGAGATTTGCTTTGCGGCAAACTACTCCTACGCATAGCGCGGTAGCCCGGAACAGATAACAGCAGAGAACTTGCTTGGGTACAATGTCTCTTGCGCAAATATACCTGAATCATTATCCCTGGTGGATAAAGAGACTGTAAAGATCAGCAATGGAACTTTTACAGAGGTGCAGAGTTCATCGGGCGAAATCGCACGACGGGCTTGGAGTTGACCATCACGTGATATGTGCTACCAACCACTATTGCGCACCTATTACCTACCTAAGCAATTAATTGACCGAATACCTAACTTAGTAGGTTCGCGTCGCGGTGCGTTGCCAACCCCAGCGCAGGAAAAAAAAAATTAATCCCGACAACGTACGAGGCAAAGGCACACACACACCTTGCCTCCAGCTGGGATCATGTCACAACCCACTTCGGAACCCAAAGAGTCCCCCGCTGCCGCTGCTGCTGGTTCAGCAGACACAACACCGGCTCCGAGGAGGGCGTCAAGGACAGGCTGGTTCGACGTCCCAGCGCCTCTGGCCCGGCTGTTTAGAAGGTTCCCGCTTGTCACATATCCCGCCAACCACTTGCCGGTTCGATCTCCGACGCATCGCCACCTCCCGACGCTTTACGTGTTTTCCTCCGACTACGATGCTGTACGAGGACTGCCAAGCTTTAATCCTTCTTGTCTGAAGTGGCAGGTATGTCATGAACTCATCTCAAGGAAACCTCTTGTCAAGCTACGAGCTGACCGATCCAAACGCAGACGTTTCTGAAGCTAGCCGGAGTCGAGTTCCGGATAATATCATCCACCAACCATGCGTCACCCACAGGTGCATTGCCGTTCCTGATCCCTCCCTCATCGTCCGGCGATAGCGGCTCTCAAGTCCCCGTGCCCTCGAATAAGTTGGAACGATATGCGCTGGACCATGGCGCACAAAAGGTGCCTGATATAGACACATTGCGCCTCGAGGCGTACCAATCGCTACTCGACCACCGGATACGAAATGCTTGGCTATATACTCTCTACCTATCACCCGCCAACTCGCAGCTTCTGTCCAAGCTCTACGTGACACCCGTATCCGCAACGGGCCTTGTCCAGATGACCGTTCGATACCAGCTACAACGTGCTGCAGAGGCAGAGATACTACAGTCTGTGGGGGCAGTCAAGGTAGACCCCGAGGTTCTGTACAGGGACGCGGAGCAAGCATTCGATGCCCTCGCGGCCGCGCTGGGGTCGGGCGACTGGTTCTTTGGAAACTCGGGACCAGGCCTCTTCGACGCAGCCTTGTTTGCTTTCACGCACCTGCTGCTGGATGAGTCTCTGCCTTGGGTGGATACTCGCCTAGGCGACTCGTTGCGTAAGTTCAAGAACTTGGTCGACCATAGAGACTGGATATTGGCCAAGTGCTGGCCTGAATTGAGCGCCCAGTGAGGTGACGAAGCCTCTTGTACACGTATTGTATCAATATGAAAAAAAAGAAACCGCTCTGGTATGGACACATGGCGTTAAAGGAGGACTTGCCTCGGCGACCGGCCAGTTCCACCGAAAAGCAGGAAAGAATATACCCAGCTGTACTTGAACAATGTATGATCACGCTCATGACTTGCATATAAATCTATGTATTTTACAATCACTGTCCGAATCGCTTGCTGCACGCCTGCTCATTTGCTCTAAATTTTCTACATCTTTGAAAGATTGGACACGCCTCCGTCTACGTTGATTGTAGCTCCATTGATATATGATCTGGGTATAAGTATTAGCATACGAGTTATGCATTCTCTGTTGTACACGCATGGCACTCTTAAGCACTTACCCAGCCCGACTTGCCAAGAAGATGCAGGCCCCAGCAACGTCTCCCGGCTTGCCAATGCGGCCCATGGGATTGCCCTCCTCGATCTCTGCCTTGGCATTCTTCATGGCGAACGCAGTCATCTTGGTCTCAAAGGGCCCGCAGGCGAGCGTATTGACGGTAATACCCCTGGGGCCCAGCTTTGCGCTCAGTACGCGGCTCAGATGGTGAAGTCCGGCCTTGGCCGCGCTATACGAGTAGTTTTCAAAGACGGGTACGCGCAGAGCGTCGATAGAACCAATCTATACAAGGTTGAGGGGTAAGCCGAGTTCTTTCATGCTTGTGCTTTAAAAGAATGGGAAAAAAATGTCTTTTGAGATTTCCACCTAGAAGCAGGCAGTATCATGTCAAGCACCGGGGAGTGAGTAATTCCACAAACTAGCGGGCTGGGATCACAATGACCAAGCCAACATGGTACTCTACTTACATTGATAACAGCAGCGGGCGTATCCTTTGCCGCCGACGCGGCAGATGGCGAGCCCGCAGCTTCCAGCAGGGGCAGCAGCAGCTGGGTCAGGGTAAAGACGCGCTGTAGGTTCAGGGTGAGCACTCGGGACCACTGCTTGTCGGGAAAGTCCTCAATGGGGGCGCCCCAGGCAATGCCCGAATTGTTGACGAGCACATGGAGACGGCTCTCGCGCCGGGCGAGCTCGGCCGCCACCCGCTCGCACTCGGAGAGCTGCAGCAGGTCCGCCGGCAGGGCAAACGCCTGGCCCGGGCCACCGCTGCTGGACAGCTCCTTTGCTGCCGACTCGCACGCTGCCGCGTCCCGCGACGAGATGTATACCCGGGCCCCGTTGGCCACGAAGCCGCGTGAGATCATCAGCCCGATGCCCTTGGCGCCTGCATGTTTTGGTGTCAATCTGCTGTCAATACTGCAAAAGCACTTGTAGTATTCATTGAATACAATACATGGGGCCACCTACCTCCGGTGACCAGCACCACCTTGTCCTATACATGACGAGATACAGTGATCAGTCCGTGCTGCTCGCAGTTGCAAAGTGCGGCAGGTGGTCTCGTGGTCTCTTACCTTGACGTCGAACAGCTGGTTCAGCTCCATCTTTCGGCCGTGAATCGCGCGGGTTTCGCACGTCTATTGGTACAAGTCGCCCTAATGAAGCAAATCAAAAAAGAAACAATAAGGCGTGATAATGATCTACAGTCCAGTCCGCTCAACTGAATTGATGACTGAAGAAATTAATATTGTGATGAGAGTTCAGAAAGGAGACGACGTGGTGCATTGCCATGATAATAAGCTAGTGTGGGGCCGAGGTTCATTTGCTCCCCCCTGTTAGTATTCAGACAGGCTACAGAGATCGGAACTTTATATCCGTGCCACGCTAGTCGACGCGCCATAATCAAAATAACGCGTTTTCCACCCTTTTTTTTTATTTTTTATATTATATATTATAATAATAACTATTTTACGTTAATTTAGGACCGAATTATCCGGAAATCGCTAAAGAAACGGGGAGTTTTTTAAGGAAGCCCGTATATTTATTATTAATACCGCTATAGCTAGTGAAAAATATATTAATATCGCGGACGCGTTTGGTACCGTACGGCGCTAAATTATTACGGAAATTATTACCCATATTAAAATAAATAATATTAGGAAAATTAGTAATCGCCGAATAAAGAAATATAATAACTTTTTATATAGGCATTACGCAGCGGTGCCGCACCGCTATTATAACGCTAACGCTATAGCTAAATATAATTAGCATAATATAATCGCATTAAATTCTTATTTTTACAAAAATTAATTTATATAATAATATATAATATATTAATTATTATTTAACGTTTTATTAATAAACCGTTATAATTTTAATTTTTTTTTATACGTTATTTAATAAAAGATATTTTTAATAATAAAATTAAATATAACGCGCGAAAAAAGCGTAACGGTTACGCTATAATCGGGCGAAAATCCCGCTTTTAATTAAGGGGCTTTAAGATTAAAACCTTTAATATTAAACCCGATAATTTCGGATTAAATCGATTAAATTTCGAAAATTATCGAGCGCTTTAAACGATTATAACGCTTAAAAAAATAATAAAAATAATTTTTCCGTGCTTTAAGCCTTAATAAAATAAAAGGGTTTAACCGCGGTAATAGCGAAAGCTACGGTAATTATTAACGATAAAGTAATTTTTCCCCGTTTTTTTTAAATAATAAAAAAGATTTTAAAATTATTAATATCCCGATTTTTAAAACTTTTTAAAATTTTCGATAATAAAAAAATTAGCTTAATAATTTTAATTTAGCTTATATAAAGGCCCCGAAAAAATTCCGTAAAAACCGATAAAAGGTTTTTTATATTTTTAATAAAATAAACAGAAATTATAAATCTTTTTAGCGTCGCTATATAAATATTATTAAAGCGGAAAAATTACATAATAAATTTTATTATAATTTTCCGAAATTTTTTAAATAAACGTTTTTTATTTTATAAAACGCAAAAAATTAAATTTATAAAATTATAGTTATATACGAAAAAATATTTTAATAATCGAATTAATTTTTTTATAATTTTAATATTTATTTTAATAATTTCAAAAGCTAATTTCCTTAATAAAGCGAAAAAACCTAAATTCGCGCGTTTTAATTAAAGCTAACTAAAAATTTTTAAATATATTTTAACGTTTATATTAAAATAAAATTTTAATAGCGAATTAGCATAATAGCATAGGCTTAAAATTATTAAGATTTATAAATTAAAATCGTTAAAAAAAAAAGCGCGATAACGATTAATCCGTTAGTTACCAAAAAAATAAATAATAGCGGCGAAATAGTTATTTATTAAAAAATAATTATAAAGGCTTTTATAATAATTTAAATAAATAAAACCGTCCCGATTATATTCGAAGCTTAAATTTAAAATCCAAAAATAAAGGCTTAATAAAAAACCCTATTAATTTTAAAAAACGTATATTTACCTATTATATTTGCGGAAATAATATTTATTTATTAAATAAATATTTTACGCCGTAAATTAAAGTAATAAAAAATAGCGGGTAAAAAAATAACGGATTATTTAAAGGATAAAACCGGGGAAAAGCCTAAGCCTTAATAATAATCCCCGAACGTTAGGGCCTTTTTTAATACTAACCCGTTTTTATATTTTTATTATTATTTTAAAAAATTAAAATATAATAACGTTTGCTAACCTAAATATTTATATAAAAATAAATTATATTAGCCGTATTTTCGCAAAATAAGCGGGATTAAAGCGAATCGAAAGCAAAATACCGGTATTAAAAGCGGTAAATAATTTAATATACCCGATTTACGGAATATATAAAATATAAATATAAATTATTAATTACCGACGTATTATACGCAAATTTATATAATATTATATTATTATCGACCGAAATTTAAAACTTAAAAGCAGTTTTATTTTATTATTTTAATTTATATTAAAAAAATATAAAATTATTTTCGATTTAAAAATAAACCGTTAATTTTATAAAATTATTATTAACGAATTATATTTTTTAATATTTAAAAAATTTATTTAAAAATTTAAAAAAATAGCCTAAATTTTTGCTATTATAGCGCTTTTAAAATAGGATTTATTTAGCTAAAATAACGGATAATAAAACGATAAAATTTTTTTAAAGCTATTATTTTATTTAAACGTATTTAACCCTAATAAAGTAGGAATTTTTTTTTTAGTCGAAAAACGGATTATATAATTAACCTTTTATCCGGCGAAACGCCACCGTATAGGCTTATTTACCTTTTAGCTTAAAACAAGCTATAAGCGTTATAAAAATATTTTATAAAAAATTTTAAACTAAAACGGATCCGAAAATTTATTAGCCTAATTAATACCCCGATTTTATTTATATTAAAAAAAATAGCTTTTTGCGATTTTATATTAATTATAAAAAATTAAATTAGGTAATTATTAAAAATCGATATTTATTATTTTTAATTATAAAAATATTCGACCGAATAATAAGCGCGAAATTTTTTTTTAAAATTAATATTAAAAACGCTTATTATCGCGTAAAAATTAAAAAAATAAATAAATAAAAAACGGCGTTTTATACGCGTTACGGCTATTATAAATATATAATAATATTTTTTAGCCTAATTAATGCTCCGGCTATTTTTTAAAATTATATTTATAAATCGCTATACGGTTTATTAAATATTATATATATTATATATTTTAATAATATTTTAATTTTTTCGAAAATTAAAAAAAATTATATTAAAAACCTTTAGGCCGTATTAAAAAGGTTACGGTAAATAAAGTTTTACGCTAAACCTTTTAAATATATATTTTATTAGGATTACGTAAAAATTTTTAAATTTATTATATTTATAAAAAAAATTTTTATAAATCCCGTATATATCGCTATTATTTTAATATAACCGCGCTTTTAAAGCTATTATAATATTTAAGTATTTTTCGGATTTAATAATTTTTATTAATAATTTATAAAAAGGTATTCGCGTATTATAAAACCTTTAAACGATTTGCTAAAAAAGATAAAAAACGAAAAAAAACCAGGATAAATTAAATTTAATAATATAATAAAAGCTATTTTCGAAAACCTTAAGCTTGCTTTTTAAACGGCGCCGCTATTGCGTTATTTTAATTTAACGCGATTAATTCGCTTAAAAACCGATATATCGGATTTTGCCCTTTTAGGGATTATTTTATAATTAAATAATATTAATATATAATATTTTATTGCTTTTTAATTAAAAAAATTAAAAGCTAAAGCCGAATTAAATTATAATATTTTAAATAAAAAAATAATAGCGATTATAAAATCGTTTAAATATTAGCGTTATTATTTATAAAAAGCGAATTATTAAATAAAAATAATAATAAATTACGCGAATTTATAAAGCTTTATAAGCTTAAAATAGCTTAATAATAAATAAGCTAAATAATATATATTTTTATTTTTTTTTAATTTTATAATTAAGCACCGTAATAAAAAAAGCAATTTTATAAATGCGTTATTAAAAAAACCTAATTACGCTAGCGAAAAGTTAATAAAAATAAAATATTTATACGATTTATAAGCTAAAATAGCCGCGATATAAAGCGTTATTTTTAATTTTATTATATACGATAATATTTTTATAACTATAATATAATAATTCGCAAATATATAAATAATCGTAAATTATAAAACGGCTTAAAAAGCCCTAAAAAAAGTAAAAATTTATAAAAATAAAAATTTTACCGAATTCCTAAAATTAATCCGTAAAACGCAAAAAGAAAACTTAAAAATACGCCGGCTTCGCGCCGCTTTAAAAAGCCTAATTTAAAAAGTTAAAAATAAAGCATAAATATTAAATTTTAAAAGTTTCGTTTTTTTTTAAAAATATAGCTTATATTTTAAATAATAAAAGCTTAAAAAATTTAATCCTTGCCTTATATTATAACGACCCGCTAGCCGGCTATTTCGGTATTAGCCGTATTTAAAAGCTAATACGTCGACGGTATTTTTAGAAAAGCATATATAATAATATAAAAAAATAAATATAAATTTATAATTAATATTAAAAATCGAAAGCGAAAAATATCGATTTTACGAGGAATTAAAATTATTACTTTTATTATAAGGACTTTAATAAAAAATTAATATAAATTTTATTATAAAATTTCTAAAAATAAAAATAAATAAAAAGCAATATAATGCGATTTTCGTTATAATTAATAAATATATAAAAATAAATAGGTTTTTATTAATTAATATTTTGATTACCGTAGTTTAATTTGCAAAATTTATTTATAAAAAAATCGAGCTACGTTTTAAGGCATTTAAAAGTATTATATCCGATAAAAAAAGCTTATTTATAAATAATTTTTAATTAACGTTATATTTTTATTTTAAAATTTAAAAAAAATTATCGATAATATATTATTTTTAAATAAATAAATAAATAAAAAAAGCAAACCAAATATTTAAAATATATTTACGGTATTTCGTTAATAATAATTAGACGTATTAGCCTTAATTATTATTAAAAGCGGAATATATTATAAATAATATTAAAAGTTTAATAACGGAAATAATACCTTTTTTTTATATTATATAAGTATTATTTATAATTACGGATAAACGCCGGGGTCGACGTCCCCGAAAGGGAGGTGCCGGCTATAACGGATAAAATATATAAGCTATATAAAGCTAAAAAAAAAATAAAGGTTTAATAGCGAAAAATTATTAAAATATAAAAAAAATATTATAATAAGCGCTATACCTTTATATAATTCCGGATAAATAATATAATAATATTATTTATTAAAAATATTAAAATAAAAAAAAGCGATAAGCTAATATTTAAATTTATAAGCCTTTTTTAGGTATTAAAATTAATTAAATCGTTAGTGTATCGGTTAATATTATTTAATAAATACCGGTTATTTTACGATATATTTTTTATTATTTTATTAAAGCTTTAAAAGCTAAAAAAAGGGAAAATCCAGCTTATTTCCTTTAAATATTAAATTTAAAAAATTTAAAAAATAAATAAAAAATAAAAGAAATATTAAATTAAAAAATAAAGCAAAGCAAAATTTAATATTTTATAAAATAAACGGAATAGCTTTTAAAATATAATTAATAAATATTAATAAACGATATAAAAAACGCCTAAAAAAATCGAATAATTCGGGAAAATAACCCGCCGAAAATTTTAGAAAAAAAGCGATAAAAAGCCGTAATTTAAAAATAAAAAAAACAAAATATTAATATTATAAAAGCGAAAACGGGGGCGATTTCGGAAATTACGATAAAAACAATATTACGAAAAAATATTTATAAAAATTTATAATATAGCAAAAAACGGATATTTTTATAGCTAAAAAGCTTAGCGAATAAAAAATAAAATAATAATAAAACTTATACGTATTATTAGCGTAATAACGGCTTTTTATTAGCTTATTATAATAAAAATATAAATTATAAACTTAATTATATAAAATAAAATAATAACGCCGTAAAACGTAAGCGAAAAAGCGGTTAATTAATTAAAATATTAATAAGCTAAAATTTTTTATAAGCCTTTTTTTATTTATCGGAAAAAAAATTTACGGCGTATAAATAATTTTTGCGGAAAGCCGTTTTAATTATTAATTAATTATTATAACCGGTATTACCGGGAGCTAAGCGTATAAGCAAAGCGGTTTTTTAAATTCGTAAAAGCTCGGGAGCTTATAAATAAAGCGTTAATAACGCGTTAGCGTAATATAAGGTAAATAAGGAATTTATAATAATAAAGCTTAGGTAATAAAGGCTATTAATACGGATATTAGCTAAACGGCCGTTTATAAATAAATAATAAATATCGCGGGTATTTTTAGTTTTTTTTTAGCGGTAATAAAATTATATTTAATACGGTAAGCCTTTTTATTAGCTTTAAAAGCTACGGTAAATCGCAAAAAAGCGGTAACGATATATAAGCGAATATTTTTAGGGAAAATATAAATATAACGGCTTTTATTATCGATAATAGCGTTGCCGTTTTAATTTTAATCGAATTATTAATAGTTTTTAATTTATTATAAAACGCTAATTATATTATTTATATTACCGGTTATACCGGTAGCGGCTTAAAAAATAATCGTTAATAATAAATAATATAATTAATAATATAATATATACGAAAAAACAGATTTATTTATTTATAAAAGCGGTTACGTTTAGCGTATTATTTATAATATTAAATTATAGCGGATTCGAAAAAATATAAAAAATTAACGGCTATTAAAAAGGCCGATAAAAGTTTTTTAATTATTATATATTAATATTTTATATAACCTAAAAAATAAAGGCGCGAAACGCGGAAAAATTTTATTTAAACGCGAATTTTGCGTTTAGCGCGGTAAAGGCGGTTATTTTTCGGTATTATAACGTCGGAAAAAAAAGCGTTAAATTAAAAAAAAAAGCGGCGAAATATAAGCGTAAAAAAAAATAAGCATAAGCGCAAAAATAATATAAAAATATAAAAACGGCGGTTTTTTTTTAGTTAAAAAAATATAATAATAACTAAAAAAAAATTAAAAATAAAAAAGGCGCTAAAAGCTTAGCTATTATTTTAATATTAAAAATAATATTAAATAGCTAAATAAATTTTTATCGCTATAATATCGCTAGCTTTATAATTATAATATAAATAAATTAATAGCCGGATCGGCTATTATTAAAAAAAGGGATAATTATAATAACTTTTTATATAAATATTACGTAATAATACTATACCGCTATTATAGCGCTAACGCTATAATTAAATATAATTAGCGCAATATAATCGTATTAGATTTTTGCTTTTGCAAAAATCAGTTTATATAGCAATATATAATATACTGATTATTATTTAACGTTTTATTGGTAAACCGTTATAAGAAATATAAAATAACTTTCCGGAAAAAGCGCTATCTAATTATTTTTACCCGTAAATACCCGGAAAATACTTATTTCTAATTTATTAAAAAGAGCGCTTTCCTTATTTATACGAAGATTTATAAAAGGATTTTTTAACGCTATTATTTTAGGAATTAAAAAAAGGCTAAAAGGATTTTTTTTACGGAAAAAAACGCTGCGGCTTGGCTTGCTTTCGTATAAAAATATTTAAAACCGGCGGAGTTACGCAAGTTTTTCCGAGCTTTATTTTCGGATAAATATACGGTATATAATAAATCCGGGAAACCTAGCTAATAGGTTTTCCGTTTAATAAGCGAAAGGTTTCGTTTTAATTTCGTAAATATATAAAGCTATAAAAAGCCGAAAATTTCCGTAATAATTTAAGGAATAATATAGCAAAATTATAAAAAAGGAAAAAAGTCCCCGATTATATTTTACTAAAGAAATCCGGATATACCGCGTTAAAAAGTAAGCTTAAAATCGTATATAAAGGTTTTCGAGGAAGGCCTGCTTCCGTTATATATATTTAGCGATTTTTTCGTTTAAAATAACGCTTTAATATATAAAAGTTACCGTATAATAAAATGGCTATCCGATAAAGGGGTAAAGCTTATCGAATAGCTATTTTATAACCCGGATTTTAACCTTATCGAATACGTATAATAAAAACTAAAAAAGCAGATCCGTAAATTAAAACCTGCTTTTTTAAAGCTTAAAAAAATATTGCCGACGAAGCATACGCGAAAGAGTTAATTTAAAATACGTAAAAGGAGATAAAAATGGATTTAATTAATACCTTAATCTAATTTATCCTAAACCGGCTGCGTACAATTAAAAAAGCTAAGGGGTGGTATATAAAATATTAAATAACGGTTAAAATAAGCTTATTCCCAGTTCCGTAAACCCCGTGGTGGCTGAGATATCGTAATTAGAAAGTGGTAATTAGAACTGAAAATTTATGCATTTTGGTCCGTGCACGCATATAAAGTTCCGGTCATTGTATACTATGTACTACTTTGCACTGCACGTTTATCCTGCTCTGACGATGGATGAATGTCGACCAGATATCGAAGGCACATGACAGTATATAAACTGGACTCATTGGCATGGAGACCTATTCGAGCCGCATCTGATCTCACGCCAGGGCTTGGTCTTGGCAACGATGAAAGCCGTGTACCAAATATAGGATCCGTCGCTGTGGGTTTTCATTAGTCTTAACCCCTTTGTTCAGTTTGATCATAGTAAGAATGCTTTTTGATGCAATGTAGTCACTTTCCAGTCCGTGGCCTGCTGTAGATTTGAATTGATGCAGAAATCTAATTCTGCAATGGTAGAGGAGCATGAGAGGTATACAGAGACGCACCTATACTGCCTCATGCTCGATTTTCGGTTGAATCCTAGGCTGCTAAATAATGGAAAGATTTCACGCGTTTTCAAATCTGCTATTAGAAGACGGCAAAACAGACCTGTCATGTAGAGTACTTTTCGAGTTAAAGAACACATGTTCCAACCCATACACGGCCGTTGAATGTTAGATTTGACGCCGCGGGGTATAAGCAATTATGTACGTAGCTCCACCATGGCCCGGCAGTCAGTTACGGATAGTGCACATGTATATATCATGGACTGCTTGAAGGCGACTCTTCTCCACCAACTTATTCTAGCCATCCAAAGATACTGGATCGTGAGTTTGAATTGTCTCTTTGTTGGTGTAGCAGCACAACGTTTCTGACTTTCCTGTCCTCGTCCAAATCGCGAAAGATGTTCTACAAACCAGGTGAAACAAGCCACGGGCTTCCCCACGACCCCTTCAAGGTAGTCTCCCTGCTCTTCGGTATATAACACGAAAATTACTGCGAAACTGATCTAGTCAACAGGCATGTGTGGTACCGCGGCCAATAGGATGGATATCGACCGTCTCGGCCAACGGCGAGCACAACCTGGCACCTTACAGCCAGTTCAACAACCTGAGCTTCGACCCGCCGCTGGTCATGTTTAGCTCGAACCAGACGCTGCAAAACGCCCGCAAAGACACGGTCAACAACGTCGAGGTCACGGGTGTCTTTTGCTGGCAGCTGGCCACGCACGACCTGCGCGAGGCCGTCAACATCACCTCCGAGGCCGTGCCCGCCGCCGTTGACGAATTTGAGCGGGCCGGGCTGACCAAGGCGTGGTCCCAGTCTCTCCGGACCCCGGTGCCCATGGTGGCGGCCAGCCCCGTCCGCTTCGAGTGCGAGTACGTCCAGACGGTCCGGCTGCCGGGAAATCCGCCCATGGGCACCGTCGATGTCGTCATTGGCCGGGTCGTGGGTGTGCATATTGACGAAAAGGTGCTCACGGACGGCAAGATTGATGTCCGCAAGACGCGGCCCATTGCCAGACTTGGTTACTTCGAGTACGGTGTCATAGACGATACCTTTGAGATGATCATTCCCGGTGATCGAGCAGGACTTTATGGGGTAAGTGCTTACACTGAGCCCAAATGCATCTCGTGTTTTTTCTTTCCTACTAAATGCTAATTGATGTTCCATGTAGCTTGAGGGAAATGCAGCCGCCAATCGACAAGAGGACTCGAACCAGAAGCAAGCAGGAAAACAAGCATAGGATATATGTATAAAGCGGCCTGCATACTTTGACTTGGCGGTCTAAATATCTACTAGATTCCTCTACGCATTCTCATGGCATGAGAGGTCTACATCTGCATAGAGCAATAACTTGAACAAGCATCGTCCAAACTCATGGGTGATTTGAACTCTACTGACTTTGAGATTTTATGAAAATAATAACAAGAAGAAAAGTTAACAGGGAGATGAAGGAAGGGAAAATAGAGAGTGAAAAGAAGGGAGAGAAAGAAAGCAAAAAAAGGAAAAAGATCAGTAAAAAATGAGAAATAGGAATTCGGCTATAGTATGAATACAGAGGTTAGTTTGCCTTATACCGATCTGGAATAATTAGCCTCGACTCTGAACCCCACTTGGGATCGTGACGACTTGTATAATAAATAGTGTGACTGCCAGAAGATTGCCAAGCTTCCTGGAACACTCTGCTAGTATATTCGCTCAGCATTTCCATTCGGGCTTTGCATATCAACCAGCTTTCATCTTGGCGGCATAAATTCTACTGCTATATTGCCGCACCAGCCAATCGATCCTGCTACCAAGCCACATCATCCCCCCTGGAAATTCTTTTGTATCGTGTGCACGCAAACAAAATGGCAGACGAAGGACCCATTACTCTCTCGGCTCACTTCAAAGACCAGCCAGTCGAGAACCATGCAGAGAGATGGAACGCTCTGTATGAGCCTGGGCTGAATTATACACCCTGGGATCGAGGCGGCCCCAGTCTGGCTTTGGTTGATGTCCTGGAGGCGCGGCCCGACCTCTTTGGCGCGCCTGACTCGACGACACCACCTCGCAAAGCTCTCGTCCCGGGCTGTGGGCGGGGCCACGATGTCCTGCTTCTTGCTTCCCTTGGCTACGATGCCTTTGGTCTAGAGGTCTCACCGGCGGCTCTCCAGGAGGCACGAAAGAATGCCGACACCGCTGCGGCCAACCGCGACGCAGCGGGTTCTGAAGCAGGAGCCTCTCCTCCAGGGAAACACCACTGGGTTTCAGGCAATTTTTTTGAGGATGGCTGGGTGCAGGACGCGGGCGTGGAGAAGTTTGACCTCATTTTCGATTACACGGTAAGTCTAAACAAGAAATGCCTCATCTCCCATTGTGAATATATTGAAACGACGTAATGTTTTTCAAAGCTCAAATAGCTAAACGATCACACCAGTTCTTCTCAGCCCTCCCACCATCCGTGCGACCCCGCTGGGCAAAACGCATGGCTGAGCTGCTGGCGCCCGGCGGTCGCCTGGTCTGCCTCGAATTCCCCCGAACAAAGCCGTCCTCCGAGGCCGGTCCGCCCTGGGCGACGCCGTCCCACGCCTACGTGGCCTATCTCGGACGACCTGGAGAGGAGCCGGCCACGGATGAGCACGGTGGTGTGTTGGAGGACCAGGTCGTGGAGCAGCCCGAAAAGGGCGGCCTGCGGCGGATTCTGTACCAAGCACCACCCAGGACTCATCCCGCTGGTGTCAAGGAAGGGCAAACCATTGATCGTGTTTCTGTTTGGGAGCACTGCTAAAGTATCTCATTGAGGCACTGTATCATCGCAACTAGACTTTGATTCATAGGTTACAAATCATACGATCAGCATACTTTTGACTCCAAAGCCCGGATCCGGACCTTGATGTTGCAAACAGTTCTGGAATTGTTTTCGATGTAAGAACCATGGCAAGGCTGCGCAACCAGCAGGCAGGAATTGTATCGGAACGCTCATTAATAGTCATGATACAGTGTGCGACCAACCCTAGCGATATGCGTAGTTTGGTCCCCAATGGAACACGGGCGTCGTGGGCAAAGGGGCGGCCATCCTGCAGGGCAATGAGAATCTCACGCCTCTGGAGCTGTGATATAAAGATGTATGAGGTAATGATTATGCATGCCGGGGAATACAGTGACTTTAGCATTGTAAAGATTCTCGGTCATCTGTCGTAGAGGTTCAAGCTTGATCGATCATGTGCATCAATTTGCTCCCTCATCGAGCTTGTCATTCAAACCTCAATTTTATTTGGTGCGGCCTCTGCTGTCAATAATCACATACCTACCTACCGGCTTGCTGTCTACCTACCTAGGTAGGCAGCAAAGTATAGCTACTCACTCGCTCACAGTTCTTTGCCTGTTTCTTGTGCGACTGTTCCTAATCTTTCTGATGCGATCGACGTGGGTCCTCGAATTTGTTTAGTAAGAAAAAGTGGTACCTCGACAATAAGAAAATAAGCTTCATTTGCGCCAAATATGTATCCGATGTTCAGCGCCGTGTGAAGAACCAACAGATCCATTTCGTCACACATTTAAGCTTCTTTTTCTTTTCCTCCCTGGCCATGCATAAAGGCGAATGCTTGCTATCGCTGTAATTGGTGCGACCAGGTCACGAACATGGTTGCAAGGGTCTTGTTCAGGGTCTAAATGCCAAAATTAGCAAGCCACTATTCCTCAGCAGTAGACAGACGCTACGGCACGCAGCTCTAGCGTTAGGATCATCTTTGCTATTGTCCTATGAAATGCATTTCAGTGGTCTGTTGAGGATCTCGGTCCCCTGTCTTTGCCTCCATCCTGCGCATTCATAGGCGGGTGGTGAACATGGCAATCTTACACGGTACTTTGAGACTGCTCTCTGTGATCCGATAACCTCCTGTCAGGAAAATGGTGTTCGACTCTGGCCAGGCTGCAACACGATTCATTGATGCCGCAATCTAAACAGTAGGTGATTCGGCTCAGTTGCAGGCATCACGATCCCTTTGAACAGTTTCAGCCTCAAGTCGCAGCATGGTCGTTTGCAGCCATGGACGTGTGCCCATGTGTAGCAGGCAGGCAGCACAGCCGCACCTTTTTGCCTAGAGGCGGATGTTGCAGCTGAGATGGAGCATTATGGGTCAGGATTTACACATCCCTAGGCGTAACATCGCCCATAGCCCTACACATGCAAATGCCGTATGTACCACAAACCCGCGTCAGATCCGCCCGTATGTTCAAGAGCCAGAAATAGCCCGGATGAAGTCGTCAACGTCCTTCCTTTTAAACTACGGAATACTTACTCTAGTCATTACAGAGGGCGGACTGTCTCGATCCGACCTTCTTTTACCCTCCGCGTGGCGCTTTCTTCATCCACACGCGAAGTCATGATTTGGTGAACATGTCGATGCCTTCTCATAGTCAAGACCAGGGCCGTGCGCTTTTACCTCCTGCGCCTGTGAGTCCACTCTCTACAAACTCGACGGAGAACAGAAGCAGCTATGGACACGCGACGCCCAGCATTGGGCATCATCACGACCAGTATCTGGGTGCAGCCGGACCTGCAAATTTTGGGCCAGCCGTGAACTCCTTCGCGCCGCACAATGGAAGCGGCTACGATGCAGCTTACAGCGTATGTATAACATTTGACTTTACCTTAAGGAGCAAATGTGCTGACCGTTGGACTTGTCAGACCATACCTCGCACAGATGAGCATCATGTCAATGGCTACAACGAGAACCGGAACAGCAGTGGTCTCTCCCAATCATTATCTGATGCTTCGACGCCCAGCGAACAGGAGAATAAGCCATGGACAGGAAAACCTTGGAATCCCTTCTGCCTTCGCAAAATAGTGTTACTTCTACTATCGGTCACGTTCCTCTTGTGCTTGCTCGCAACAGCACTCATGTACCATTTCTCACAACAGTACAATGGTCTTAGCGCAGAGGACGAGGCGAAACATTATGGTTGGACTTATGGCCCAAGTGCTGGTGAGTTCTGGCCATCTATCATCTTTCTTATTTATGTCTGACCCAGCCGATTAGTTCTTACAGTCATACTCTACCTGTGGTACAGTATCGACCTATCAGTCCGATCCTTACAACCATGGCATGAGCTACAGAGAGGACCTAAATCGGCAGAGACCACTCTTCTTCTAGACTATATTTCCCCGCTGTTGACGACCAGTCTTTGGCGTTCTTTAAAGAATCGTCATTGGCCAGTATTCTTGACTATAGTCGGCCGTCTCCTGATCCTGCTTACAATTGCATTTTCGACTGCTTTGTTGGTTCTCAGCCCAACTGAAGTCAAAATTCAAAATATCCCTTTTACAGTTTCCGGTTTCGATACAGAATCGTTCAAGTTGGATAACGTCGGCCCCGTTGCGGCGGATATGTATTATGGAGTCAATTTTGGCAATTTGGCAGCCCCTATTGGGACGACTGCAGACACTTGCGTTCCTCCGCTCTCACGCCAAATCAATAAGGAGAACAACAACATACCGTCTAATGCTGAGTTGCGAGCTACGGTCACCGGATTAAGCTTTGACGTGGACTGCGAGGTCCTCGACATCCAGGATTCTGCGCTCGTTTCACCCAGTCGGGGACCACAGAACGATGCCTCGTCGCCGGGCGATTATATGGTCGTCAACGTTACTACTCCATCTTGTAACATCAAAGGAGCTATCGTGGGCATAGGCCCAAACAGCCGTACCGTCACAGGATTTAATCCGAACCAACCTATCCATGACCATCAAGCCAGAGTGGACGACTATGTCTGCAACCTGGAATGGAACTACCATGATATCTACGATGCCAGCTTGGGGGCCGGACCACTTGTCAACGTTTCCAGTACGGCGTGGACAAATACATCATCAGACCACCGAATTCTATTGACTGTGTCAGATTTGAGTTTGATACTGCTGGAAGGCAACATAAATCTAGAGAGCATAACCGCCCTTTTATGCAAACCCTCTTACTTGATGAACGACAATGCAGTCGTATACAACGAAGCTACCCAAACGGCAAAGATCGAGAGCTCCGAGATGATCGAGGCGGCGAACCCAGATCTCCCAGGGTTCCCACGAACCATACTTGGATCGGCCGTGCTGAGCACCGTCGATCAAGTAAACACTCTGGATCTTAACGACGAACGATCAAATTACTCTGTCACCATACCCCCTTTCCTTGGCTTGATGAAAATGCATTCCAACGTCTCGTCGATGTCACAATTTGAGAATACCGAGTTACTGCAAGAAAGCTTTTTGAACGTTTTTAATGGTGTGGCAGCTCAGCTTGCTCACCAGATGCTCTTAAATGCTTCGGACGAAAAGAACAGTATCGTCGGAACAGCAACATTCACACAGGACAGACTTCATGTAACAGAGTTATCGACAGCAATCATGTGCGCTGCCTTGGGAATACTCAGTATTATGAGTGCCGGTTTAATCTTTCTTGTCCCAAAAGACGTCGTCACATCGGAACCCGGTTCTGTCCTTGCGATCGCGTCTTTCGTGAATTTGAGTTCAGGCACGGTTGGAATTCTTCAAGGTCTTGGGCATGTCCGTGATAAGACTATTAGAAGAGCACTTGCACCGTACATCTTCACCAGCGCATGGCCTCAAGAACGGGGCAAGCTTATTATCGAGACATCAACCCGACCGCAAACGCAGTCCACCAAGCCGCCTGGAGCCTTGAAGTTCAGACTCGAGTGGTGGAGACCACTAGGAAGCCAAAATTGGTTTCTCTTCCTGTCTTTCGCTATTCCGTTAATATTGCTCGGCCTTCTCGAACTATTCCAGAGACGATCAGATAAATACAACGGCTTTGTGACAATTCGATCACAATGGGGTCAAATGGTTGCAAACTACGTACCGGCCATTATCTCTATTATTATTGGAGCTATATTTTCAAGTATAGTCGCTGCGTCTGCCGTATTTGCGCCATATGCCAGTTTGTCCAAAGGACCAACACCACCGTCTCGCTCGGTTGGTCTCACTTATATCAGTCGGGTTGGCCCCAGACTTGGGTACACCTCGCTGAAGCACAAACACTTTGGATTATCGATTATTACTTTGGCGCAACTTATCGCCTCCATTCTCACCATCATCTTATCAGGTCTCTACAGCACCGTAGAAGTGCCCTTCCAGGAAGATGTGCTATTCCAACAGTTGGACAAGTTCAATATCAGCGATACCCTCTCAGTCGCCAATCCCAATGCTGGTCTGATTACAAAATTAATCACATACTATGACTTGAAATTTCCAACCTGGACGTACGATTCGATTGCCTTGCCTCAAGTCTCAGTGGCCGACACGACCTCTATCGACGGGCTCTCTAATGCCACCATCAGAAGCCGACTGCCTGGAATCCGGGGCGATCTAAACTGCACGTCTATGCCCTCGCGGCTTTTCGATTACAAGATCTCTGATCAAAGTTCATACGAGGATCGCGGCAGAGAGGACTTTCCTTTGTGGTCGGACTACGTGCCCAAAAACGGTATGGATTTACTCCTCACCATTTCAAGACCTTTACCTGCAAAACTTTTATGCGACGATGCTGGAGAAAATGACAATAGAACATGGACTTGGCAGCAGCACTTTTATGTGAGGAACGACTCGACGCCAAGCCCCTTTGGAAAGGCCAGCCGAATATATTATCATTCAGACAGTAGCCAAATCGATGATTTGATGCGTCGCTCGATCGATGAAGATACAGAATTACCTCGCCTCCACGGATGTCCCACAATTGGCATCACCTTGGGTCACATTACCGCTGAATCTCCTCATAATGTTACGGATTCATACAATACGACTACGATTGAGTGGAATGCGACAAATGCAGACATCGGGACGTTGCTCTGTTGGCCAAAGTTCAAGGAATTCGACGTGGACATCACTTTTGATGGCCCCAGCCTGGAAATTTCCGATCAATCGCCGCCAGTCATAGATGAGTCTACCATAAAAGTTGTCGAGAATCCGACTACGGGCCTTTCGACATGGGAATTGGACTATCAGGGCCACGACTACAACTTCTGGGACAGTTTGAAGAACACGAATGACTTGGAAACACTGTACGGCCTTCTGCAAGACGACAGGACTACATTTGACCCCTTTATCTTGGCTCTTATCACGGGCAAGTACAAAGTCCCGCTGGAACAGATCTCTGGCGAGAACAACACTGAAGCGCTGCTGCGTGAAGCTGGTGGGTTATGGGGGCGTTATATGGCGCAGTCAATCTCGCAAAATATGCGACTCAACATGACTGCCTCTGCTTCTGCGCCATCCTCACGACTCGCTATGACCAGAGAGAACCACCCACTGTCTATATTGCGACGGGCAGACTCGTCGGCAGTCACGTACCCAGCCACTCTAGCAGCACCGAGCGCAGGTTCGCTGAGGCGGTTGAAGCAGAATGCATCGTCCAAGGTGATACTACAGGTTATGCTTGGCGTCATGTCACTATGCGTGGTTTCTATGCGTGCGTTGAGTAGTTTCTCGAAGGTGCTTCCGCACAATCCATGTTCGATCGCAGGCACGGCCTCTTTTGTTGTAGATGGAAACCTGCAGAACATGACTGCAAGCGGATCGGAGAAACATTTGGGAAGCAAGAAGGGACAAGCAGTGTATACGAGACTGTACCCATCTAACGCAATGGACGATGAAACCTCAGAGACTGGGCAGAAGTATTCCATGGGCTGGTGGGATGACGGCGAAAATGAGAGGTTCGGCGTTAGACGCGTGTAGGATAAGCGATGATGACAGAATCTGATTCTCTGGAATTGACATAGAATGCAGCCCGCAGTGGTATTATGCGGAATATAAAGAATTATGTCGAATCATGGGCTTTCAAATGTTTGTAGAATGCTGGATGCGTGATTATCATCAGTACAATTACGCGTGTAGAGGACTGCCCCGGCTCAGGGGCATGAAAAAGGCACATGTTGATGTATACTTCGATTTGCTTGCTAGAGTACCAAGACATTTCGGAGCTATCTGTACTATCAGAATCTCATCAAACCCTGATTCGCCCTGGGTTGACCAGATCTATGAACAATCTTGGTTTGCTGAACGGGAGAAGATGCATTCTTTGCATCATCATCACAGTCACATGTTGCAATACATTCCAAAGACAACCTAAGAGTGATTCGGATACACCCAAAATGGAGATCGATTAGGACAGCCGTGTTTAGATAGAGATGCCACAATGGAGACTTTAGTTTACGGAATACAGTCAAGATTGACCAAAGAAGTGAGTACAGAATTCTGTGCTAGCATTTGATGGAAATCACTTTGATACCAAGTACGCGGTCCACCATCTATCTCCCTTGCTTTGCTTGACTGGTGCGGAATGTTTTGGGCTACGTCACGCTTGAGATTTTAGGGAGAGCGTAAGAGTCCCCCACAGACATATATATACATATATAGTGTCTGGCTTATGATATCTTAAGCAATTTTTGCTCGTATTCAATTTCATCTTTATAACTGCGAGTGGTATAGGAAGAATTGTTCAGAATGGATGTGGCTAGGCCTAGCGCCGGTGACAGAGTCTTTACTCTTTTCAGCGAGACAGAGATGCTTTTCTTTGACGTCTTTGGCACCGTGGTAGGCTGGCACGGATTTGGGGTAAATGCTCCAGAAATCTGTCCCTTTGCGATTTATTTCGCGGCCCGAGAGAATTTGCTCGTGGATGGGGGGCCAGGTACGAGAGTTTTATCCATTCCGTTGAGCTGGGTGAGCTCAAGGCCAAGTATTTCGACTCGCACCACCACGACAGTCTAGTTGAGCTGCTCGAGGGCCGGGGGCTTCGAGACAAGTTCACCGACGCCGAGATTGCAAACACGAAACTCACCTGGTACCGTCTATGGCCGCACCAATACGCGGCGGCCGGCCTGGCGCTTCTGGGGGAACACTTTCGAATCTCCACGCCGTGGCAACGGAAATCCAGACTTGCTCAACGCTCTGCGGGTCTCGGCCGGTCGGGAGTCTCGCGCCATTGACTCGTGGGAGGTCGGCGTTTGGCGGTAGTCCCCCGTCCGTCTACCACGAGGCGGCTCGTAAGGCGGGCCTCCCGCCTTCCGAGTGTGCTCTTGTTTCGGCACACCTGGACAACCTCGTCGCGGCATTGGCCTTGGGTTTTCGAACCATTTACGTGCGTAGGGCTGGGGAGGAGACATTTCCCAAGGACTTTGTGGAACTGGCTCGGACATGGGTGGACAGTAAGTAGTTCTTCATCCATGTTTGAACTTCATACCTTGTATTGCTTATACAGTATTACGATTCCTACTTTGATCGGCGCGTACTTCTTTCAATGGGGAAGGCTAATGCAACGCACTGCAGTGTGGATCGATTACAACGAGGGAGGGTTGCTTGGAATAGTCCGGAGCATGGGAATCGAAATAGATGGTGTGGATTTCTGTTAAATATTGTGCTGTGCAGTACGCGGTTGTCGCTCCAGGCATTCAAATATAGTGTACCTGAGATATGGCGTGGTCCTGAGGCCACTATCAGAATGATATCATGTTAAATCTACCCTTTCAACTCACCTCAGACATACCGTGATTGAGATTGAACATCTGGACCATGATCATCGAGGGATCATCTCTTGATATTGCTCTGCATGCCATAACACGCTTCCCTGACTTCTTTGTTACCCATCTTCAGTGACTGTTGGTCATGAACTCTATTGTATATGATGATCAAGCACAGCCCGTTTCCTCCAGGAATATCGTTTTGACCTACGTTTGTTAACCTATTGAAAACCCATACCAGAGTGAAATGTCTTGCACATAAAGAACGGAATTACTCGTCCTCTTCAGGGTACCAACGTTAAGACGACATGAGCCAAGTATGAGCATAACGTTTGATGAGGTGCCCGGGGAGCGTGGAGTAAAGAGGTCCAACTCCACGGATCGTAGGCAAGCCTGCCATCTGCGGATCGTAATTGCCGGGCTGCCGGTGCGTATTCGATACTGATCAGTGCTTCCCATAGTCAGCACCTTTGCACAGGGGTTGGGAAAGGGTCCAGAACCCCTTGTTGTAACCGCGGACGGTGGGCCGGTCAATAGTGTCATATCATCGATGAGGCACACCCGCCCGAATCAGCACGTTAAACAAGTGAAATAAGAAAAAAAATTCTTGCTTGCACATCGACAGACCTCGGCTCTGCACACGTCATCTCTCACAACAAGACAGGACTCCGCGACTTGCTGCATGCAAAGCATGTTACGTTGGTATAAATAGCAATATTTCAAGGATCAGAAGGAGAGAGCGCCAGAGATTGAGAGGCAGAGAGAGGCAGCGGGCAAGCGGGGGGCCCTGCCTACATACGAGAGATGCGGAGCATGGCCGGACTATGGACTTCAGCCTGGCCGTGGCGGTCCGATGTCCCATGATGGAGCGGGCTTTGTAAAGCTGTGGGCACGCATAGGCACCAATTGCCCATACTTCATACGCGTGGTCGAGGCACGTCAGGGAGGGACAAACACTTGGCACCAACGGCTCGGGTCGCATTCAGAGCATTGATTCGCTGTTCACAATAATACGCCATCCGCGATCTCGGGACTGTGCTGATGGAGCAATCGCGGCGTCATTGTGTTGTGTCCTGGCTTGCCTGAGCAGGGAAGGGGCATTGAATGTCGCATCCTGGCCTGGTTCTTGCGAGGCAAAACCCGCGTAAAGTTCAGTAGTAGATAATTGCCCCGACATGTCGGTAAATTACGAGGCGGCGGCGACATGGTAGTTTTGGAGGAATCCCGGATTCCATGAATGAAATTCCGCAAGGGGTCAGTCGTAATTGCAATTCCCGACACAATGGATGGCTAATTGACGGTGCAGAGGAATGCATGGGTATAGACACGAAGACTGGGTTTTGGTATCCTCGCTCATCCAACGCCTCTTCTCATCCTTGACATTGCCTACAATCGAAGGGTTGAGTTCTGGAAATTCCATCTACCAATTTGTAAGGATATGAAAGCATTCCTTCGACTGTCGAAGCACATGTCTGCACTTGGGATATGCGGACCATTGTGCTGTTCGACTTTATGTGGGTGAATCATCGGATGCTTCTTCTCATCGTAATCATGCAACTTGTAGTGCTTTCAGCCGTGTTCATACAATGTCTCGTTGCCAAGAGGGCGATCGAGCGGAAATGCATGGCTGCTCAAGATAATATTGAATATCCAAGCGACCGATACATAATGTTCAAGTCGTTTCTCCCGGGCCGCGCTTGTGTGGAAAGCTCTTTATTCCGCATTGTTTTCCAGGTTCTGGGGGTGCGCTTGAACGTGGCTTGCAATGCCTTGGCAATATAAGTATTCAATACGAAGGAGACATTACACTTGAAGCCTTTTGAAGTGATATTGGTCTGCCTCTAAGCATGGTCGGGGTTCAGCACCGCACAATGTCGTCCGGGGTGGGGTTGTGCCCGCCCAGTCTCCATGAAACCCCGGGCAGAGGCTCTCCCCAGGCGGCTGGAAGGCCATGAAAGACGGGCTCGGTATTGTTCTGACAGTGCAGCCAGCTCTAATTGGAGTATCTTGTTGAACAGTTGTAATTACGCCAGACTATGATCGGGACTCGGATTGATTGCAAGCTGGCGGTACTCTAGTTGCATCATACCGAGTCATCCTGCTCAACTGTTGGACACGATGTTTTAGGAGAATACTTGTGCTTGTCGCCTGATTTGAGGCTCAATATGCCTGTCATGGGTTTATGCTTGAAGGTGAATATGAGGAGGGCAGGGCTGTAGTGAATGTGTCGTTGCCAGACTGATGGGCATAAAGGACTGTGTGGAAGATTAGATCTTGTTAGTCAAAGTTGAAGTGAACAGGCCTTGTTGTGATCTCGGCGGTGGCAAAAGAAGGACTTGAAGAGGGACAAGAATAGAGTAATAACTATCAAGATGGTTGGTTGAGCATTAGGTAGGTCGGCAGGCAGGCAGTGAAAGAGGGTTGATGAGTGAAGATAATGAGAAACCCACTCATCACTACCTAGATTCTGCGTCAGTCAATATGCCAAGCATTTCTATCATATCACAAAGGTACTTTGTATACATCTTGCATATACTGTGTGTAAGTAGGCGCAAGAAAACAAGTAAAGAGTGGATTGGTAGCAAGCAAGCAGCATGCACGTAGTACACAGCATGTACTGTGCAGTGTGTATGTGAGGTAGACAGACAGACATCTGTGCGACGGCTGGGCGCTTCTCTTGTTTCTTGTGGTGGAGTAAAAAAA